GAGGATTGGATCCTTCTGGAGGGTCTAAGGGCTTCCCAGGTGGCACTAGTGGTAAAAAACTAGCCTGCCAGTGCAGGTAGATGTAAGAATATCAGGTTTGATCCCTGGGTTGGGAAGATTCCCCTGGAGGAGGGCATGGCAACCCACTCCAGTATTCTTGCCTGGAGAATCCCATGGACAGAGGAGTCTGGTGGGCTATAGTCCATGGAGTCAGACACGATTTAGCAACTAAACCACCACCACCAGGTAATCCGGTAATCCAGAGTGATCTCATCCTGAGATCCTTACCTTAATTACATCTGCAAAGATGCTTTTCCCAAGTAAGGTTATATGTTAATCTGTCTGGGCTGTGTAAGGAGCTGCTACAGATAGGGGAGTTTATAAGCCACAGAAATGTCTTATACACGGTTCTGGAGGCTGGATGTCTGGGATCAGGGTCCTGACATGGTCGTTCTGGAGTCTGGACGTCTGGGATCAGGGTCCTGATGTGGTCGTGAGAAGGTCCCCCTCCTGGTTCACAGCATCACCTTCCCCATGTTCTCACATGGTAGAGGCAGCTGAGGCGCTCTGTGGGGCTCTTTTATAAGGGCACTAATCCCATTTATGAGGCCTCCACCCTCATGACCTAATCAATTCCCAAAGGCCCCACTTCCCAAAACCATCATTTTTGGAGGCTAGGATTTCAGCCTGAATTTGGGTGGGGGGCACAAAAACAGGCCAGCAGATCATGAGTTCCAGGTAGACATATCATTTAGGGTTCCATTTTTTAAATCAATACACTCCCCCAAGCTCTTTAGTCTGCTAACAGAACAGCCTCTGTCTTTCCTGCCATTCCTCAAGTTGCAAAATATCAAGTCCATTCTAATCCCACTGGTACTGGTATGGTCCACCTGCGTGCTAAGTCACTTCAGTTGTATCTGTCTCTTTGCAACCCTATGGACCATAGCCCACTAGACACCTCTGTTCATGGGATTCTCCAGGTGAGAATACTGGAGTGGGTTGCCATTTCCTCCTTGGGGAATCTTCCTGACCCAGGGATCGGACCCAGGGATCGAACCCAGGTCTCCTGCATTGCAGGCAGATTCTTTGAGCCACCAGGGAAGCCCACCTAATTGCCCCAAATACCAGTAGAGTTTTTCTCTTTGTTTTTTCTCTCCCCTCTTCCTTTCCACATCTACACTTTTTCTCTCTATTGTACACCTTGGCCTGTTAGATACAGTTTTCCAGTTTCCACTTCTCTCTCCACTCCCTCCCATAATAATAACTTTCATAACATATGTTGCATCTTTGGGGCTATAGGCAGAGGAAGGTGATATTCATGAAACATGCAGAAGAAACGGTTTAACCCACAGGCACACATGCTCCGCCCTCAAAAGGACCCATGTGTGCTACTGTGGGTGCACATTCATTTAGCAGGTGTACTCACATGCGCACATGCACAGCCACATGTGTGCACACATGAGTGTGGTGGCGTGCATACATGTGCATGTGTGGTGTGGCCATGATACATGCTTGATACCTGTACAGGAATGCACAAACATGCGGGGTGTCTGTGTATGTATTTTGTTGTAACATGTCTGTGCATGCATGTCGTGTGGCTATTATACATGTTATAGCATTGCACATGCATGCACAAACGTGCCCAGGAAATTTTGTACACATGTGTGCTATAGTGAGTGCATGTCTGTGCACACACATGCTATGTGTAAATGGTGTGTGCTGTAGCCAGCACACAAATGCATGCATACACATACACACACACACACACACACACACGGGCTCCAGGATTCTGTGGTCCAGGCCCACATCAAGCCAAGAGATGCAAGTCAAACAGCAGCCAAGTCAGGCCTCCCCCAGCTGGTCCTCCCTCCCACTAGCCTCAAGAAACAAAGACAGTTTAGCAAGAACTCCTCAGCTAAGCGGTTTTTTTAAGACCTTCAGCCAGCAGCCGCCTGGCTGAGCTGAACGTCTCACTTTATTAGTGAGTTTGGCCTTGGGTGTCTGGCTGTTTGATCAATCCTGCCGGGGGTCAGTGATATTTCCTGCGGGCCCCCCGCCCCTGCCCCCACGTCCCCACGCACCTGATGAACAGCGCTGCCCCTGGACCGCTGATCACCTATTGATTTTCCAGCTGGAGGTTGCATCCGCCGCCAGCTGCCTTCTCCAGCCCTGTCACCAGGACCACTTGGTGACTAACGGATCCCCCGGGCCCCTCTGCAACCACCCCCTCACTCCAGACCTAGCTCCCCTCCCTGCGGGTCCATCCTGCTCGGCTCTCTTTGTCTGTGTCCAAGCCCAACCCTGTCTCTTGGGGCTGAGTGCTAGGGCTATGCACACCAAAGTCAAGGTCTTCTCCTAGTGACCCGCCCCCCAGCTACCACCCAAGTGACCTGGCCTTGAATCCCAGCTGTGTGATGTGATACAAGTCGCTTTAATCCTTCCGTGCCTTGGTTTCCTCATCTGTCAAGCTGGGGCATATTAGGATGTGTATAAGCCAGCAGTTTCTAAAGTATGACCTGTGGACCTCTGGGGACCCCAAGATCTTTCCAGAATGTCCATAATAGTTAAAACTATTGTCATAACAATACTAAGACATTACTTTATTTTTCCACTCTCAATTAAAGATTTTTTTGACTCTCAGTGTAGTGTTCCAGAGACGACATGACATGTGATATCTTAAAACCTCAAAGGCAGAAGCAGCTATGAGAACCCAGATGTTTTCTATTAAGCCTGACATGATAGAAATTTGCACAAATGTACAGCAATGCCATGCTCCCTTCTCCGTAAAATGTTTGTGTTGGGAAATATCACTATTCTTCATAAAATATTTATGTGAACATGTAATGTGTTTATGTGATGGTGATTTGAAATAAATGAAGAACAAATATGATCACAGTTTCTCAGTTTTAACTCCTTGAGTGGTAAATCATAATAGATATGGCCCACATTAACAAGAGCTCTGAGATACTCAGTAGCTTTTAAGAGTGTGAAGAATTGTTGAGGCCGAAAAGTTTGAGAACGGCTGATACAAGATGCCAGCACAGCGCCTGCCGGCTCACTGCAGTATGATTGAGATATTATCATTGGGGGTAATTATCAAGGGGTGATTTTCCCACCTGAACTGGGGGTTCTCAAGGTTATGGGGAGGGGGTTGTTGGAGAGCTTGATTAGGGATTTAGTCCCTGCAGCCAAATGGCAGAGTTGGGACCCTTCTTCTGGCCCCAAGAAGCCTCCGTCCTCACCTGGCTCTCACTGTTAGCTTGGGGTGCTCAGCACCCCTGCCAAGGGAAGGGAACACCTGGATGACCCGTGATCAGGCACCTGGCACTGCCTGCACCTCGTGCTACAACGCGCCCAGAGGGTGGCAGCTGCTGCAAACAGGGCAGGGGAGTGTAATAATAGTTCCTCCTGGCTTAGCATCCAGGTGTGTTGGGAACTGTCATAAGCATTTTAGAAAAGTTAAGTCATTTCATCTCGGCCACAGTCTTATGCGGTTGCTTTAACATGTGCCCGGGATTTTGTTGTAATCAGGTGTGGTAGCTTGACGGACACGGAGACAACATCTTGAAAGAAGAGTTCACTAATCACAGTTTCCAAGAAGAGGTGGCATGACCCACCACCCAGGACCATGGGGGGAAGCACCAGAGTCATTCAAGAGGCAGGAGGAGGGAGGGAAGAGCAAGGACCAGAGTCTTCGCTGTGCTTTGCACAGGAAGTGATGGGCGAGACAAGGTAAGCTGTTTGGGATTGGCTGATTTGAATAACTGGGTGGGCTCCAGGCTACTAGGGTCTTCCCTAGTGTCTCAGATGGTAAAGAATCCACCCCCAATGCAGATCGACCCAGTTTCAATCCTTGGGTCAGGAAGATCCCCTGGAGGAGGGAATGGCAACCCACTCCAGTATTTTTGCCTGGAGAATCCCACGGACAGAGGGAGCCTGGCAGGCTATAATCCATGGGGTCGCAAAGAGTTGGACCCAACTAAGTGTCTAAGAACATGGGCTACAAGGCTTGTCACTAGCTGCACCTATACCTGGCCCTCAGGTGATGGAGGGCAGGGCAAATATCAGCTTGGTGTGCGAGTTAGAAAAAAGGAGATGGTTGGGGTATCAGTTCTGGATGGATGTGTTTGCAGGTGAAAGGTGTGCTCTGGCTACTTGTTTGCTAGGAATTTCCTAGCCCTGGGAGAGGCAGTCCTTCCCTGGGCTGCAAGATACCAAGATGCCAAAGCATCATAAGAGATACACACAAAAAGGCATGAATTATACAGAGATATTCTATTATCACCTTCTTTTGAAAGAAAGGGGCTCAGCCTCCTGCCCAAGACCCACAGCTGGGAGGTGGTGCCAGCAGGTCAGGAACCCCAGCACTGAGGCTCCAAGTCCAAGTTTTTAACCACCTGCCACACTGCCTCCTACCACGGCTGCCTCCCCGGCCGGTACTGCTCACTGGCTCGTCTCCAGTCCAGACTGGGTTGGGCCAGGCCCCTCAACCCCTTGGCTGTGGGCCATGGCCCCAGCCTCCTGGCCCTGGCACAGACGGGCACCACTCTGCAGTCAGGCTGTAGCTCTGAGCACCATGACCCTGGTGGGTGCCACAATGCTCCTGGCCACTAACCAGGCACTCCGGCGCTTTAGGCTGCAAAGGAAATATGGACACAGGGGTTAAAAATGCAGACATGGGGTGCCCGGGGCTGGAGGGGGCTACACAGCCCAGTGGCCCCTAAGGTTTTACCATCGCCCACCTGGCCCACCTGCTCCCCCTACCAGGCCCTCAGGTCTGCAAGGAGGCCGAGGGTGGGGCAGGGGTCTCTGAGGGTGGCCACCTCCCCAGAGCTGGCTTTTCACCCTCCTCTGTCTGCCCAGCTCCCCCTGAAGGGTCCTGGCAGACCAGGTCAATGATTAGAGCTCCATAAATGTTAACGGGTTGTGAACGGATTTCAGCTGTTCCTAGCATCACAAACTGTAAACTGGGGACAGTCATGTCTTCCCCCGGGAGGTGCTCAAGATTCAAGGACCTGGCGCGTCTCGGGCACGCAGCGGGGAGCGTATCCCCAGGGCAGGAAGGGGGCGGAGGCGGGCGAGGGGGCCGGGCAGGAACCGTGGGCCCTCGCGATCTCAGGACCCTGAGCCGCGACTGCAGAGTCCGGGCCGCGCAAACGCGGGGCGCCTGCGCCCCCTACCGGCCGCCGCGCGCAGCACCGGCCCGAGCGTCCCGCCGCCGCCTCCTCCGGCGCTGGGTATGCTAGGTACACACGCCTGTGCAACCCGGCCGGGACTCGGGGCTGGAACTGGCCTCCCCGTGCGCAGAACCCGCGGGTCCGCAGGCTGGCCCACCGCCGGCCGAGAGCACGGGCAAGCCCAGGGGGGACAGGGATCCAGCCCAGCATCCATCCACCTTGGCCATGGCCCCTGGCCCTTGAGCCTCAGTTCTTCCTTGCAAGGAAGAAAGGAGCGATGTCCCTACAACCTCGTCCTTGAGGGTGTCTCTGCCTTCCCTCTGGTCCTCTCCCACCCCGCGTGTGTGACTCTTTTCATAATTCCAAACCTTGATATGTCACCCCTCCATTTAAGACCCTTCAGACGATATGGTGGTCACACAAAACCTTGCTTTCCTGTTCGAATGAAACACGGATCAAACAGACCCAATCTGGGGGAACAAGGAGCTGACCAGCTCAGGGTCACCAGCCAGCCCCTTAGGAATCTCAGGGGATGGAGGCGCCCAGAGCTCCAGGCTGCTTGGCCAGAAGGGGACCCGGTTTCCCAAAGAAACAGCCTTACCAAGGTGGGTCCCAGCTCCAGGAGCCCATTTAGGCCATCACGGCCTGGGACTAACTGGATGATTATCATGGTGCTCTGGGAGCTGCATAACCATCACCCCAAAACTTGGTGGCATGAAACTACCACTTTATTATGTCCACAGGTTCTGTGGGTCGGGAAATTGGACAGGGCACAGAAGCGATGTGTTGTCTCTGCTATCTGGCCCTCAGGTGAGGATGATTCAAAAGGGGCTTGGGGCTGGAGGATCCGCTTCCAAGACGGTGTCTTCACCGTCATCCTGGCCCCAGGCTGTGAGGGCCGAGGCTGGGTTCCCCCTGTGCCTACTGGCCATCCGGCATTCTGGCCTCAAGTAGGTGGCTTTCTTAGGTGTCAGCTAGATTCCATCCTCATATTTGGGGAATGGGTCCCTCCATCCCTGCTGGAGGGAAGGCTGAGAAAGAATCCCCTGGAGCTAGGGGGCATTAGAATGGTGCCGTGGGAAGCCTTGCGGGAGACGGCTCAGAAAAACATCGTGAGTTGGTTCAACTCTCACTTTTCAAATCCAGGCGTTTATAGGGAAGAAAAGGGCATGAAGGAAACGACAAGGAGATCGGGGCACTGGGGCAGGGTTCTTCACACCGCCCTGCCCCTCCGTGACCTTTGCTCTGCCAGGGTGACGGAAGCAAGGTACCAAGAGCAGGGTTCCTTTTCCACCTCAGCCCGCTGCAAGGCTGGAACCGCCCAGCGTGGGCTGGCACTGCCTGCATGTGGCCAGCAGAGGGCAGCACAGCCTCATCCTGCAACAACAGATGCTGGAACTCAGGGCCACATTGAGGACCCTCTGCATCTCTGGCTAAGGATGGGGCACAGCCTGAATGTGCGATTATCTTCCAGCACACGAGCTCCAGGGAGCAAGGACTTGGATGTGCTCACTACCATTATCTCCCATGGCCTTATCCAAAGGAGACGTCAACACACCACTCACCTGAGTGTCCGGCAGCCCCACACGTCTCCCGCTCACACTTGCTCCCCTTGAGAAGCCCCAGGGTCCTGAGCCCCAGAGTCAGTAAGGCCCTACTCCAGGCCTCCGTTTATGCCTCCCACACTCATCTCTCCCTCTGCTCAGTCTCTGGCCACCTCTGCCCATTTGGGGGATCCTTATAGCTACATCTCTTTCTTTCCTGGGGTGTCTTTGAACCTCTCTTATTTAAATAAAAGGAGTCCTCCTTGATGAGGGTGTGGGGACCTGCCGATCATGGCACCAGGGAGGCTAGGACAGGTGTGCAGGGAGAGGGCATGAGGGAGACTTCTGGGACACGGTCCTGCCGAGAAGAGGAGACAGCCCTGGTCTCTGAGCAGCTCCTGGCCTGGGACCTTTCTAGAGTCCCATCACCAGCACACTTGATTGACCGAGGTTCTAAGTTATTATCCTTATTGTACAAAGAAGGAAACTGGGATGAAGACGGAAATCGTATCTTACCAAGGGTCATGGAGTTGTCTGATTGTGAGACTGGGGGTCTTCTTCAAATACAAAAGAGTGTATTTGGAATTATTCCATTTAGATAACATTCTAGAAAAGGCAAAACTAATGCACAGTGGCAGAAAGCATACTACAACACTTGCAGGCAAGGGGTGGGAGCAGGGGTTGACGACAAAAGATCTTGAGGGAAGTCTTTGGATAGAAACGTTTATACTGGACTTCGATGGCCATTTGGGTTTTGTGTATTTGTCAAAATCCATTGAACTATCCAAATAAAATGAGAGCCTTTATTATATGTAAATTATACTTCAGTAAAAGGGTTTTTAACTTTTGAATTTACTTTTTTATTGAAGCTATTTGATGTACAATGTTGTTCTGATTTCTGCTTTACAGCAGTGACTCAGTTATATAAATATATATTCTTTGTGTTCTTTTCCATTATGGTTTATCCCAGGACATTGAATATAGTCCCCTGTGTGTATCTATTCTCTATATAATAATTTGCATCTGCTAATCCCCAAGTCCCAGCCCATCCCGCCTCCAGTCTCCTCCCCCTTGGGGACCACAAGTCTGTTCTCTATGTCTGTGAGTCTGTTTCTGATAGATAAGTTCATTTGTGTCATATTTCAGATTTCATGTGTAAGTGCTATCCTGTGATATTTGTCTTTCTCTTTCTGACTTACTCCACTTAGTAGGACAATCTCTAAGTCCATCCATGTAGCTGTAAATGGCATTCTTTCATTCTTTTCTGTGGCTGAGCTGTTTTTGTTTTTAATCCAGGTCTTCTGACTCAGATTTCAGGGCACTTGCCCCCATCACTTAGGAGACACGGCTTGTGCCTGCAAGAGTTGTTCTCACACCCAATGGGTGTCAGAATGCTAACTGGGCACAAGCCAGGAGAGCAGCCAGGAGGGAACCTGGGTGAAAGCAGGAACCTTTCATCCTAATTCCAGCTGGAACAGACTAATCGATTGGCCAAGATCAAATGTCAAAATTTTACACCGTTGGCACCCCCTCAGAACTGGGCCAGGCATCGTCATCGTTCAGGAGGGCTGACTTTGGCTTATAAAGCTGGCAACAGGAAACCTGCTCTGTTTCTCTGGAAGTTGGGATTCCATGACCTCACCCCCAGCTCCTGGACAGGTAAACGGCTCCAGAATCTCAGTAACTGGGACAAGTAATGCTTCCTCCTTCCGAGTCTGTAGCCCAAGTAAGGAACACTCATGATGAGTGATAATATCCTTTTCTTCAGGCAATGAGAAGTTTAGAGTCAGACTTAAATTTAATAAGTTCCCTGGTGGCCTCTTTGAATTTGCATGTTGCCACGCTAACCTGGGCCAGATTTCTCCCCCTACAAGGCAATTCTTGGAAAATCAGGCATCAGTGCTCATTAAACTGGTTCTAAATGTCCAGCAAGCCAATAACAAGGGGAGACGGAGCCCCACCTTGGGGCAGCAAACACAGCTGAAGTTCCTGAGCTCCTAGGGGTGATCAGGATCATCAAAGGGTTTTCAAAGCCTTGATGTATCCTGCTCCTTGTAGCCTCCAGGCTTACTCTGAGGGTGAGAAGTTTCCAGAAACACAGTGCCAGGAGCTGAAATGGAGGACAACAGTCCCCGTGGGCTGAAAGCATCAATTCCATCTTAAGGATGCGGATCATCAGGAAGGACTTATGAGGAAGTAATCTGTCTTGGAAATCCAGCTAAGCTTTGCCCAGATGAATCCCATGAGCTATGCACCGTTCTGGCAGTCTGTCTATTCATTAATTTGGGAAGGGTTTTCCCAGTGAATTCATTTGCCTGGCCTGACAGCGACCAAGGAGGGCTACATGCCTTTCTTTCCTTGGTGGTCATCCAAGGCCCACTGCTGTTGCCAGCTTTCCAATGGCCAATGAAAACTAACTCCGTGCTGGGGTATGTAGAGTTTTTTTTAAAAAGGCATCACAACAGGGGGGACTCCCCTGGCAGTCCAGCGGTTGAGAATCTGCCTTCCAATGCAGGGTACGCAGGTTTGATCCCTGGTTGTAGTTCAGATGGTAGCCTGAGATACAGGAGATTTGGGTTCAATCCCTGGGTCGGGAAGATCCCCTGGAGAAGGGAATGGCAACCCATTTCTGTCTCCAGTATTCTTGCCTGAAGGATTCCATGGACAGAGGAGCGTGGGGGGCTCCAGTCCATTGGGTTGCAAAGAGTCGGACACGACTGAGCGACCAACACTTCCACTTTCACTTGGGGAACTAAGATCACACATTCTGCAAGGCAACTAAGCCCGCACACTGCAACTAGAGAGAAGCCTGCGGCTGCAGTGAATGACCCCAAAGGCCACAAGGAAAACCCTGTGCTGCGACGAAGACCTGATGCTGCTAAATAAATACACACTTTTTTTTTAAGGGCATCACAACGAGAATAATAGCCAAGTAGGAAAGCACTGTGATGGAGAATGTGAGCATTAAGGCAGGTCATGGTGGTCCTCAGAGCATCACGTCCAGGATCAAAGAGGTTCCTCGGGTATCTGACCTAGGAGGCAGCAGCAGCAGGCCCACTGAGTTCAACACTCGTGAGGCCAACCCTGCACGCCTTCTACCCGCCTGAATAAGACGGACCTAGAATAAGAAAGCTACCTGGCCTAAAACCAAGGCCTCTTGCAGATGAACACCGGAGTGCCTCTTCCATCCCACCTTATTTCATTTTGTTCTTTTCTCTTATCCCCATTCCTCACTCCCATCCTCTCCCCTCCACCCCCTACAGGCAACCCTGCATCTTTTTGTTTATACCTGTTTTGGCGAACACTCTGTTGTTTCTTACGTGAATATATTTGTAATGTCTGTACATGGTACTGTCCCATCTGTTTCTTTTCTCACCCAGCTGTTTTGAAGGTCTGTGCTACATGTTGTCTGTGGCTTGAAAAGGCTTCGTATACTCCATGACATCAACCACTGACATTTCCCCTGCACATTCTCCCAGTGATGGACACTCCTCCACCCTGCCCCCAACGCCCGCCACCTCCACCACAACTACCCTCTCACCACAACCAAAGTGGGTGAGCATCCTTACACGTGTCTCTTCATGGACCCAGGTGAGAATTTTGTTGGGAACATTGACCGAGACATGGATGTCTAGATTGGGGAACAGGCGCTTACTTCATTCAGTGAGTTGTGCCAGGAGGCTTTCCACTGGTCCCCATGTCTCTGCCAACACTTGTCATTACCCACCTTTGCTAAGCTGATGGGGGCCAACTGATACTGGATTGGTGCTTTAGTTTTGTGTTTCTCTGATGATTCACTCTAACAGCTTTTCACTGGTTTGGTGGACTTTTGGGTCTGTTTCTATAAATTGTTCATTCCCTTTTGCCCATTTTTTCCTCTTGGATTATCTATTTACTGTTGCATATTCCTTGTGTATTCTTGACAGTGAATCCTTTGTTGGTTTTAACCATTGCAAACATCTTTTCTCCTGTTCTCACACCTACAGTTAGGCCTTCTGCCAACCACGGACACCAATTAAGCAAACTAAGATGTAAGAGAAGGGAGTAGCAGAAGTAAAAGGAAATGGAAAGTGAATTAAGGAAAGTTTAAAAAGAATAGGTTAAAATGAGACAATGAAAATGATGGAAGAAAGTATTTACAGAACAAAAATGAAAAGTTAATGAGTTTTTTTAACCTAAAAGTATAAAAGTTAGAAAGAAGTATAAAGACGACCAAGAAGTTGAATATGAAGGTAAAAATGCTTTTTAAAACAGTATCAGCATGAACCAAATCACATATACGTATACTTTTTGTAAAAGCTTCATGGTAAAAAGGGAAATAATGCGGAAGTGAGGGAGGTAAAGGCCAAAAGGACAAAGTATACACATGTGAAGACAAGAAATGAAGAGCTCAGAGTAAAGACAGAGCGGTACCAGGCAAACCTGATGGTGCTTCAAGCCTGAAAACAGAGCAGGTGGAAATGGAGAGAAAAACGCTCCAAGGAAGCACCTGAAGGCAGACTGGGAACCCCTCACCAGCCAGGTCCTGCCCTGGGAGCCTGGGGTCCGGGCGCATTGGGCCGGAGGCAGGGCCCGGGGCTACTCTGGCTCATGGAATAGTTCACCCATCAGTCCAGGGCCAAGGAAAAGACTGACCAGTGTGCTTGGATTCAGAGCCACCGCCCAGACCTCAGTCAATGGACAGGCCGTGGGCGGCAGCCCATGCTCGGCCTTCACCCGGCTACAGAGATTCTGGGCATCCTCCCCCGGGCCCTTCAACACCACACCAACTCCCTTGCGCATCTCCCAGCCCCTCTGGCTCAATCTCTGCCTTCAGCAGAGCCCACAAGTGAGGCTGCGGCCACACAGGCCACAGGGCCAGCGAAAATGATGCCCTGGCATCCCTCTGTCAGGCACGGAGACAGCCTGTTTGAACAAGTCCAGTACCACTGAAGAATGCAGAAGGCACCATCTCTGGGATTCACCGGAGGCACCAGAACATCCTCCTGGTTCACCAGACAGAGCAGTGACCCTGAGGACCCAGGGACAAGCTCCCTCCAGCACACACCGACTAGCTACCCGCCCCAAAGTGGCCAGTTGAGCATGAAATGGGTGGATAGGCCATTTCTAGTTCCAATGGCAGGACCAACAGATGAAACGTAGGAAATCCAGGGTTCCACCAGGCACCAAAAAGGCATGCAAGTTGTACTTTACACAAGCAGGTTGGAAGGCTGCGGAAACATCCAGGTGAGTCACTCACTGGAAGGTGGAAAATATCTGATCTTATCAAAAGGTGAAGTCAGCAACCTGGGGGCTGAGTCCTGCCGCCTTGAATCCTTCCAATTATGTGAAGACAGGCAGGTCCCCTGCTGCTCCTAAAGTCCACGTGCAATCCAGTTGCTTGACAAGGCAGCTCTGTCTTCCCAGAGATGCGGTTTGGTGCTGAGCTGCCCGCTGGCCCACACAGTACTCTCTAGCCCACAGGCTAGTGGTTCCTGGATTTGGGGATTTCATCAACCAGTTCTGTTGTTGTTATTTTGGCTGCACCAAATCTTAGTTGTGACATGCGGGATCTTTTTAGTTGTGTGATGTGGGATCTAGATTCCTGACCAGCATCGAACCCGGGCCCCCTGCACTGGGAGCAGAGAGTCTTAGCCACTGGACCACCAGGGAAGCCCCTTGAATTTTTACTAGGAAAACTCATATACAATTTTTTTTCTTTTTTTTCGGCCAAGCCATGCGGCATATGGGATCTTAGTTCCCCAACCAGGGACTGAACCCAGGCCCCCTGCATTGGGAGCATGGAGTCTTAACCACTGGAGCACCAGGGCAGTTCCCTGTAAGACTGTTGATATTTTTCCAAGGAAAACATTTTTTTTAAAGCTACCATCTAATATCACCATTATTTCTAAAAGAAAGAACATTTTAGCACCAAAAAAAAAAAACCACCACAAAAGGATGGGGTAATCTTTTATACAGAATAACCATGAAATGCTTGCCATTTGGAGAGAGAAGTCAGGAAAACTCATTGTGGGCCAACACTGGTGCCCACCACCGTGACCTGTCAGGAGTTGCATTCTAACACCAGTGCTTTGCAGAACAGGCCAGTGGGCTCGGAGTGGATCCTGGTACGGGCTAGAAGACAACCTTTGTCAAAACTGTCACTCAAGACTGATGCTCCTCCTGACTGCCCAGCTGGTGGCTCACCTCCCTTCCTGGGTTGAGGTCCTCGTGACACTTTATCTCCTTTACCAGTGGTCCCCAAGCCACCACATCATTAGGATCATCCGGGCTGGAGCTCTTCAAGTTGCAGGCTCCCAGGTCCCACCACTGGAGATCTGGTCCTGTAGTTCCAGAATGGGGCCTTGTGGTCACTCGAATTTAGGCACCTCAGACCTGTGACCCCGCCACTCAACCCTATGAAACAACTGACCGGAAGCCATCAACACTGGGGCCTGGAAAGTAGTGCTGAGAACAGGGAAGGATGGCAGGGGAACCCAGACTGGCACCAAGGCCAAGAGCAAGCAGCAAAGGTCACAGGCTGTGCTGGTGCTGAAGCTGGTGCCAGAGACAGGAGCTGGGGGACTGGGCGACTCTCCACGTTCACGGCCAAAGTGAAAGGGTGAGGTGGGAGGGACAGACAGGGCAGCAGAATGTAAGCACGCTCTGTAGGTTCACAAGGGTCTTGTTAAGAGCAAGCTTTTTCTGGATGACTGGCTTCTAACCACCGCCGCGGCCTCTGCCATCTCTCACCACTATCATCCTTGTCCCCTGCCTCCCTGCAGGTCCCCTCACCCAGTCACTTGCTGTCGAACATCTCCACCCCACTCCTGTGTCACACACACAGCCCGGGTGCTCAGCCAGTGTCTGCAGACTGGATGGAGGGACGGGCCGGAGCGCAGCCTGGCCCAGGGGCCTCCTTGTGATGGCTCCGTCCAGCCCTCGGGGAGACCAGCTTCGGCACAGAACCTGCAGAGCATGAACGAGCACAGAAGGGCCCATCCCTGGGACTCAGGACACCGCCCCACGCCACCTCCCAGCGTGGACTCCCCTGTGCCGTCCAACACAAGCAGCTGGTTTCAGAAGGAAGACACTGCAAAGTCGTGGAAATGTCACTAATGGTATCTGAGCGCCTGTGTGGGGCTTGAGAGGGCTCATTCTTGTGGAACGACTAGGGGACAAAGTCTTGGGAGCTGCCAGGCCATCAGGCCCTGCTGGTCTCTCAGCCCGGCTGAGTCAGCGCTCCCTGAAGAGGTCACGTGGTCCTGCAGAGACGTGCAAAGGGGCCCTGGGGCCAAGGGTGGCATTTCGCGGTTACAGGCCTTTCATGGTGACGATCCAGCTCTACACACGAGGGGCTGCAACGTGACACAGGGCACAACGCTGGGAGGCCTGCCCTGCTGGGGCTGCCCAAGAGGTGGAGAGACGGCGATAGATGGGACCCACAGGTAGAGATGGCCAGTTGACACCTGCTAGCTTCAGCCTGCACTGCGGACTGTTGTTTGATCTCCTGATTTGATCTGTGGTCTCGCCCCCAGAGGATGTGGATTCTGCCCCTTTGCCTCCTCCCACCCCAACAGAAGCTCAACAGGATCAGCCCTGGTCCTAAATTCAGGCTTCATGAAAGCATTTCTAACCTTTCTCCACAAGGATCCCAATCAGAAACCGGTGAGAACTGGCACTTCTTTGGGACTTTATAAAACAACATCCCATGTCTGCTCTAACGATGTCTGGAGGGCATCTGATCACACGATCTTGCTCTACGGGGCTTCCTGTGCCCACATGACCCCAAAGTTGCCATGTGCCAAGCCTCTGGTTTCTCAGCTGATGTCAAGCACTCACTTGGAAGAATTCATTGGACTGTCTTAAAATACAGACCAGGAGAACCACGGATGGGAGGGACTACATTTACTTTAAGTATAAATGTTTACTATTATTAACAAGTTACCACTATTATTTACATGTTTATAAAACAGAAATAAAAATGACATACATGTTTGGTGCCAAAAGTGGCACATCCAAACTAGATCAGTACAAAAATAAACTTTCAAGCTATGTGTTTGCAAACATCATCACAGCCAAGCAGCCTGGGGGACGATGACACCAGTGCCTGCTGGAAGGGTCCCCGCCTTCTCCCAAGAACCCAAGCAAACACACAGAAGACAAACGGACGAGAATGTTCCTGAGCTACAGAAGCTTAGAGCCTCTAAACAGTTGTGAATTTCTGCTACCGAGGATCTGGGATGGGTTTCGAGCTGATGAGCTGTCACTAGTGGCATCAGGACATGGTACCGTGCGTGGAGGGAAAGCTAAGCTGCTTGTGAAGCCAAGGAGCCTTGTGCACACGGGTCCTCCCTGTTGACCACCAATCCTCACAAATCTCCTGACCACAGACAAACAGGAACACGGGCAGAGGGAAAACAGAAGCTGCTTGACTTTAGAGTCCCTGTGCCCACCAAACACGCCCCGGGTGACTGGCAGAAATCCACTGCGTTTCCAAGGTCTCATCATAGATATGTGCCATGTCCACACTTGGCCAAGGGCCTCACTGGTCAATAGAGGAGGGGTCCCAGCAGGGAGAGCAAGGCCAGCCCAGCAAAGCCCTGCTCACCCCACGTGGTGCTTCAGCCTGCGGCAGCCCACCTTCCTCCCTGCTCCCCATGAAACAGGGCTGGAGTTCATGCCTGGTGGCAGGGGCACGCTGGACCAGGGAGGGTGCTGGGTGAGCCAAGAGCACGGGCTTTCCAACTCCTGCGCAGCAGGACGCCCGCCCAGATGCCGGCGAGGAATGCAGATGCTGAGGGGAGCGGGCGGGAGCGGGCTGTGAACAGGCTGCAGCCCACTGCAGAGAGGCTGACGGGTCCACAGGAGCCGACGCCAGCTTGTCCGCCCTGGGCTAGGGGTGACCGCATGGAGGAGGGGACACCGAGCAGCCCCTGCAGCGGCTGCCAGCTCTGCTCACTGGTCCTGGACCTTGGCCCTCTTGGCTTTCAGGGACAGGTGCTGCAAGAGAAGAGAAAACAGCATCACTGGGGTGGGTCAAAGGAAGCAGACTTGAGCACAATTCCCTGGAAGTGACCAAATCAAAGCTTCCACCTGGTTCACACCTTCTCAGTAAACGCCCTGCCCTGCAGGCAACAGTTTGGAGGAAAAAAGCCCAAGGGACCGACAAAGGCACCAGGGCTTCAGTAAGCCACACAGGCCGAGGCTGGGCAGCCCAGGGCTCTGAGGGCAGCTGTCAGCCAGACACGGCTCACCCTCTGCCCCAGCCCTGCAGCCCAACAGCCGGGCTGCTCAGGGCCCCAGGCCGAAGATCACCTCGAGTTTCCTAGAATTTGTTGAGAACAGTCAAGGGAAGGCACCCTCCCCTTGGGAACAAAAAGGTCAGCCAACCTAGCCAGCCATCCCCAGAGGCTCAAGGTCCTGCTCTCATGACACCCAGCCCAAGAGCGGGGAAGACACACAGGAAGAGGACATTTCCTGGTGACCAGTCTCTCTTTCAGAAATGTCACTCTCTAGCAGTGAAAATAACCCAGGAAGCCTAACACTATAATCATGAGCATCAGATAACAGGATTGAGGGATACAAGCATCCTTTACACTTGAAAGTAAAGCCAAAAGTGCGAGAAATCCTAAAGCATGCATTTGAAGCAGAGTGTAAACAGAGCTTTTAATAAAGGTCCTCTTTCACAACGGAGGCAGACCTGATGCCCTCTCGGTAAGTTCTAACCCAACAGCCAGGCGATATCCCGAGCATGCTGCCCTCACACGGCAGGCTCGTCACTGGAGGGACGTCAACGCCCTGCCTGCTGGCAGAGCAGGCCTGTCAGCCCCCAGCACGCTCAGGGCCCAAACCCCGTCTCTTGGCACATCCAAGACGGCCTCGAGACAGCCATCCCCACCACCAAGAGAGAACCTCAGGGCCTGAAAGAATGCAGGTGCAGAAGATGCAGCCCCCCACCAAGCACGACAGGATGGGGGGCTGAGGGAGCAGGACGCAGGTGCAAATGAGCTGCAGGAAGTCACATTTTCTAACCACTTATGGCCGAGAAGAAAGAAGAAAGTGTTAGTTGCTTGGTCATGTCCAACTCTCTGCGCCCCATGGACTGTAGCCCACCAGGCTCCTCTGTCCGTGGAATTCTCTGGGCAAAGATACTGGAGTGGGTTGCCATTCCCTTCTCCAGGGAATCTTCCTGACCCAGGGATCGAATCCAGGTCTCCCGCATTGCAGGCGGACTCTTTACCGTCTGAGCCAGCAGGGAAGCCCAGGGCCGAGAAAGGACCAGCACAGATTCCAGCAAAGGCCCTGGTGAGAGGGTTCTCCCTCGATCCCACAGATAGCTCAGAATCAGGAGAAAAAGCCTGAGGACCTGAAAGGCAAATCTCTGGACAGGTCCCCTGTCCTTCCCTCTCCAGCTGTGGGTCTTGCTGAATGTCTCCTAATTCTCTCCTCCATGCACTTCACCTGACGTGACCCTGCCCGCCAAGGGAAGACACGCACAGCCTAGCTTAGGAACAGGGATGAGGTCATCGTGCCTGTGGGGCCATTTTTGGTGCTCATTTCTGAAGAGAATGTTGTGTATAAACAAAGCAGACTCTGGACCATTTCAGGCCTCTTAACAGGGCAAGAGCAACACTCTGAAAAACACTGGTAATGGAAAGTCACCAACGATGCCAGAACAGAGCTGGGGATGACTGTGGGCTGTGCATGGACGTGGGGCACTACGCTGCGCTCAGCCAAGGACCCTCCGCCATGCGCGGGCAGCTGCTGGAGAGTGGCTGGGCTCTTGGAGAAATCAATCCATTTTGGACAAGTTAATAGCAGAAGTGCCTTTGGACTGCTTAGTTAAGGAGGGACTTCCCTAGTGGCTCAGATGGTAAAGCGTCTGTCTACAATGTGGGAGACCTGGGTTCGATCCCTGGGTCGGGAAGATTCCCTGGAGAAGGAAATGGCAGCCCACTCCAGTACTCTTGCCTAGAAAATCCCATGGACGGAGGAGCCTGATGTCCATGGGGTTGCAAAGAGTCAGACATGACTGAGCGACTTCACTAAGTTTCTTGGGATGGGAGAGCAGGGCCCTCGCCTGTACTATGAGGTTGTTGAACTATGTGATTTCCAAGCCCGGCCTCTCTAAAATTACTCTGATCACAAGCAGTCATCAGAGTGGAACAGAGGAGCTGAAAAACAGACATTTGGAGAGAAAAAAAAAAAAAAAAGACAAATTTGGCATTGTTGTTTTCTTCAAAATCCTGGGGCAGTCTGCTCTAACTTTGTGGGTTTGACCTAGAAAAACTGTCATTTTGAGGTGAGAAGGGAAAATGACTCTGCTTCTGGGTTAATTCTGTTCTCCCAGAGTCTAAATGAACCTGAGACAACTTCAGAGTCTCTCTTCTCTAACTGTCTGCCTCTCGTTACGCTAACAAGCAGGCTTAAAACTGCACCATTCTCCTTAAGCTCAAGTTTGCATTTCTAATTGCTCTTTTGGACTTCTGAAGTCTGCTGCGTTCCACCTGAGAGGTTTGGTGGAAGAAGATTTTCTTTCATTTCAGGTTTATTCTTATCAGCCCAATGCAGCAGAGAAAACACACTGCATTCTTATCAATCCCTGCAGTTGATCTCATTTTTAGCTGAAATATCTGGATGGGGATACAGGAAGTTGAACTATATAGGCTTGAAATGTTTTTTGTTTGATTGTTTAATATTTAAATAGCGAAAGATTTAAAAGGACAACTTCCCTTGACATTGCTGGAGGGGGAGGGATGAAAAGAGCCTTCCCTTTATAGGATCACAACTCAAATGTTTCCAGGAGTCAAGCAAGTGAGATAAACAAGGGAGACAGGACCTGGAGAGAGTCACTCACAATAGGCACCATTCCTCAGCCCCTGCTGCAAACTGAGGCCCAGAAACTCAGCAAATTCAACATGTCTTTCAAGAGAATCTTGAAATCCATATTTAATGTGGACTCTCCCAATTTTAAAAGGCACCAATGAAGCCACATTTTGGTCTGAAAACACTGCAGTTTGGCTACAGCTTTGATGAAGTAACAGGTTTTGGTTTCCCTTTTGTGGTAAACAATGGTCAAACTGGACCAAATATCTGAAGCGATAATTTTCAGGTACTGGGTAACAGAGAGCACGGGGCTGTAACCCTTGAGAAAAAGGAAACACTAGAGGTGAGTGAACATTATAGTCATTCCCAGTCTCTGTGTGGCTCTCCACACTTTGTCGTGTCCAACTCTTTGAGACCTCACGGACTACAGCCCGCCAGTTTTCTCTGTCCATGGAATTCTCCAGGCAAAACTACTGAAATGGGTTGCCAATCCCTTCTCCAGGGGATCTTCCCAACCCAGAGATCGAACCCGGGTCTCCTGCATTTCAGGCAGATTCTTTTACCGTCTGAGCCACCAGGGAAACCCCTGTCAGAGGGAAGTGAATCCTAAATAAAGAACAGTATAGCTGGGGAGAAGAAACACAGATCAGAGTTCAGAGTTGCTGCACTTGCTGGAATTTATAGAACAGAGCATCAGAAAAGAGGAGCTCCAAAATCAACATAGACCCTTAAGCCTCTGGCTGAATACTAAGCTGCACAGGTGCAGGCCAAGGTTCCATAAGGTTGGCAAAGAACAGGTACTGGGGAGTTGTGACCTGGTATGGAGGAGACACTGGAGGTCTGAGCAGCCAGAGTGCAAAGGCCTCACTGAACATCCCAGGTATTCAGCTGAGACATCAAAAAGTCCATGTCTTGGGAGCAGGGCTACTAGACACCTGCCCGAAAAAGACTAAAGTCAGGTCTTGGTAGAATTAAACTGACCGCCAGTATGAACTGTCTACTAGAAAAAGTCAATATTCTTTACAGAAAAGACAACAAACCACCCATAATGTCCAGCACACAACAAAAAATTACTAGACAAGAGAAGCAGGAAATGTGACCCATAACGAGGTAGAAAAACAGTCTAAAAACAAAATAGATCAGAGATGACAAAGATGCTGAGTTAATGCACATGTCTGCCTTGGAAGAAAAGCATATACTGTATACAAAGCTATGCCCCCACCATGTGTTTAAACTGCCATAGGTTTAAGCTTGCACACGCATTTAGTCTTGGCAAAGCAATCCTCATCAGAGTATTTGTGCTGCTTCTCATGAACATGGTCCAAAGTGTCACAGAATTTCTTTGGAAATGGTTTAGAAGGGTAGAGGGAGAGGGGAAGACCTAAAGATACATTCTCTTTTTCTTATTGTGTAAGCTGGAGGGATTTTATTTTTAAATGCACGTGAGCAATTTAAATGTCACATGAGCAAACAGTATGGTGCTTTTACCCAGAACAATCTGCGACTATGGTAATGGCCTTTCACCTATGTACCACTGGGGGTTGGGGCTGGGGGGCAGGCAAGCTTAGGACATTACACTGAAAAATAAATGTATATTTAAAAATATGAAGAGACAGGTAACACGTGGTTTGGGGGGCCAGGCTCAGTTCATTCCTACCGTTCCTTGTTGATAAAAGTGTGGAGCCAGCTCCAACAGCCAAGCAGACTCAATGGCGGTCACATCTCTCATGTAATACTTGGAGGTTTGGATAACTTCATTGTAGATAACCCTGAAACAGGAAGAAATCATGAGCTAATTTCCTATATATTGTAATTAGAATCAGAACCACAACAATTACAGATGGGAAGTTTTTCCCCCTTTACTTTTAACGTGCATCCACCTGTTCTGTGTGCCAGGCACTACACTAGACAAATGCATTCATGTTGCTCACTTAAGCCTCATGACCTGAGTGGTTAGTATACTACTGTGTCCATTTCACAGAGAAAGCTCTAAGTCCCACATGATTTCCAGGACATCTCAGTTGAACGTTCTGGTTCCTTGTGCTTTTGTTTACAGAACTCTGAACTCTGAACAGAGTCTAATGACTTCATTAGAAAATGTAGAAAGAGAAGCTAAGGCTCACTGATTCTGAAAGGAGCTGGGAATTAACTGTTAAGGGAACCTTCTAGAGAGATGAAAGCATTCTATATCTTAGTAGGAATATGGGTTACATCCACACAGTTATAATGACTGCTAACAGTTTTCTTCATGGGCTAATGAGAAGACTGATTGTGGTGATGGATGTATAACCTTGTGAATGTATTTAAAGCCAAAGGATTGTACATGTTAAGTGGGTAAATTGTATGAATGTGAATTACATAATATCTCCATAAAGCTCCAAAACACACACACACACAAAGAGGGGGGAGTTTGCCTGAGGCTGAGGTAACAGACATCAAAAAGCAGAGCCAAGAAGGTAATTTAAATCCCCAGATTTTAAGAGTGCGTATATAAATATAGATACCAGTTTCCAGGGACTTCCCTGACAGTCCAGTGGTCCAAGGCTCTGCACTTTCATTGCAGGGGCATGGGTTCGTTTCCTGGTTGAGGAACTAAGATCGCGCATGCCACACCCTGCAGCCATATCAGTTTCCAGAGCAAGGATTAATATCTCCTCCCTGAAGCCAGTCCTTACACCCTGGCCCATGGAACTATGAACCTCAGCCACCTATCAAATACATCCCTCTACAGAAGCCTTTCTCCCCAGGTACTGAAGTCCATCTGCTCTCTGTCGGGCTGTGGAATGGGACCTGGATTCCTCTCTCTGCACAGCTGTACCAAGAGTGAGGACAGAGCTCCTAGTCTGTGGGTAAACACAAATGTTTGATGAGGGGACCAGCGAGCAGAGGAACAAGACCATTGGCTTAAAGGGATCCTTGACAGAGCAGAAATTCTCTCAAGACCAGAGTCAGCAAACGCATACTGGGCACCTGGACTCTAGGCTTTGGGGACCCAGAGGTGAACCAGAACGAGGCCCTGCCTTCAATGCGCTGACAAAGCGAGGGACAGGAGGGGCTTACCAGCGGGGCGGCTTCTCTGCATAGAGGACCGATGCTGGGTGGATGTGCAATTCATGATCATCACGGATGGTCCTTGGGAAGCAGAGCAATTTTATCTCAAGTACATTTTAAACACTTTCAGCAAGACCTTCCCACAGATGTGTTTACACTCTTGAAAAATGCAGGCTGCACTTCACACAAACAAAACTATCCTCTCCATCTTCTCTCAAGCCCTTTATGACCCCTCCCCCACAGTCACCCCAGAAATCAAGAATAAATTATGCTAAAAAAGGGAGAAGGACATTTGAAAAAAAAAAAAAACACCTGAGAAATATATTTTTCTGCTTTTGTTTATGTTTATCTTCCACAGGTTCTCTTTCAAAAATTTCCTTGAGGACAGAAATATATACAATTACTTCTATAAACTTTTCTATTAACAAGGTTAAACAGTAAAGACTATGGAAGAGACAATTATAAACAGGGGAAAAAGAAAGCTCAATATTGGACTATCCACTTCTCAGAGATAATATTTCAGATGCCAACTCAAATTTAATTCAATTTAATTCAAAAAAATATTTACAGCGCACACAACTGTTGGTGAGATCAGCTCATGAGAGAAGATTAACAGATTAGGATACTGCTGCTCAAACCATAATTACAGAGCACTTCTGCAGATGCCAGGGATGTGTGTCAGGAAAGGGCTCAAGGCCACAACCCTGCACATATCCAGCGCTGGAATAAAGCCACTGCCCAGGCTGCTGACTGTCTTATCAGGTGACCAACACTGAACTTTGTCCCAAAGGGGCTGACCACCATGAAGCCTGTTGTGTAGCCTGTATTTCTATTGAGGACACTGGTGAAAGACTTTTGTGAATGCTAGTGGGAACTGCTAATTAATAATCTTGAGGAGAGCGGGGCAATCAGAATGACAACGAAACGATGGCTCTCACTGGAGAAGATCACAGCCTGTGCAGGGCCGCCTCAGACAGAACAGCTCAGTGCTGGGAGCTGGGAGGGGAGTACAGACGATGGGGCAACAGAACCGTGACACTGATAGGCTGGAATACACGGCCTGGGGTAACAAATAGAACATACTAGAAACAAATGGAAAGTGCTATACTGAGGCTCAGTCAGCAACCAAATACTAGATGGAGGAGACCTGACTGCCAAAAACAACAAAGGAGCTCAATGCAGTTCTGGGCTCATCAACAAAGCCCAGTGGGAGGAGTCTGGGGGAGAACGGGAGCCTGTATATGTAGGCCTGAGTCCCCTAAGGTGTCCACCTGAAACCAACAAAACACTGTTAATTGGTTATACCCCAACAGAAAATAAAAACCTAAAAAAAAAGAAAAAGAAACAGGGTCCAGTATCTGGAATGGGACAGCACGGTGACTTCAGGATCACAGGACTATAATATGTTCTAAGGGGAAAAAGCTAACAATAGTCTAGGGAGGAAACCCAAAGATAAGTTAGGGAGAGAGCCTTTTGAGCACCCCCTTATTAAAGAAGGGGCTTCCCTTGTGGCTCAGCTGGTAAAGAATCTGCCTGCAATGTGGGAGACGTGGGTTCGATACCTGGGTTGGGAAGATCCTCTGGAGAAGAGAAAGGCTACCCACTCTAGTACTCTGGCCTGGAGAATTCCATGGACTGTATAGTCCATGGGATTGCAAACAGCTGGACACGACTGAGCCACTTTCACTTTCACTTTATTAAAGAAGAGCACCTTCTGATCACTGCTCTAAAAAACTGGCTAAAGTGAAGTTACAAGACTAAAACCAGCTCAGAAACAGAAAGATGGACTAAAGTAACAATTAAACAAACTGGAATGATTCGGTTTGGAAAAAAGAGGGCTAAACTCAGTGTTAGCTTTCACCAAATTTGAATATACTGGAGGTTATTGGAGGTCATCAGTGATCAGTGACTTTTCTATACCTGAAAAATGGAACAAGAAGAGACAAGCCCTAGTCGTCAGCAGAGGGAGGGGCCAGCCAGCACATGAGGAAATACTCACCAACATTCCAGTTTGGCTACAATGTACCTGGGGAGCTTCAGTTGTGCAGACCTCTAAAAATATCAGGAAGCACCCAACAGCAAAACTAACTTCTCTAGGAGAGAGCACCTGTAATGGTTCCCTCAAGTCCTATTACTCTCTGACTACAACAGATATGTTACCAGCCTGCAGACTTGTAACAGGCTTCCCTGACAGCTCAGTTGGTAAGAATTCACCTGCAATGCAGGAGACACCGGTTCGATTCCTGGGTTGGGAGGATCCGCTGGAGACGGGATAGGCTACCCACTCCAGTATTCTTGGGCTACCCCTGTGGCTCAGCTGGTAAAGAATCCACGCACAATGTGGGAGACCAAGGTTCAATCCCTGGGTTGCTAAGATCCCCTGGAGAAGGGAAAGACTACCCACTCCAGTTTTCTGGACTGGAGAATTCCACGGACTATATATATATAGTCCATGGGGTCACAAAGAGTCGGACACAACTGATCAACTTTCACTTTCAGACTTGTAACTATCATCCTCCTACAACATGTGGATGGGCTGAATATTCGAGAATCATTTCCACAAAGTTAAGACATTATGCTTAAAGCTGTACAGCTAACCTCAAGGCATCTTTAGAAGGAGGCAAGATACAAATAAAGAAAAATGATTTAATTTCTCTACTTTCTCTGCATGTCGGCTTGCTATTGGGTTTGGTTCATTTTTAACATTTAAATGACTTAAGTGACTTCACAAAGTATCATGTTACCTATAAGCTCCAGTAGAATGAAACCTCGCGGCATTTGCAAAGAATCCGGAAACGATGCACCTCAGAACTGGATCTGGATCACCTACACAAACAGAGGGATGGAAGAGATGAGACCTCACCCGCCCTATGCTCTGTGCTATGAGGCCCACCCCAGGCTGCCTTGAGCCACCTTGAAACCATCTCCTGAACGGGTTCAGCCCCACGATTCCCAGTGCCAGATGTCAGCCCTGGCACCATAGAGGTCCCCACCCTCCACAATGGCTGCTGACGGAAACATGTCAGACTGTTCTCTTAACCTGGGACCCTGCCCCCCGAATCCCCAGCCACAGAGGACCAGACCAAGGTTGGGCACCAGAACCTACAGAGCATTCCACATGCTGGCCAGTGACCTTGGAACTCCTCTTTAGAAGAGCATTTTGCAGGAATGATGTTCCTTCCCTAAGACACAACCTGGGACATTAACACTACAAGATTATTTCTGTGCTTATAGTTAGTTCATAATTCTTCAAAATTTTCAAACATCTCAGTTTAACTGGCACTGTGCTTTATCCAAGGATAAAGCCCGCTCAATTAGATGATTTCTACATGATATATCCAAATTATTCTGCAAAAACAAAAACGCCATCCATATGGCTTATGACATACGATATTTCATCAATTCTAAGATTTACTCTTTTTCACACTTTAACTCACTGAAATCAGGACAGCATTTTCTAATTGGCAACATTTTTTCTTTCTTAATGACACATAAAATAATGGTATGTCTTAATGGTGTCTTAGATCCAACAAAACAAAGTATATTGGTAAATAAGATACCAAAAAGTGGTATAATTTACAAAGCCATCAACAGTGTATGAGAAGGTCAGTTTTACTGCATTCTTATCAGCAATGTTCTGGCACAAAGGTACCCCTTCTTTAACTGTACACTTATTTATTACTATTACTGTATTTCTTCTTTTGTGAATTTTCCATTCCATTCCTTTGCCCATTTACCAACTTGGAAATTAGGTGGTTTTTTTTTCTTAATATGTTAAATAAATTCATTTTATAATAAGGCTTTTAATTTCTTATCCCTTATATCTGCTGAAAATATTTTTCGCTGTTTTACTTAACATCCAGTTTTGCTTAATTGGAGGGTAATTGCTTTACACTGCTGTGTTGGTCTCTGCTGCCAATGTCAATCAGCCACAAGCACACATACACTCCCTCCCTTCTGAAGAGAGCTTTTTAATTTGCACGTAATGCATTGCGCTTCCATAATTTTCTCTATTGTTCTTCAGCATAGAACTGAAAAAAATTTCAAATCTACATTTCCAAACACAATCTGATCCTAGCCTCAGGCCCTTCTCTCCACTTGCCCAAAAGAAGAATCTATGTAGAATGTGCATTCAAAATGAGATCATTTCCAAGGGGTAAAAACTGCCCTCCTTAGGGGCAGGATGGTGGGAAATTTTAAGTATTAACAAGAACTGTGGCCCTCCAGAGCTCAACCCTACCTTACAAAATCTTATTCCTTAGTACGGAATTTCTCGTGGTAAAAAGAATTTAAATTCAATCTAACTTTTCTCCTGAGCGAGGGGTTTGATAGGGACAGAGTGAAAGGACAAAGCAGGTGATAAACAGTTAATCACACTAGGGAATTGTAAGTAGTGAAAAAGCATAGGAGATTTAAGTTAATAATCACTCAAGAAAGCAGTGTGATTAACCACAAAATCCAGCAGGCTTGCTTAGAAACAAAACCATGCATCAGAAGCAGGAGGCACGCTCAAAACAATGGTGGCATGAGACCCCACACCCTCAGTGAGCTCAGTAAGCTAATGATTCTAGGACACACTTCTCTGCCCACACTAAAAACAAAACCATGAGGAAAGGTGGCGTTACACTGAAACCTGCAGATTTACCACATTTTAGTCTACGTTGCCACTTTTTGCTCATTTTCACTGCACAATGACAGTCCCAGTTTGACCATGTAGGGACAAGAAAGCTCCCTGGCTTGATGTGGAGGAGAAGCTGAAGATGGAAGCTTGATGTCCACTCAAGAATAAGGAAGAAGGTGGTCGTCTTCCCCTCCCCTGATTTCCCTTCAATTATAAAGCTGCAGCCCACTAAGTTCTCTGTGTGGCAGCTTCTTGCCCACCTGCTTGTAAGCCTCACAAGCATCCTATTCTAATCAATCACTTCTTATCACTTTGTGTCTTCCTAAATTCTTTCTGCACTGAGGGCTAAAGAATTGGAGCTCTTCCTTGAAGCCTCCAAGACACATTTCTGCTGTTTAAAGTTGACAATGAAAAACAGGTTAAGAAACAAAGATGCAGATGGATGGCTGCTCTCTATCTCCTGGGAGACAGGTGCTTGATCAGCTTCTCCCCAGTTAGCCGCCTTTGTGGGCTTCCTGTTTGTACTGATGATACTTTACCCAGTCACCTGGGCTCAATGCTTCCCTCTCTTAGGAGCATGGTCATCCATCAACACCCTCTGAACATCTGATACGCTCCTCTCTGCCAGCACTTGTCTCCACAGTCCTCCTTGCCTAGTGAGCCCTTTGCCACTGGTTTCTAATCCAACCAGTCTGCTCAACTGGCCTTCCACCACCACTTGAGGCCCACTGTAAGCCCTCTCAGTCCCCCCAACCCCAGGATTCCATCTTCCCTGCATTCCTACTAGAAACCCCATCACTGTACACCATGAGCACTCAAACATCTATTCCTGTAGTTTCTAAGACAACTGATAATCTCATTTGCAGTACTTTGTGTTACCATAGGACTCTCTCTTGTCACTGCACTGTTTCAACAGTAAGAACCGCGTCTTTGTCATCATGTAATTAGTTTCCCTTAGTACAAAGGCAACATAAAGCTCTGGAATGAAACAGCCTGAACTCTGAGGCCACTGTACACTCACTGTGCGACCTCCGTGTGGCCCGTCACTCACTGCCTCTCAGCCCACTGTTCTCATCTGTAGAATGGGGATCACAGCAGTACGTGTTTCACTGGAGCTCTGTGAGCACTAAATGAACTCACACATGAAGATACAGCCTTGCTGGGCCTGTAACGGGTGCTGCAGCTAGGTTAGCAAGAGCTAGTGGTGCCAAGAGTGTTGCCAAGGGCCTGGCACACAGGAGGTGTTCAAAAGACAACTGCTGACTGGCCGAGCAGACACACCACCCCCTGGAAAGCACTGGTCTGCGCCACATAGGCCCATCTTTGCTAGTTACCAGCTGTGTTGTCCCGAACTTAAATGAACTTCTCCCTGGGACCTTACAACTGCTCTGTGAAATAAGGATAACATCACCTACGCCTTGGAGTAGTAGAGTAAGTGAGAGAGTATTAAGTAAAACCCCCGTGGTGTAAACGAGTGTGTCCTCAACTAACAGCAGTCACTGTCACTGCCGAGGCCAGGAACTGTCTCCCACAGCACTTCCGTCTCACCCAGCGACTGTCCAGGCTCAACACTAAGCGCATGCTTTAGTGACACCGGTAGCTGAAAGTAAAAGGCAGTTTATACAGAATGGCCATGTAATGTCTTCCACGTAAAAGTCATTTTTCTTGCAAAACCTACATGGGAAAATTAACCACATGGCGTACAATGAGGTGAAGAATGTTAATGATTCTTAAGTGTTGTCAGGGCTTGTTAAAAAATTTAAAAAAAAAAGAATAGCCCTTAGAAATAAAAAATGAACCTTCTTGGGGGTGGGGGGTGGGGGGAAATATGCTCCCTTCACATGCAGCTTTTCACCAACACAGGCAATTCAAAATGCGAGCCCAGTGTGGGTCCACAGTACACTGTGTTGCCTCATACCGCCCAGCCTGAGAACGCCAAGGATGCAACTCCACAGAGCAGAGAGAGGAGTGTCATGAGCAGTGGCAGTTTATTCTTACCTTCACTAGATTTCTTGGGCACTTGAAACTTGACGAGAAGCTTTTTCAACTGCTCCCTCACTGTCGCAGCTCTGACGAGGCCCTTGTAATTCAGGAAATGCTCCTGACACCACTGGGAGTTTTTGTTGTGCTGCAGGACAAGGCACACGGAGGGAGGGTGAGACAGCAAGGACAGCTCTGGACCGAGGCTACGCAGTGGACGTCACTCAACCCTTTGCCCACTTCAGCTTACTTCATGGGACAAGATCTTCAAGTCATGGGCCCCTCTGGGGCCCCATCTCTCTAAACAGACGCTGACCACCCTGCTCACCATCTGACTGCTGTCTGATCCCACTCTCCTGTGCTAAAGCGCAAGTGAGAACTTAAAGATAAGCAGCACTGTTTTCGGTCTTAAGTATCTCCTTGAGCGTGGCATAACTTAAAGATAAGCAGCAATGTTCTCGGTCTTAAGTATCTCCTTGAGCGTGGCAGAACTTAAAGATAAGCAGCACTGTTCTCGGTCTTAAGTATCTCCTTGAGCGTGGCGAACTATCAGACAGAACCCCCTTCCTGCAGCTCTTTGTAAATCAACTTTCCCTCTCAGGCAGGCTTGAGATCATCACTTTACTTAACAACAGGCAAGTATGAGAAGGTCTGGTGCCGATGCTTAAGCCCAATACTTTGGCCACCTGATACAACGAGCTGATTCACGGGAAAAGACTCTAATGCTGGGAAAGACCGAGGGCCAAAGGAGAAGGGGGTGGCAGAGGATGAGATGGTTACATAGCATCACCAACTCAATGGACGTGAATTTGAGCAAACTGCACCGCAGGAGATAGTGAAGGACAGGGAAGCCTGGCGTGCTGCAGTCCATGGGGTCTCAAAAAGCTGGACACGGCTGAGTGACTGAATAACAACAACAGACGGCCTCCAATGGACCGGAGCATGGAGGGGGCCTTTGGAGTAGCGACTGTGCTTACTTTGATAAATGCTTCATACACATTGAGCATGGTAAGATGGTCACCCTCCTCCACAGCAAATTTTCGGTGCACTCGCATCTGGAAAGAATAAGGCAATGTTTAGAAGCTGACTCCTGTGAGCCTCTTGTCCTGGAGGTAACACGATGAATAGCTCAGTATAATTAAATTACAATGCTGTCTTAATTTCAAGTGTACATCAATATCGTAACTTTTCCTTCACAGTCTTTCCAGCATTCACCCATCTACCCATCAGAAATGCCTGGGCTGGGAGGGCCCTATCAGCAGCTTGGCTGTGCCAGGCCTGCTGTGCCCAGGCACGATCTCCTGGCAGCACTAATAAGCCCACCAAGGTTGCCCCCAGAGCAGCCTTGAAAACAACCTCCCTTACTTTTGAAAAGTCAGTAGGACAATGGTTAAGATTTGGACCATGAAAGGCAACTCCACCAATTCTGGCTGAGCAACCCTAAGTTATCGAGCTTTTCTGTGCCTCGATCTGTAAAAATGGTGACAGTAATACCTCCCTCCCAAGTTCACACTGAAGATAAAATGACATGATGTATATAAAATGCCTGGCACAATGTCAGGCACACAGTAAAATAAACACTCCAAACTGAAGCTGCTCTGTCAACTAGCAGTCCCTGGGCAGTTTTAACAAAGAAAAGACCAAAGTGAGCAAGATTTGTATGAACAGCTTGGGGAAAAAGTCAGACTTACAGCCTGAGACTTCTGGTTTGAGGGAACCACAAAGACATTCTGGATCTGCATCATGGCAGCAATGCTTAGAATTTCCTGAGAACAGCCAAAATTCCCTATAAAACAAAACACACGTTTGATTTCAAATGTGTCGTGTGTCACGAGAAGAAAAAGACGTTCTCTGATGTTTGCTTGCAGCACACTATAAACTAAGATCATCTATTCCTATACAGCTTCATTTTAAAATCTTATATAAACACTTCACCCTGCTCTGTATACATGGTCCAGATGAATGGAGGCCTGGAAGGACTCCACTCTGCAGTGGTCACACCGAGGGACTCTGCCATGAGACTCAACTAGGGCAGGCCAGCGCCACACCTGCCCCCTCCTCTCCAGGTGGACACCTGGAATCCCGGCAGAAAGCCTGAGAGGGAGGGGGGCGGGGACGTGGGCTGTATCCCCTGTGCTGTCCCTCTGCTCTGGATCTTTCTGTGAGGAGGCCTCCCTCTCAACAGGGCTCGCTTCACTCAGCAAGGCGGAGGCATACCGAGACCAGGGAAGCACGCGGTGGGCTGCAGCTGCTGGCACCTGGGCAGAGTCTGCAGCAACCAGCCCTCCAGGGCATCAAATGGAGTGAACTGCCCTACATGCTCCCCCACGGCTTCAGGCCTCACATATGATCTATCCTGCTTCTCATTGCAAGCCTGGTAGCTCCAAGACACAATGAGAGCTAACTGTCACCATGCTTAATCTGAAACACAGCTTTGTTGACTACCAGTGAATATAAAGTTAGACTAAAGCAAGACAGAGCTAGTATTTCCCTTCTCTGGGCTGTGGGGGGTGGCGAGCACAGTCTCTATAGTCTCCAGAGGATTTTGACTTCTAAGTACGAGAGGATCTTGAGGCTCTACACTTTGATCCCTTAACTCATATTCTCATAAAAATCTGAAAGCGTCAGAAAAGTTCGGACTCTTGCCCACTGGTAATGCAAATACAAAATGGTGTGGCTGCAAACACAAAGTGGAAGATGCTACAGTGATTCCTCAAAAAACTTAACACAGAATCACTGATCCAGCGATTCCACCCTAATATTAGACCTCAAAGAAGGGATGCAAACACATACTTGTACACCTGTGTTCACAGCAGCATTATTCACAATAGCCTAAGGGCGGCAGCTCCCTAGAAATCCACCAGCAGGTGAATGGTCTGTCCGTACAATGAAATATTACTCAGCCTTAAAAAAAATTCTGACACATGATACAACAGGAACCCTGAAGACATTGTACCAATGGAAAAAAGTCAGTCACAAAAGGACAAATAATTGTCTGACTCCACTTATATGAGGTTCTTAGAATAGTCAAACTCATAGAGACAGGAAGTGGAAGAGTGGTTGTCGGGGGTTGGGGGAGGGGAGAATGGGGAGTTAAGTGTTTAATGGGTAGAGTTCCGGTTTGACAAAAATGAAAACATTCTGGAGATGGATGTTGGTGGTGAAAGTACTTAATGTGAAAGTACTTAATGCTGCAGAACTGTCCATTTTAACATTTTTAATTGTATTTAAAAAATGAGTAAAATGGTTAAGTTTTATGTTGTGTATTTTTCACCATAAATTTGTACTAAAGCTCAGGTGTCAGACCCACAGGAAACAAACAAAAGTGTTTCCTGAATTAATGATGACTGACCTTGAATCACAAGCTAACAACATGCCCCAAAGCAGGCAGCTTTAGATGAAAACTCCTTCAGTGCTTAAAAAGAAAATTCTGACGCATGCTACATTGTGCCCTCTCCCCCAAGGTACACAGAATTTGAGAAACAACTTTCTGGACAAAATAAATCAATGAGAACCACTGGTCTCCACCTACCTGATTCAAGCAGCATTTTTGCAAACATGGGATTTAAAGGAAACTCTGCTATTCTCATGCCAAGAGGTTCAGTTAGGTGACAGTCTTTGTCCAGACCTGCCATAAGAACAACAAAAGGCAGAAGGCATGAACCATTGTGTTGGAAGATGTAGAGTTGTTGGGAGAATAAAAGATGATACATGCTAGCAAAGGCGTATCCAGGAGATGAATCATACACTGCTAGCCTCAATCTGATTGCTGTCACAGTAGAAAAAGAAAAGATTTCCTCAGAGCTCTTGAATATTCAGTTTTGAAAAATTAATTCTTCTAATGGTCTCTATGGGCTTCCCTGGTGGCTCAGTGGTAAAGAATCCACCCACCAATGCAGGAGATGCGGGTTCGATCCCTGGGTCGGGAAGATCCCTTGGAGGAAGAAATGGCAACCCACTCTAGTATTCTCGCCTGGGAAATCCCATGGACAGAGGAGCTGGTGGGCTACAGTCAATGGGGTCGCAAAGAGCTGGGACACATCTTAGGGACTAAACAACAATGGCCTCTATGCAAAGACCTGAGTTTAAGGAAATGGCCCCAGAGCCCCCTCCTGCTCCCACCCTCTCCTGGTTCTATTTCTGCCCAGAAACTGCCTTCTCCAAGGGCCCAACCCACAACCAGATAGTGCCAAACACAGAGGGTACTTTCCTTAGGGCCCCCAGCAGTCTGTGAGCCTGCTAACTACAGCTCCTTGGAAATACTCTTCCCCAGCTTCCAGGACCCACACTGTCTGGCTTCTCTGCCACCTCTCCTGCTGTTCTCTCTGCATCACCTCTGGACTACCGCACTCACTTCCCATGCTAGCAAGGTAATGCTCAAAATCCTTTAAGCTAGGTTCCAGCAGTGTGTGGATCACGAACTTTTCAGATGTACAAGCTGGGTTTAGAAAAGGCAGAGGAAGCAGAGATCAAATTGCTAACATTCACTGGGTCACAGAGAAAGCAAGCGAATTCCAGAAATAACATTCATTTCTGCTTCACTGACCATGCAAAAGCCTGTGACTGTGTGGATCACAACAAACTATGGAAAATTCTATTTTTTCCCCCATCACTTATGGCAAATAGATGGGGAAAAAATGGAAACAGTAACAGATTTATTTTCCTGGGCTCCAAAATCACTGTGGACCCTGATTGCAACCATGAAATTAAAAGACGCTTGCCTCCTGGAAGAAAAGCTATGACAAGCCTAGACAGCGTATTAAGAGTAGACATCACTTTGATGACAAAGGTCTGTATAGTCAAGGCTGTGGTTTTTCCAGTAGTCCTGTATGGATGTGAGAATTGGACCATAAAGAAGGCTGAGGACCAAAGAATTGATGCTTTCAAACTGTGGTGCTGGTGAAGACTCTTGAGAGTCCCTTGGACAGTAAGGAGATCAAACCAGACAATCCTAAAGGAAATGAAACCTGAATATTCATCAGAAGGACTGATGCTGAAACTGAAGCTCCAAAATTTTGACCACCTGATGCGAAGAGTCAACTCTTGGGAAAGACCCTGATGCTGGGAAAGACTGAGGGCAGAAAGAGAAGGGGCTGACACAGGATGAGATGGTAGATAGCATTACTGACTCAATGGACATTAATTTGAGCAAACTCCAGGAGACAGTGAAGGACAGAGGAGTTTGGTGTGCCATAGTCCATGGGGCCACAAAGAGTCTGACCTGACTTAGTGACTGAACAACAACATTTGGGGCTAACTTGAACTGCACATTTTAAATGGGTGAATTACATGGTGTATCAATTATACCTCAATAAAGATCTTAAGAACTAAAAAAAAAAAAAATCACAAAGAACAAAACCTCACTGAAATTTAATACCAAACTGGATATTATTTTCATTGGAGGCAACCTTCACAGAAAAGACACTTCCAAAATAGGTGAATTTAGCCCACAATTTTTTCTATCTTAAGATAAATACCACATTTTCAAACAACAAGAGAACAAAAGTTCCTCCATAACATGGTGTCTCCTTGTCCAAACAATACCACAGGCCGGTATTCTACCCAATCCTCCACAGGAACTCCAGGAGTGGAAGGAAGGGGGTTTAGGGAGAGAACACTGAGCCAGTTTCAGAATGAGGTCAGGGACACAGAATAAGGCCCAGAGGGGTGACAGCTGAAATACTGGTAAAAGAGTCTCCCAGATGTCTCTTAGGAAGTATAGGGTAGCAAAGGTTATTAAAACCTTTTGATGTATTGACATGCTTCATAAATTTGTCACAATTAGACTTCATGATCCAATCATAAAGTGAAAGTAAATTGTTAGTTGCTCAGCCAACTCTTTGCAACCCCATGGACTGTAGCCTGCCAGCCTCCTCTGTCCATGGGATTCTCCAGGCAAGAACACTGAAGTGAGCTGCCATGCCCTCCTCCAGGGGATCTTCCCAATCCAGGGATCAATCATGGTCCCACCTTATTTCGATAAGCTTGCGTGTCACTTAGAGGATCATATATATGGGAAGAACCAAGTTCATCCTTGAAGATACCAAGAGCCCTAGAGTGAATACAACCTAACATCACATATTAATAATGTGTAAGAAACACAGTAAGAGACAGACGTACCTCCCAGAGCATACAGTAACTCCAATGCTTGAACCATCGACTGCGCTGGAGGTGGCTGTAGGAAACATAACCACCCCCCAAGTTAATTTCATCAGGTAACAGCCATAACAAGGCAACTACTTCCTGCTCAAACTCACTCTTCACTTTGACACGCCCCAGACTTCCCGACCTCCACGCTTACTCTCAAGATGTGCTTCCTCTCCCTCTCAGCACCCTTCCTACTCCGTGGTCTTCAATCTCAGCTTGATTAAACATTTCCTTTGAAGCTTTCCCTCATGCTCCGCTCACATCAGAAGAGACGGGTCCTTACCTTGAACTACTTCCTTGCTTTCCCTAAACTCTCATCAAACATTTCTAATTTTTACCTCATGTCTCAGCCTTCTAAGAAGCCCCATGATACTGCAGTATTGATGGATGATTCATCTTTGTATCACCCAGAGCTCCGCCCCAGGCCCTCCCTATAGGGAGTAACTGACATCAGTTGAATTTGAACTTCTGGAAATAAACAGAGAATGCTAGACAATCCGAAGTTTAACAAAGCTGATACTGTGAGTTTCAGTCTGAGTCTCTGGATCCTCACTGCCTTCTTTCCTTCAGTGAACCTTTACTGAGCCTTTACTGTGCGCCAAGCATCACTACCATCTTCTAAACTATTTCATCTATAAGCCACATAATAAAATTATAGTCCTTTTGCAAATTGCATAATTTCTTTTTTCTAAATGCATTCACAACAAATGTATTTTAAATATATACTGTTTCAGTTCAGTTTTACAGGTGAGGAAAGTGAATAACAAAATGTAAAAGACATTTGAACAAGATCCTAGAGGCCACTGGTGGCAAAGCCAGAGACAGAACTCGGGTCTCGTTTTTTCCACTCTGCCACACCCACTTGGAGAAGGAAATGGCAACCCACCCCAGTACTCTTGCCTGGAAAATTTCATGAACGGTGGAGCCTGGTAAGCTAGAGTCCATGGAAACGCAGAGTCACACACGACTGAGCACCTCCACCTCACACCCACTGGACTGCCGAGGAACAAAGGCGCACTTTTCGAAACTGTGCTGACTGCAGGCACGCACTGACGAGGGCAGGAACTAGACCTGACTCACGGCTCGCCAGGGACTCAACAAACCGCTGTGGACTAAATCATGTAACTGATTCACTAGTCTCTCCTCAGTGCCCACAACATCCTACTTCATGAACAGCAAACATACACACAGCACCTAAAAGGGGGCCGAGATTACATGAGTAACGGACAGACCAAGCGCTCAACGAGGTTCTGAATCATTACGGAACAAAACAGGCAAGCCCTCTTGGACTCCTTTTAATCCCTGGCCCTGTTTGCAGTCAATCACCAGGCCTGATGAATTCTGCTCTTGGGATTCATCATCAGTCAAAAGGCCCACACCTTTACCCCCTCCCTCCCCAAATCACATCCAGAGGATTTTCACCTCAACACACACTTACTAGTATTTCTCCGCGGCCTCATCTGATTGGAGATCACATAAAAACACTGTTTTAATGCAGCTGGAAGCACTGCGTGTGCAGTTTTAGTTTACTTTTCTCACTGCCTGGTGTTCTGTTCCCACTGTTTCTGGTACTCATCACGCTTCACAGTGATGACCCTGAGACAGCTGCATGCTATTCCAACAAGGTCGTACACTGTGAAATAAGCACCTTTCTTGCTACTGGGCAACTGAGTGGTTTTCAGTTCTTTGCTACTGTAATTATCACTGCTAAAGATACAAAATCATATGCATCCTGTGATTTCAACTGTTAAAAAAAAAACCACAATTTCAGGGGAAAATAACCAGAAGGGAATATATGAAGATGAATTTATATGTATTTCCTTCATTTCTCAGCTGTCCAAAAGTTTATGATTTTCACTATTATATTTTTAAATTTAATATAATATGATACTATAATCATTATCCGACATATAAATTATTTGTTTCTTTTGAATTATCTTCAGGAGAAAATTCCCCAAGAAGAAATACCAGGCATTTCTACAGCTCATAATGTCAGAAAGTCCTCCATGAGGACCGAAACGGAATACAAAACCATTTCCCCCAAGTTGTGTCAGCTGGACTTTATCATTTTTATGTTTGATCATTCAATTAATGTAGAGTGGAACAGCTATTTCAATTTGTATTTCTTTCTCCTAGAGAAGTCAAACGTATTCTAATGTTGGTTATTATTTGCACTATTCATGCAACATCAGGGACTTTATCATCCAGGAATCTAGACTAGTAACACACATCAACAATGTTAGGATAGAATAGAGAGTCAAAAAAATACAAGTTTTCAAGTCATAAAAATTCAAGAAGAAAACATGAGTGAGTATTTATTAACTGACCAGGTTATGAGGAAATGCTTCACGAGCACAAGAGAAGAAAGAAAATCATAGAGGCAAAGGTAGAAAGATATTGCTGTGGAAATGTTTACAGTGGCTGCACATAACTAAACAAACAATAAAATACAAACTAGAAGAACTATTTACAAGAAATACTATAGACAAAAGTTAATAGTTTTTAATAGTTAAGTCTTTAATAATTAAAGGACTCTTAAAAAATCACTAATAAACACTAGAATAGTTTAATTCAGAAGAAATATAAAGTGGCTGATAATTTTTTTAACCTTATGAGAAATCAAAAAAGATAGAGATGGTATTTTTCCTCCTTCCTCCCACCAACCAAATTAGAAAAACTCTAAAAGAAGATAACATAGCAGGATCAGGGTCCAGTGAGTCAGGCATGCATGCGCTGCTCAAGTTTACACCTCTAAAGGAATTCTGCCCTCTATCGAGCACCTACGAAATGATTATGGTCTTTGACCCAATAAACCCACTCCTGGAAATAATCAGAAATGCAGTCAGCCATAGGGACTTTCCCTGTAGCTCCACCACAGCCCTCCTGGCTTCCCCAGTCGGGACACTTCTCTATCAGGCCGACACACTCCTGGATCACTCCACCCCTCCAGACTCGCTGAAATCTCACTTGGGTTTCAGGTCTCGCCTCAGACATGACTTAACTGGGCTGCAGGCCTTCCCTGTGCCTCTCAGAGCACAGGGCACAGATCCCTGTCATTACCCCACTTACTCCCTCTCCCCCAGCAGACAAGAACAGAAGTTGTCACCCTTGTCTAGCTGTTCTCCCCTGGACCTTGCACACCATACCTGAGTTAAGCGAAAAACACCAGAAAGGCAGCACACTCTGTACCGATGCCAGCACCTCCCTTGGGAGCATTCCAGTCTCCCACCAGCTACAGACGGAAGGCAGGACTTACCGACATGAAGTGGAACCTGAGGACGTTGTCGATCCCCAGCGCCTTCAGCTGCAGGATGACGGGGGCCAGGTTGCTCCGCTGCATCTCAGGGACAGTGGACTGAGGCAGCTGGTCAAAGGCTTCCTCTGGGGATAGGAAATCAGAACTGTTTGGGATCAAATGTCACAATCAAATGTGACCATTCTGCCAAAGGAAATGTTGTCCTTCTCTCACTTTAATGAGGGGCTCTAGGAGTCTAGGCTCAGACTCATATGATACTCTGACAGATCGTTGCCTCCTATTTAGGAAAGACCCTTTTTTTTTTCTTAAACTTTAGATAAATATATTTTAACAATATGTCTTTATAAAAGTATGTCCTTTCACTTTAGAATGCTTTTTACAATGTGATTCTTGTTAGCAAAACATTAAAACAAAGCAACAAGTTATTACTGTGGGTGCCCAGGTTCCATTCCCTCTGCGTGGGATAGAGCCAAGGAGCCAAGGACTGTATATAAAAGCAAAGAACGATTTCAGGATAAATTACCAAATAAAACCAGAATATAACCAAAATATCTCTAAAATATTAAAAAATGACCAAATCTCAAAAAGACCAAAAATTGTCCAACTTTTTAAATCAAGCCAGGCACATACGTCACTCCCAGAATCCAATGCTGCCCCAAATGGATTAATGAATGCTTACACACACCATCGGGAACAAAAGCTGACCTCGAACAGGAAAAGGCACCACAAGGTTCAGGAGGCCAAGACAGGAGGGGCAGGAGAGGGGGGAGGGAGGGAAAGAGACTCTGGGAAGCCTTTATATAAAAGCTAGATAAAAAGGGTGAGGGAAAAAAACAGCGAGGAAGAGATTAAATCCCTTGTGTGTATATTCAGAAAGCTTATGGATCATTTAGAGAAGGATTATAGACAAAATACTCCCACATCAGTCAACATTTTAACTGTGCACACCCTCCTTCACATAAAGGTGGCCTAGCTTCCAACATAAATCTTTAATTAACCAGAGAAAAGTCAGAGCAGAACAAAAGGTGTCATGAAGAAACAGCACTATCACTGAAGGACTTCAAAAAAACTTTACTTTGAGAAAACAGACAATAAATATTCTGTGAGTTGATTGATGCAAATCGCCAAATGCATGGGCCCACCTGGAAGGTTCTGGGTAACAGGCAACAGCAGGAAGTTCCAAATGGGATATTTCCTTCAAGTTTCAAGAGCGTTTGAGGGGTAGACTTTTGGTAGAATAACCATATTTTTCAAGCACACTGCTATCAGATAAGAGGACAATCCTGATGAAGATGCTCACAGGAAGTAGGTGCTTCTTAAGAGTTCAAGGACACTTCAGTTAAGTTCAAGGACACTCGAGTCTACTGAGGACTCAAGTACACAAGGCATTGTGCCAAGGGCTGCAGGAGCTGTAGGCCAACTGCTTTTGAGATGTTTCCATGAGTCAAAGGGGTCTGGGACCAAGATGAGGAACAGGCTAGGTCCCAGTGTAGGGTCCTCCCGAGGAGAAATGGAGGCTGAAGGATGAAGGGAGGACAGCTGAGGGGAGAAGGGATTTAGAGCACTGACATCTGAGAGAGGAAGACAAGGACAAAGTGGATCCGTTGGGCAGAGGAAACGGTCCATGGAAAGGGATCAAAGGTATGAGAAGCAGATGTGCGAAAACAGAAGGTAGATTCAAAAAAGAGAGCAGCTGAGCAGGGATGCGTGCAGGGTCAGTGCTGTGGACAGCGGGGGGGAGACAGGCTAGCAGTCCCGGAAGGATCTGGGAAACTGTTAGGGTCAGAGGAGGGAGCACCCTGCTCAGAGCTGTGATCTCTGGAGGTAGGCTAGCGGAGGAAACCTAGAGGCTGGAACAAGTTACCCCATTACTGGCAGGTGGTCTCCTCCCAACCTCACCTCCACTAAAGCGGCTCACACTAAGGCAGCCAGTGACCCTTTACCCAAATCCACTTGCCTATCTTCAGTCTACAGTCTGCTGTTTGATTTCCTTGGAGCGTGAGATGATGCTGCCCATTTCCTCTTTAGAAGTAACTTCAGTTCAAGTTAAACAAAGAATTACCATGTGACTCTGCAATTCCACTCCTAGGTGTATACCCAAAGTAATTAAAAACACAGACTGAAGTACATGTACATATTTGTTCATAGCAGCACTATTCACAATAGTCAAAAGGTAGAAACAACCATCAACTGATAAACAAATCGTGGTACCTTCATACAATGGAATATTATTTGACCATAAGAGGGAATAAAGTACCGATACAATGTAAATGAACCTGGAAAACATTATGTTGAGTGAAAGAAACCAGACACAAAATGTCATATGATTTAATTTATGTAAAATAGCCAAAACAGATACATTCATCCCTTGGGATCCACAGGAGACTAATTCCAGGACACCCCTCTCCCCCACTGCAGATACCATAATCTGAGGACGCTCAAGTCCCTTACAGAAAATGGCGCAGTATTTGCACATAACCTACACACATCCTCTGAATACTTTAAATCATCTCTAGGTTACTTATAGGACTTAACACAATACAAATGCCATGTGAACTGTTTCTGGGCAACTTCAAGTATTGCTTTCTGAAACTTTGTGGAATTTTTTCCCCAAATGTTTTCCATCTGCAGTTGGTTCAATCTATGGATACAGAGGGCCACCTGACCATCCGAAACAACAGAACAAAGATTGCTGGTTGTCAAGAGGCTGGTAGCAGGGAGAAATGAAGAAGGAAATACTGCTTAACAGGTAAGGCATTTACCTTAGAGTGAGAAAGACGTTTTGTAACTAAATAAAGGTGGTGGCTGCACACTGTGAAGATAATAAATGCCACTGAACTGTTCAAGTTAAAAGGGTTAATTTCATATTATGTAAATTTCACCTCAATTAAAAAAAAATTTAAGTTTCCTGAAACTTCCTCTACCCCATATTTCAGTTTGCCTCTGAAACGGGCTTTCCTCTTTCTATTTCCATTATTCCCTCTTAGTACCTTCAGTGGATGATCCTTACCTCTCTGGCCTCAGGTTCTGCATTCTCCCTCCCTCCCATGAATCCTTCCTACCCCTTCCTCCCCTCCAAGTACTGGTACATTCTACTTCCTCTGCCCGCTGTGATGAAATCTAACCCCCACTGCTATCCCCTCAACTGGATTAACTACTGGGTTGCCGGTAAGATCAGGCTCAATTATGGACTCTGAAGTCCTCCCTAATAGGAATAGCTCCCTGCTGTCTGCTTCCAAGGCTCACTCAGTTATGGCAACTCCATCACACCATAATATGCTAATCTGTTCATGAGCCTGCCTCCACCACCAGGCTGTCAGCCATGTGGCCTCAGACCGTGTCTCACCTGGCTTTAGATTTCCAGGCCTGGCACAGAGCAGGTGCTCTGTAAACATCTGGGAAAAAGAATAAATGATGTCAAGGACTGAACAAGGATGATGGTAATCAGAAAGGAAAGGAGAGATAAGTGGTAAAACCCCTGGATCTGGTTAAGTGACTACAGAAGAATATTGGACAGAGGAGGGAATTAAAAATGACTTGAAAATTATAGATAATTGAGAGAAACTTTGACACCGTCACCCACAAAAGAGAGGTACAATGAAGTAAAGAGTAGCTCTGGGGACCTCATTTTCTGTAGATAAGACTGCTGTTTAGTTGGAGAGAAAGCTTCTTAAGGGCTAAGACCATCGTCATTGTAATTTCATGTTGCTCCTTCAAAGTCAAACATGGAGCAGGAACTGACCAACTGCTTTCTATCAACAAGTCTCAGGAGAGACCCTGCTGGTTTGGCTCTGCAAAGGTGCTCTGAACCAGAGGTAAAGATGGAACCCACTGTGGGGCCCCACAGGATTCAAGGATCCCAGAACAACAACAACAAAAAATGCCACATGATGCTAAGAGAAATGTTAAGAAAGACAGAACATGAGCCACAAGGGTCCAAGCTACATGTCACATGGCTGCAGACAGGCCAAGGCCCAGACTAGGTCAGAAAAGGGGTGGCAAATAATTGGTAATTCATGGGACTTCAGTGGTGGTCCAGTGGCTAAGACTCCTCACTCCCAATGCAGGGGGCTCCAGGGTGCCATCCCTGGTTGGGGAACTAGATCCTACATGTCCCAACTAAGAGTTCACATGCTACAACTAAAGATCCTGCATGCCATAACTAAGACCCAGTGCTACCAAATAAATATTTTTTTAAAACTGGTCTAGCTTTGGCCAGTGAGGAGCAGTAGCAAAGAAGGGCCATGTCTGGAGTGAGGAAAGTGGTGGGGGTCAGATTACAGAAGGCCTTGTGAGGGAGATCTGGGTCTTAAGTTCTGCTTATTAGGGGTAGATACCTGTAATATTCTCTGATGCCCAGGCTGACTAGGAGAAAGTCAAAACCCCTAAAAGAGAAAAAGCCACACTTACCTGTATAAAGGCGGTAACATTTCCCTGAGCGGCTGCGGCCACCACGTCCTGCTCGCTGGTTGGCTGATGCCTGGGACACTGGGACCACCACCAAGCACTCGATAGCTGTCCTGGGGTTGTAGGCCCGGAGCTTCACGAAGCCACAATCAATCACGTACACGATCCCGCTGATTGTGATGGAGGTTTCTGCTACGTTGGTGGCCACGATCACCTAGGTTCCCCCACAGGAAGGAGTGTCAGGATAAAAGTGTTTTGGTTGTCTTCACCCTGAATAAACTAATCAAAGTCCTAAAAGATTTCAAGATATCTTCAACAGTGTAGAACCTGTGAGAGGCAGTTAGGTATCCTGGGTGGACTAGGATGAGTTTTAGGCTCAGGGTGTCTTGGGTTTCAATTCTCCCTAAGCTTGGGACCTTGGACAAGTTCCTTAACCTCCTGAGCATGTTTCTTTGTTTCCATAATAAAATTTACCCTCCCGAGGTTCTTGAGAGGATTAAACGTGAAACATACATGAAATGATTATTAGACCCTGGTAGCTGGCTTAAAGAAAATATTCAACAAATATTAGTTTTTACCTTTTGTCAACTCAAGTGATGCACATCACCACCTGTACCTGTCTTTTACTCACATTCTAACTGCTTTCTGAGGGTCTGCACTTTGCCAGGCACTCTTCAAGATGCTAGGAATGTACAATGGACAGAGTCCACATTCCAGTGTGAGTGTCTGGGTGGAGAAATAGTGAACATAAACAAGAAAGTGACAAACACCAGAAGGAAAATGCAATAGGGTAATACTCTAGTATTATGTAGTGTTCAATGTATACCTCATGTTACATTAATAATGGAGCATGCTTACTTCAGGTTAGATGGCCAGGGAAAGCCTCTCTAAAAGATGATTTTAGGCTGAGACCTGAGTAACAAGCAGCAACCGGCCCTACAGAGATCCAGGCAGAGGAAGGAGAAACAGCCAATGCAGCCACAGACCAGGATAGTTAAATAAAATATGAGGTTAGGAGGGATGCAGGGACCCAATCATGCATGGTCTCTGGGCCACAAGAGGGGTTTGCATTTTATTCCAAGGGCACTGAGCGCTGCCCCCTGGCGGGTGTGAAGCAGCAGGAGACATACAGATATAGCATTTGGAACTTTTGTCGGGCACTTTTACATAGATCATTTTACAAAAACCTCCTACTATTTTTATGGAGTCAGGATTTTATGCTATAAAAAAATCCATCTAAAAGTTACTATTATTCATGTTTTATAGATGAGAAAACCAGGCCTCAGGGCTGGGTAACTCATCCCAGTGCACAGGGTAATCCAGGTCTCCTGACTGGGTGGCGACAGTTCACGTTTGACTGGACAGACTTGAGCTGCTCTGTCCCAGTGGCCAGGCTGCCCTCTTAAAAGTGACCTGAAGTTGGGGGTGGATCCTCAGACTGGCCATCCCTCACCTACTGTGGTCTCTGCCACCTGCTGATAAATAGCTACTCTAAGGCAACTCTGGGCCATTTCTGTACCTTCCTCACTGGATGAAGGCAGAACAGAACAGAACCCAGGGAGGTGACAGACAGGAAACAGACTGGCTGCCTACTGGCTGCTTTAAACCAGTGCTTCTCACCAAGCCCTTCCCCACCCCAATTTCAAGGCTAGGTATTTTTAAGCCACACCTTGAATTAACTAACTTAAATGGCTGAGAAACCATTTTACAGTAACTAATCTACTGTTTCTGACTGATCTCAATTCACGAAGACAATCCTTTAAACCAAGATACTGTTGTGTGACAGGGAAAGAAAAGAAGCAAAGAGAAGTCACCTACTCTGATAATTACTAAACTTTCTGTGGGGCAGGCTGAGATATCTTTGCAACTCATATATTGATTGTGTGCTTTTGTCCTTGTTTGTGTTTTTTGGGGGGGTTGGCTATGCAGCTTGAGGGAAATTAGTTGCCCAACCAGGGACTGAACCCAGGCCCTCAACAGTGGAAGAGTAGAGTACTAACCACTGGACTACTGGGAATTTCTTTCTGTATGCTTTTAGCTCGGCTACACAGAAATACAGACTTTAAGTTCTTTAAAATACCTTCCTATTTAGCATGTTCTACTTCAAAGTAAAATAAACCTTTCCAGTAGAGAGCAAGGGGGCACCAACACGATTACAGACGGCTGCAAACGCCCTTGGTTCCTGGGTTAATCTTACCTTTCTGACACTGCGTGACACCCTTTCAAACACTTTCATTTGCTCAAAGGAGGGCAGTCCCGCATACATGGGGAGAATCCGGAGGTGTCTCTTCATACCAGTCCGACCTAGAGCTCGAGCCTGCTCGATCAGCATTGACACGACAGTTTCCACCTCTTCCTAAAATCATCAAAATGGGGACCAAAGAAATCGAGGTCAGACTGAAGCATGTCATTTTATCCTACTGCAAGAAAAATGTAGGATGGGGTCAAGACTATAAATGCGGTCAGATTTGTGACTGTCAGAGAGTCATCACTCCACACTGGGGTGGTATTTAATCAAATGCAACCGAACAATGGTGTCAACGGGGTGTAAAATCATGACTGTCCGATTAATTACTAAAATCCATAGTACCTACAGTCAATAGAAGAATTCCTGATGCACCAAAATGACTATTTTACTGAGGTGGTTTTTTTTAATACACTGCAGCAAACAGTGTGGCATATACATGGACAAGTAAGTTGTGGCATACACATGGACAAGTTGTGGCATACAAAATCACTGTAAGCCTGTTCTAGCAAAGATTACTGCACAATGGAAAATGCTTGCCAGTGGAAATGATTACCACTAGGGGGCAGTTCTGAAGAGAGCTACAACCCTGAGTGAGTCTTTAAGCCTGTCTGGCTGTTTCTCCAGTGGTGCGCCAACCTGTTCCCTCCAGGGTGAGCTGCAAAGGTGTCACTGGGAAAAGGGTGCAGCAGTGACACGGAGGCACAACATGCACCTCATGCAGGACTCAATCTGGTATCTAAACGGCCCACTGACTTAGCTCTCTGATTTACTCTGCAATCAGCTGATAAATTTTCAATATCTGGCAGACAGAACAGGCAGGAGCTAATGATTCTCTGGCAATTGAGTCAACAGATGAATGACATCAAACTGAACAATTTTTTTATGCAATCAAGTGACCACAAAGACAAAACATGAGATCGATGGCTAAGTAAAGTAACAGGCTTCTGTATACATTTTGGTGCTGCTTTTTTAAAGATTTTTTTTTTCTTTAATTTTTATTGTAGTGTAGTTCCATTTGGTACTCAATATGTCTGTTCGCCAGAGGAAAAAAGGTTCAATGGAATTACCTGACCAGTGAGAAATGCTAGTATGTCTCCATCTCCCTCCGTCTGGTGAATTTTCATCACGGTTTCTACGGTTGATTTGATGTAATCTGGAACAGGACTGAAAATATGTATGAGATAAATTCATCACCAGAATATGCTCACTATTTATAGATCAATTACCTTAGTAATCTGGCAGCAAAGCCTTGTGAAAGTTAGTTTGGGCCTGCCCAGCAGATAATCGGCATATGAATAATTAAAATAAACATTCTTTTTTTTTTAAATGCAGCATTCAAATACAATTCATAATCACATGTAAACTACTATTTTTGGCTTTATTTGCAGAGACAGAAAAGCAATAAAGCCCATGCAAACCAATGTCCTATCTTTAGCATGCAAAGATTCCCTAGCCAGGGAAATTGGGTCTCTTGTCCCAGTGCTAAATTCCACATTCTTTCCATTTCCCCTCCTGACCACCAGCAGCATGTCTGAGGGGAGCAGATGGAGCTCACGGGTGCCTGTCCCTCTAAAATGACTCAGAAGTCAGGCCCGTAACTCTCTGACTTTATCTGCCTCTGGCCCAGGCTCCCAGTCTTCCTCTGTCCAGTGACAAGGAGTAGGAATTAGGATGACCCTTTCCTATTCAAAGAGGCTCCTCCTGAAAATGTCAGCCAGGCCTTCCTGCTAAGATGTAGACGGTTGAGAACCAAATGATTCAAATCACCAATACCACCCAAGCTGGCAATCTTGTAAAGCCCAGTTCAGACTGTTCTAGAGCCCTCCTCCCTGCAACCTTGTTCTCATTTTGCTCTTTGCAACTGAGACAGGGACCACAGAGTCATGGAAACCTGCACATCTGGAAGGAGACTTAAAATCCTGCAGCGATACTGAGGGAGGGTTCCAGAACATCCCATCAGTGACAAAACATGCCCTTCCTCAGCAACCTGGCGCACCACCCTCGAAGCTGTAAGCAGACGCAGCTGCTTCTCAGCCCACCAAACAGGCCTGGTTTTCCAGTCGCCCTCACTAAAAATGCAAGGACTGTCAAACCTCTGTAGATAAAAGATGTCCACTGGAAATGTTCGCCCTTCCACTGTAAGGATCACGCACGTATCCCTGGTTGGATCACTGGTGTCATTTTGATTAAAGAAATCCCGAAATTTCTAAAAGAAATTAAAAAAAAAAATTCTTCATCACTCAAATTAAAAAAAAAAGGTTCATAGTAACTCATGAAAAAAAAAAGGTTCATAGTAACTCATGAAAAGAAAGAAAATAATATAAAACTGGCAGAGCAGGGGATCGGGGATAGGGACTGGCTGTATGTAATACAGATTAAGGATAACAAAATTATTCAGAGAATCACATTTTTATTCTTATAACTTTGGGGAGTCACATTTCAACGACAGACCCTTTATTGAAGATTTGACAGAAATGATCAAGGTTAGATTTCCAAAGTGCATTCAGCTGTGAACCTAAGTCAACAGCAGCAGAGGGATTATTGATCTTACCCCACCTGGCCCCCCTCCCCCATACTGCATTTAACCTCAGACTAGATCAGAAGGTGTAACTCAAGTTAAAGGAGGATTACATTAGGCTGATGTGTACTTCTGATCTGGGAAGCACAGCTCTGACCACACAGGTGATCGCTGTATAAAGGAAACCTGTACATCTGTGAATGGCAGGGATATTCCTGGCAGTGCAGTCACAGATCTACAGGTCCTGTGTTTGCAAAACAGAGTCCTCTCCCTCTTTATATGCCCCTCAGGAGGCAGCACAACACTCTGCATGGCAGATCGGCAATTATCCACTTCTCCCACACTCCCACAGGACCTCACTGAGAGAAGTGGCTCTTGGCAATTCCACCCAAATAGGTGGCCACATCTTCTTCAGTGGCACTTGATCCCCAGGCCTGCGGTCTTTAGGGAGGCCAGTGGGAGAGCGCTTGACCTTCCCGGTCCCCTGAGGCTTGGCCATGCGCTGCTTCCTCCTCTCCTCCTAGGAGGCCCAGCCATGGGATCACCAGGCCTGTATTCTTTCCTTCCCAGGTATCTCCCCTAAACATGTCCACGTCTTCTCCTGGAAACCAGGATCCCAGGGGTGCCCTGAGAACTTGAATCAAGTACAACTTGAAAAGACTCGGAGGAGCACTTCTAGATGAGTCGACTAGATTGAACTCCAAAATACCTGCATGCTACGTGTCAACCTCCAAGTCATGTCTGAGAAGAGTAAACACAGACATAAAAGAACAAGCCTCTGGCCAAAAGTACTGTGCTGTGCTATGAAGACCCACACAGCTCCACCCTTCTTTCAAGTAAATTCCCTGCAAGTGACTTCAGCCTTCCTGTGTCCCATGGTATGCAAAGCATAGGCAGGCTACAAGTGACGCACAAACAAGGGAGAAGGCACTGCACCCCAGTCCCCCAAACAGTGAATAAGCCAGGGAGAAAGGTGTACAAAAAACCAACCATAACATAAACCGAGCCTCAATGACTGGATGACCAGAAAAGAGCTGCGAGTTACAATCAGGGGAGGAAGAAAGGGCCCGCAACAACGTGGGGTAGGGAGGGCGTTCTGGAGGTGGCAGGATCCCCTGGCTAAGCCTGAAAGGATGAGGAGGGCTATTACTGGTTGGGAAGGAGAAGAGGCACACCCCTTCCAAGGATGACAGCAGAGACGTAAAGACAGAGAGTTACTCTTTTAAGAAACAAAACTCAGCATTAACTGAGACGACACAAGATTTTTGTCCTTAAGAACTTCATCTTTTATCTGTATTTGGAATCCGTATTAAACACATACACACGGAAAATTAAAGACTAGAAAGCAAATAAACATAGTGTCAAGAGGGTCTGCAACTTGAGGCAGAATGAAGGACCAGCAGGAGTGAAATGAGTTCAACCAGAAAAAGAAAGAGTGAGAGTCAGCTTTGAAAGCCAAGGATCACGCTGACACAGACACACACAAAAGGACTAGGAGGAAGAGGCTTGTCTGTGACATGCACACAAATGACGTGGATGTCTGCGGGATCGCCTCCCCTGCTCACCTGTTTCCTTTTCTACTAGCGGCTCTGATCTGGCCCACAGGAGTGGGCCCCCAGCAGCCATGCCAACATGACCTGCCCACCTTTGGCCCATCAGAATGGTTCCAAGTGGGTACCTGACTATAATGGACCCCAAATTCCTTCTCTAAGAATCTGGAAAGATAAAATTATTCTCTCTTCAAGCATCTGGACTGTGACAAAAAAAAACCGTGGGATGGGTCAATGATCACGTTTTCTGCCAGGTGAATGGAAGCCAATAAAAGAAAGAAAAAAAAACCATGTGATACAATGGTCAATAAATACTTCATAATTATACTCAGTCACACTCTAATTAAGTGCTGGCTTAATTAGGTTGATATTAAGAAACAGCTAAACCAATGAAGGTGACAAGTTGATCAGCCCCATCCAACTCCGCTGGCCTCTGTCTCCCAGTCGCAGTCACTGGGTGTCTTCGACTGCAGGTTGGGCCACCCAAGGCCCTGAGCAAAACCAGAGCAGGTGCCATCAATCCCTCCAGGCAGTGGAGTTAGGAATGAGTCTGCTGCCCACAGACTTAACAGCTGGGGGACAGGGGAGGCGCTGCGGCATCCCTGGGCCTCCAGGTGAAAATGCTACCTGAGTCACGCCCCCCCATTCACCACTCTCACACACTCCTCCTCTCTCGTCCACTTCAGTCCATTCCTTCCTCTTCTTCGCTCTCTTACTCTCACCTGGGAACTCACATTCCATATCCCACGGGCATCCACACCCACCCAGGTCTCCCCTCATGCACAGACACACACACAACTCACTCCTCACTTCCCAGGCCAGAAAGGGATGAAGAAATGAATGACCCGAGTCCACTCAAGGCTCTGCTGAAAGTTGCTGATGTCTGGCAACCCGTGCATCCTAGTACACCCAAGGCTGACACAACTCCTACATTCCACCCTCCCACCTAAAAAAATCACTCCCAGGAAGTGCATCACTATCAACTACGGCAGGCAGAATGTAAAGAAGCTATATTTTTCCATCTCCATGCCACACTAAAGACAATGAAAGGCAACTGTAAGCAATAAATATTACTGATGATTCCAAAATTTGCACGTTATAGATTTTAACCACAATAAAAACTATTGGGAACAATTTTTAAAAGCGGGTGGTGTTAAAGGTAAGAGGTGAAATGGAGATGATGTTCTGGACAACTCAGCCATGGAAGAGGTAACAAGAGATGAGGTTAAAATAACATCCCAGCAGGGATTACAGGTGAAGGGCATAAGAATTCATTAAAGAGGGCAACAGAGAGCTTTAACCCTAAAGTTACAGTGGGCAGACCTAAGACAACAGACTCCTACACTGTGAGAAGGTCCAAGAAACCGGTCAGGCAGCATGCAGACCCCTCTCTCAGCCAGGCTGACTTTTCTCTCCCTCCAAGTTGTTCTGCATTGTGGAAGCCACACGGAGACCAGGAGCGAGGCCCTCTTCATCTCAGCTGGATTGCAGAACTGCCTTCCTGACTGTGATCGCCACATCTGTTTGTGTCTCTTCTATACAGCACCAGCGTGATCTTTCTAGAACTCAAATATGGGACTTCCCTGGTGGTCCAATGGCTAAGAATCCACCTTTCAATGCAGGGCATGGGGGTTCGATCCCTTGTCTAAGATCCCACTTGCCACAGAGCAACTAAGCCCATGCAGCACAACTACTGAAGTCTGCAGGCCCAGAGCCAGTGCTTCACAACAAGAGAAGCCACTGAAATGAGAAGCCCGCATACCATAACTAAACAGTAGCCACCGCTCACCGTAACTAGAGAAAGCCTGCACGCAGCAACAAAGACCCAGCTCGGCCAAAACAAAACCCCACAAATGTGATCAAGTCACTGCCAAGCCGCACACACGCTAGGGCTGCTGACCAGGTGAGAGGGTGAAGTTCACGTGGCCTGTGGGCCCCCCATCATCTGACCCCTCCCAGCCTCTCCCATCTGAATTTCCCATCCCTTTCCACCCAATCAAAATTCATTCAATCCACAGTCCCTACTCCGTGTCGGACACTGTCTCAGATGAAAGGGATAAAGTAGAGTAAGACAGTCAAAGTCCCAGTCTTCACAGTGTTTACATTTTAGTGACGGGAGACATGCAATCAACAGACACGCAGATATGCACATGATGGCAGCCAGAGAGAAGGGCTAAACAGAAACGAGGAGGAGAGAGAGAATGAAGAGCGACAGGGGCTTGGCTGTAGACACTGGTCTGGGAAGGCTCTCTGGGTGCTCACACCTGACCAAGACTGGGAGGAAGTGAGTACAAGGCCATGAGAACATCTGAAGCAAGAATGGCCTAAAAGGAGGGCTCCCCCCACCAAGAGCAGAAGCATGCTTAAGACCCCTCTGAGGAAAAGCAAGGTGAGGCTGGCGTGTAAGGAGCACTGCAGGAACTGAAAGCAGAAGTCGGAGGGGTGACTGCGGGTGGGGGACAGATCACCCCCCAGAAGGTGCTGCAAGCGAGATATGGCTCCCACCTTACACTTGACTCACAGCCCTTTGAACACACGTTTCACACCCCCGTGGTTCTTTGCATGCCTAGGACTCCCTTCCCCACCCCACAAAACTAGCAGACTTGCGTGCATCTTTCCAGCCTAGGTGGGATGTCTCTCCTCCATGAAAGCTTCTGAACACCCTCCAGCTGGCTAGAGAGAAAGCACCCCCTCCCTGGCTGTCTCAGCACCTTGAACAAACTGAACTGCAAACACCTACTTATGTGTCTGCTTCCCTGACCAGTCGGGGGGAGTATGAATCACCTGTAGCCAGCACTGTGCTTCTGTGTGTGTGAGCTGTGTGTGTGTGGTCTGCATGTGCATACACAGCAAGTGGTCAAAATTATGTGTTGAGCTGAACTGCTGTCTGAACTAAAATATTAGTCATTAAGAGAGAAAAATAAGGGGGAGGGGGTTGGGGGAGGGACAGAGTGGGAGGTTGGGGTTAGCCAATGTTAGCATTTATATATATAGAATGGATAAACACAAGGTCCTACTGTTAAACACAGAGAACTATATACAGAATTCTGTAATAAACCATATGGAAAGGAATATTTTAAAAAACTGCATGTATATATATACACACACACACACACACACGTATAGCAGAAATTAACACAATGCCATAAATCAACTTATTTCAATAAAAATTTTTTTAAATAATGAAAACTAATGTACCCGTAGCCATAAAAAACTGTAACATGAAAATTACTATATGTACAGGGAACACTTTAATTGTATTCCCAAAATCTAAATATAAATGCTAAAGTCATAAATTCAAGTATAGTCTCCTACTGAAAAGAGTAATAAAAAGAAGCTGCCTGTGTGGGGGAAAATATAGCATGTAGAGAAACAAGACAATAGGTAATTATGAACTCAATTAATTACATGCTATTTCCACCCATGAGTTGAAAAGGAACTTCCTCCGATGACATAGAATCTAGAACATCAGATGGCCCCATGAGGAGGTAAGCCATCCTGCCGAAGATAAGCTCCAGCTGGAGGCAGCTTCCCAAGGACATGACCAGCAATCCCCATGTTGAGCAGGGACAGAGGATGACAGTGGAAATGCTCCTACCTCTGCATCCAAAGTGGCTGAAGCCACAATCAGTCGAAGATCCCCTCTCTTCTTCTGAATCTAAAAAAGAAGGCGTGCAGAAAAACAATGATAACACTGTGACACAGATCAGATAATCTGATATCTGAAATTTATTACAAAATAATCCAGTGTGTGGAGGGAGGTGGGGGGATGGGGAGGAGCTTAAAGATGAAACAAGACTGACCACAAATTGGTAACTATTAAGTAACAGATGAAAGGGCAGTTCATTATACTAGTCTTTCTAACTGTGTGAGTAATAAAAAATTTCCAAAACAAAAAATTAGAAAAGAAAAAAGTATAAAGGAGCTTTAAGACACAAATTTGAATTTACCAAAGTAAAACCATTTTTTTACTGACACCTGGGTCTCTGAATAGTCAGAATCTGTGTATATACAGTTAAAGTATGAAAAATCAAACAATAAATAATGACACCAAGACAGAAATATGGATAAAAGATATTAACAGTTATTCAAAGAAACAGATGATTAATGGTCATAGGAGAAATGATCAAATAAATTATAGTAAAAAAATATTAACAATGAGATTATTGTTTCATCCATCACACTGGCAACAATTTATTTTCAGTGTTGGCAAAGATTCAGTGAAATAGGCCCCCTTGTTATACCATTCCTAAGAAGGTAATAACAGAGTGGGATAGTTCCTCACAAGTATCAAAAAGTTTGGCCAAGAAATAAATTAATAATGAAAACAACAGCAGCAGCAGCTAGCATATAGTAAGTTATGTGCTATTCCAAGGTCTCTGCATACAGTTGTGTAGTACGTGCACTGCACAAAGAGGCTGTTGCTGCTGCTAAGTCACTTCAGTTGTGTCCGACTCTGTGTGACCCCATAGATGTCAGCCCACCAGGCTCCCCGTCTCTCAGATTCTCCAGGCAAGAACACTGGAGTGGGTTGCCATTTCCTTCTCCAATGCATGAAAGTGAAAAGTGAAAGTGAAGTCGTTCAGCCGTGTCTGACTCTTAGCGACCCCATGGACTGCAGCCCACCAGGCCCCTCCATCCACGGGATTTTCCAGGCAAGAGTACTGGAGTGGGGTGCCATTGCCTTCTCCACACAAAGAGACTAGGGGCCTCTAAAATCCAGCCCACCATCCCCTCACTCAGCTGCAGACATCCTCCCAAGGTAAAGGTATCTCACAGTCTATTCATGGCCCTGTGTCAGGCGCCATCCTAAACATTTTGTATTACCTAAGTTTCACAACAAATGATGTTATAGGGCAGACCTAAGAGAATGCTTAAAGATTCTGCCCACTGTGGTAGCCACTAGCTGCATGTGGCCAGAGAATCCTTGAAATACAGCCAGTGGGACTAAAGAAATGAACTTTTTATTTTATTCTGTTTCAACTAATTTAAATCTAAAGTGGCCAGTGGCTATTGGATAGGAAAGTAAAGCAGCACAGAGAAAGAAAAACTCGGTATCAGCCCCATTTGAGCGATGAGCAAATTCAGCATTCAGAATTAAACCCAGGTAGTCTGACCCGGAGTCCAGGCCTTTAATCACCCTGCTCTAGACTCTGGGGATCAGAAATATCCCCAAAGAAAATAACCAGAAAATATAGGAAAGGAGAAGAGGATAGAAGTAAGGTTGAAACAAAACCAGCCATGGGTTATAACTGTTGAAGCCAGGTTATGGGCACATGAGGGTCATTAAACCCTTCTCTCTACTCTGGGATATTCTTGAAATCTAGCAAAAGACAGAAAAGAAACAGATATCCAACAGATTTAACCACAAGGGTGCTTCCTGCAACATTATTTAAAATATTTCAAATCTGGAAGCCATATAAATGCCTAACTGTAATGGAGGCATCAAATACTTTATGGTAGAGACATGTGACTAGATAGCCATTAAAAATGTCTTCAGAGAATATTGAATGACAGAGGAAAATGATCCTTATGCAACGCTAAGAGAAGTATGCAAGCTACACGTGAGCACAACAACCCAATCCCCACTGGGCCAAAACAGGTGCATGAGTACCCACATAGATACACAAAGGAGAAAGGAGAGAAGGAAACATTCCAGAATCCTAACGGTGACTGTCTCTGCATGAGTAGGGCGACCGACAATTTTCATTTCTTTCCTCTGTATTTTGCTGAATTTTCTAAACTGCTACAATGACTTTCCTGGTCAAACAACAAACAAAACAGAAACACAAAACCACAAGTCTGGCAGTAAAGCTATATACCTTTTTCAGCAGACCAATGGCAATGTCGGTGTACAAGGTCCTCTCGTGGGCTTCATCCAGCATGATGGCACTAGAATCAGAGGGACAATCTCAGTGAGCATCAAACCAACCACCACACAAGCCCATCCAGACATCAAAGGGACTGCTGGGGATTCAGCCCCCATCCGATCACCTTGCAGCAAAAATCAACACCAAGTACCTCCTCTTTGACAAGGCAGTAACTCTAAAGCTAATAAAAATGGGCACTTCAACTTTTCTTGGTAAAGAAAATGCTGTTATTTATTGCTACTTTTAAAGTTTTACCACCAATGCTGGATCCCAACAGAATCTAATACATGATTTTAAATTTCAATATAACATATAGCCCCGCCGAGCACATAAAAATTGAGATAAGGCCCAACCACCCAAAGACTAAAAATCTGAATAAAAGAGGCACGTGGTCATGGCTATGCCACATGTGTACCAGGGAGTTAAATATGACATCCTTCCCCAGGATACACAGAGCCTGAGTGGGACCATTTTATACGATGAGCAATGGACAGAGACCCACAAGGAGACGGAAAATGTGAATAATTATTTGGACTCTGCATGTTACATTCAACAAATCGCTGCCCAGTTCTGTGCTGTGCCTCTGCAGTCACCCTTCAGCAAGATAAAAACAAGTCAACAGATCGTTCAAATAATGACAGGGATTTTAGTGAGCCCAGTTTTGACTCTATATATTCTGAAAAGAACATCAGAGGTCGCAACAGCCAAAGGAAGGAGAGAAGCTTTGGGAAAGCTGAGTGTGGTCACGAATCCCAGCTATTAACACAACTGCTCCTCAATCTACTTGTATATTTTTGAAACTGTAGGAAACTTATCACAGGAAAAATATACTTACCTGTATTTTGTTAATAATGGATCAACCATCATTTCCCTGACCAGCATTCCATCGGTCAGAAACTAAAACACAGAAACACAAAGGTTTAGAAATAATTCATTTACACTGTATATTCATGGCTTTCCTTCAAAGAGTTCAAGTCCAACTAAACACATACAATCTCATCACCAGTGTGTGTACAAGACAAATCCCACTAAGGACTGTGAGAAAATACTCCCAAATTTTGGTTATCAAGCAATGGAATGGTTTCCAAACAAAATATTGAACACAGGACCCTCGGTAAGAGCTGGCAACTCTATTTGCAAATTTTACCTGCATTTGCTCTGTGAGTTTTGACTAAGCCCCACTTCCTCTGAGCCTGGACCATGGGTACTGCTATGAACAGACACTGCAGACAAACCTGGGTCTGCCCAGGGGCATGCCCCTGAGTCAGAGATCACTCTTCCTACCATGTCCCGAGGACCATAAACTTGCAGCTCCTGAGGTGAATAACCTCAACTTCAACTGGTATTATTTTAGGAAGGCTGACTGGGGCTGTGGTTAGGAATACAAGCTATCACAGCTGGCTGCTGGGTCAGACCTCCACTCTTCCTCTTATTATCTGTGCAAACCCTGGGCAAGCTACTTACCCCCTCTGAGCCCAACTCCTCACTTGTAAAATGGAGAAAATAAAAGCATCTGTCTCACAGGGTTACTGTGAGAATTAAGTGGGAGAGTACAGTGCACATGTACAGGGCTTAGCAAGGGCCCCAGCACACACACAGAGAGCTCAAGAACGTCAGTTATTAATATTATCATTAAGGATTAAGGAGTGTCTATGAATATGCTTTAGAAAAACGCAGTTAACAGCTAGATGCTGTTATTCTCACCCCAAAACAAGTCAGTCGTTAACAAAGCTAAATATTTCCCTCACAGGCTATATCTTAGTATTTTTCCTTTTTGTTTCGTTTTTTAAAGCAGGGTGCATGTCCATCGTATTTTTCTTGGACCTGATACGAGCCGCCACACATACACATAGAAGTGCAAGTGAGAATGTGCCACCGACAGCCCATCAGTCGGGGGCTGAGTGCCTGGAAACCATTACCAAAGGGAACACGAAACTTCTCACAGAAGACTCTCTAAAGAGAGTCACTGATTATGCAAGTCACTAAAAGCTATCTAAAAATTAGCTAGTGTAAATGCATTTGGTGGTATAGAAGAATAAATCCCTTACCTAGCAAAATGAATGTCAAAGGTAAGAAAATACAGAAATTTAGAAAACAAGGTCCACATTTTTACAAATCACTGCATTTAGATCATCTAACTATTTTCAGCTCCTCTGCTGCAAACCGAGAGGTAACTGAGATTCTACACGATCAGAGAAACTTCTCTAGTAACCAACTATAGAAACGATCCCTGAAAGTATAGTCCTCGTCACTGAGATTCTAATAACGAATGTTTATTTCATCAAAGCATTTTTTTTAATTTAAACTTAAAATTTTTATTACTGAAGTATAATTTATGTACAATATTATATAAGCCACAGGTGCACAATATAGTGGTTCACAAGTTTTGAAGATTTCGCTCCAGTCACAGGTATTATAAAACACCGGCCACGGTCCCCATTTGGCATGATGTATCCCTGAGGCTCATCCCTGCAGAGTCGTGCTCCCTAAGCTCCTAGCCCTGTGCTGCCCCTCCCTCCTTCCTCTCTCCACAGCTAACCACGAATTTGTTCTCTGTGTCTGTGAGTCTGCTTCTTTCTTGCTATATTCACTAGTTTGTTTTATTTTTTAGATTCCACACATAGGTGATATTATACAGCGTTTGTTTCTCTCCATCAAAGCATTTTCATCCATTGCTTCCAGCACTATCTGAAGAGACTGATTCACACAGTGGTACACAGTAGACACTGCTGAGCTAACTGTACCCTGATTCTATGATGCTAATTATTTTAATAGTAGCAACAAGGTCAAAGAACACACATAAAATCCATTATCATGTGAAAATGGGCCAGCGCTAATTAGCACAAATAACATTTGTGAATTCTACACTTTATCAATTTATACTATTTGTCCCTGTTTTTAAGTCTTTTATAGGTAAGTTTCTATATTTAGACAGCTACGTGGATTGGTGGGGAAAAACAATAAAACACACGAGAAAGGACAGCTTTGAGCTCTGGTTCTACCACCGATGGGCACATGACGTCAGGCAGGTCACTCAACCTCCCAGGTCCTCAACCTCTTCACCTGAAGAACCAAGGGCGTAACTCGACTTCCAAAGTCCTTTCTGGGCTAAGATGTGAGGACACAGAAAGAGCTCTGCACCTCCCAGGCTGATTTCCCTGAGGGCCAGGATGCTCTCATACACTTTCTGTCATGGCATCAGAGGCTTAGTCAGCAGCACTGGCTGTGTGTTTTTACCTCTCCCCAAATAATCTTCTTCCTTATTTACAGTAGGAAAGCAGTTGTGAACCTCACCTTAATTCTCGTGGCCAGTGGGTTGGTGCAGTCATCAAAGCGGATGCAGTAGCCCACCTCATGGCCCAGCACTGCACCCCTTTCCTCAGCCACTCTCCCTGCAACCTTTGGGAAGAAAGATCATGCTGAAAATAGAGACATAGAAATTACTGCCCAGAGCACATCCTATGGAAAATCTAAAGGTCACTTATTTTTTAAACACTATGCTGAACACAGTGGAAAATGAAAAGAGAAGGGGCAGGTTAGCAGAGAACTAGTGTGATAATCTTTACAACGATCAACTTTACGTTGACTTGAGGCAACTTATAAGAACAGTAACTATGGAATAAAAATAGAATCATGTAAAAAGGTTACAGATCAGGATCAAAGAAATTATAGATAAAATTCAAAAGGTCAAAGCCAATGAGAAAATTTTTACAACACAGATATGCCAAAGTTATTTAAGTTGAGCCACAAATTCAGCTCCAGGTTTCCTGGTGGCTGAAGCAAAAAGGGAAAAAGAAGAAATTTCAAGATTCATCCTTTTCCTAAAGCTTTCTTTAGCATACCAACTAGGGACAAATTTCCATGTCTTTATGCCTTGAAATAAAACAACTTCCACAGGATCAGGAAGGCAAAAGAACAAGAATGACCAAATTCAACACTTGGTTACTGTTCATTTTCTCTTTGGAGACAAAAGAACAACATTTTCAGAGCAAGATAATCTAAAATGACTTGTAACAATGTCCCAGCTACCAAAACTACTAAAAGGTTAAGAATGCAGGTTAAAAAATCTTTACATGAAAGATGAGATGAGAAAGTTAATGAAGGCTCCAAGTTAACATAGTTAAAAAAAAAACAAAACATACTATGAAGACCATAAAGTATAAACACATTTTTTACCTACCAATATATAACAAATGAAAGGTGAGGGTAGGAAAAATAAAACAAAGGTGAGGGTAGGAAAGATAAAAAAGAATCCAGCTGTAAGATCTATTACTCCAGAAGGCCATTCATAGGCTATTAACTTAATAACAGAAAATATCTGGGGACTTCCCTGGCAGTCCAGTGGTTAGGACGCCAAGATTCCAACGTAAGAGGTGTGGGTTTGATCCCTAGTTGGGGAACTAGGACCCCACATGACACGTGATGCAACCAAATTAAAAAAAAAGAATGAATAAACAAAATTGCTGGATACTTAAAAAAAAATAATTTAAAAAATATCTGATAAAATGAATAAACATAAAAGTAGAAGAGCAACAACACTTAGAACTTAGTTTACCTTGAAAGAAAATAAAGGGTTTAGTGCTCATTATGTAAACTATCTAACTAAAAAAGACCCAAAGGGAAGCAAAATTATATAGAGCTTTCCCGGGAACTCTACCAACCAACCCCCAGCATCCTGTCTCCTCCTTTCACAGGCGAGGCAGCCTCGCCACCTAGTCCCTGCGTCCTGAGCTTGGATCATAAGCTGACACAGGGCACGTCTGACGCAGAGCTTTCAGCATCAGCCACTGGGCTGCAGCAGCCCCAGGTCCAGGAGTCCAGGGGCTCCCTGCATCCAGTGCTGCGAGCCGAGCACACTAGGCGTTATCTGACCATCAGCGTTTAAGAAACTGAAGAGCAGGTGAGGACCAGAAAGTGGCCCTGCCCAGTGACTTGAAATTACAGATCTCAGAGGCCACGACAGAATCTGTCATCAAGCAGCTGGTATGCACCACGGAATCTTTCAAAACATCTTATGAAACCAGAAATTCATCCTACACTGCTCTACCTCTGGAGGTTACAGCTCCCAATAACCAGTATTTCACCAGGACAGTTTTGTTATTGTTATTGTTTCAATTCCAACCCTACAGATCATTAAACTGTAAATCTTAAAAACTGGCACAGAGAGTGTGTGCATACAGATACTGGAGCTTATGGGGAAAACCAGCTTGTAAAAGTGAGCAAAAAGGAACCAACCTCTCCATAAAAATGTGATCATTTTATGAAGCCAAACATTTATTCACTATTTGTATACATTTGCTATAAAATGGATTTTATTTTCAAGTTCCTTTTCAGAAATTTTATGTATGGTCACACCACTAGACATCTGAAAAGCCATATTCTATGGGCTTTTTTAGGGAATTTTTTTTTTTACCTCTACTGTATAAGTTCTATTCCCAATAAGCTCATCAATTAGATGGGATAAATACTGGGTTTTTGATAGAACAAACAGATATAGGAAAAACGAGGTCAAAAGAAAACCAGGGACACTTCCCTGGCGATCCAGTAGTTAAGACTTTGCATTCTAACACAGAGAGTGTGGGTTCACTCCCTAGTCTGGGAGCTAAGACCCCACATGCCTCTCAGCCAAAAAACCAAAACACAGAACAGAAGCAATACTATAACAAATTCAATGAAGACTTGCAAAAAAGGAAAAGAAAGACTAACCACCAATGACCAAGCACCTCCTATGTGAAGGTGCTGTGCTCCAAGCTTTCACAAAATGTATCTTATTAAACATGCACCCAGTCCATTAGGTGGGCAAGAGACCCTCTTTTACAAAGCAAGAAACTGAAAACAGACAAGCTTAGCACTTGTCCTGAATCACAGGCCCAGGCAGGGCCTGTTCGTGAAGTCTAACCCAGACCAGGAGTCCAGTGAAATGCTCATAAGGAGCTACCTCTCACTGAGATCAGGCCGTGGCTTGTGCCATCTGTTCTTCGGCTCTGACATTGTTTTCGGATTTTAGTATGCACACAAAAGTACTTGTGGAGATGGAGCATTTCAAACTTGACAGCTCTATTAATACTACTAGGCTAATTTATATACTCTTTGTCCTCTAAGAGAAAGCATGTGGTCTCATGGAAATTATCCATGGCTACAAATTTGGAGGAAAAATGCAAACTGATTAAGAGCTGGGATTCCAAACCACAAACAGAAAAAATTGCTCGAATGGTTTAAGTAAGTGAATCATCTTTCATGACATCAAAGGTTAAATCTAATGCGTAGTCAAGTTGCCAAACCACTACTTCCATTTTTAGATACACAGAAGAAATTGGAAAATGTTCATCAGTAATGTCTAACTAGAAGACAAGTAGAAAACGAACTTTGGGGGTAAAGAATAATGAAGTAATTAAAAGTTAATACAGAGGAAAAATAACTCAAGGAGATAGAATTAATTTCTTGTCCAGGTAGAGATGTCAAAATAAAGGCATTCTGGGGACTTTGGTGACACAGTGGACAGGAATCCGCCTGCCAATGCAAGGGACATGGGATCGATCCCTGGTCCGAGAAAATGCCACGTGCCACAGAGGATAAGCCCTGGAGCCACAACTACTGAGCCTGTGTGCTGCAACTACTGAAGCGCACACACCCTGGACCCCATGCTCAGCAACAGGAGAGGCAACTGCAATGAGAAGCTGCACTGCAACGAAGAATGGCCCCCACTTCTCACAACCAGAGAAAAGCCCGCACAGCAACAAAGACCCAGGGCAGCCAAAAACAAATAATCAGATTTAAAAGAAAAAATAAATTATAAAAGTATTACCCAGAGAGACAGAATTCAGCCAAAGAAATCCAGTTTCAAAAAAAATCACAAGCTTAAGCTAAAACAGCATAAAGAAGAGATAAAGTCACAGCAGAGTCGAGGAGAAACAAGGTCTCAAACGGACAGATAAGAAAAATCAACCTGTGGACATCCTCCACATCTCACAGCCTGGCCCTGAAAGAAACTACAGAGAGGCTTTTCCCAAACATGAAGACAATCCCCCTAATTTACACAATGCTAAAAATGTCAGTTACAAAGCTAAAGGAGCTTCTCTAGTATCAGTGCAGTATCAACAACACAAAGCAAAGCTGAATCACCCGCACTAGAGGCACTAAAATACTGTTCTACTCTCACTGAGGGAAAAACAATAGAAAACCATCAGGTAAAGAGGTGCTCAGTGGGGATAGAGCCAAAAATTGCACGAAAAAAGATTTACAGAAATGTGTAGGACAGTTAATTAATAAAAATACTATGTTATTTTCTGGTTTTTTTTTTTTAATGGTGGTGGTATTATCAGGGTTTTTCTTTTTATATTATCAGTTTTTAAGATTTGTAATGTAATATCACCTCCCATTTTAAATATTCACTTCTCTAGTAGAGGAAAAAAAAAAGCGCATTCAAAGAAGTGACTATGAGACCCAGGTAGAGATGCAAAGAAAACAAAATCGAATAAATCTGACTAAAACAATCATGAACACTTTGGACAGGCTTAAAGAAATATCACAAAACAAACTGGAAAGGCGATGATCCCAGAGATAGTGATAAATACTAAAAAGACACAAAGACAATCTAATACACACTTAATTGGTGCTCTTAGAAAAGAGGAAAAAAATAAATGGTACAGAAAAGTATGCCAAGATATAACGGAAGAAAACCTGCCCTGATATAAAGAGATTTAATGTGAAGATTAAAAGTTCTTCCACATTTAAGAAAAAATGTGGAAGAAAAATTTAAGAAAAATTGTTAATTTTTAACAATTGTTAAATTGTTAAATTTAAAAATTGTTTTAACAATTTGATTGTTCTGTCATCTTCTATTTCAGCATCAAAACGTATCCCAATGAAATCACAATCAGCATCAAGACATATCCCAATGAAATAGCAATATTACAAGCATTCAAGCAGAAAAAGTAAGCCTGGAAGGCGAGGGGGGCTCCGCTGGACCTCAGACTATTTTTATACAGTGATGCCTGAGGCCAAAAGGCAGCAGGGCAATGCCTATAGGGCCCTTACAGAGTGCAAATCAAGAATAAGACCACAATCAGACATTCTCAGGCATATACAATTCAGCCAATCAAGAAGTACAAAAAAAAAAAAAAAAGTGAAATGAGCAATTCAAGGTTGGCAAAACCATGGAAAATAATTAGCAATTATTAAACTAGAATTAAAGTTAAATGCCTGTGGGAGTTATGATTACAGAAAAGAACATGTACTTTAATCTTGAAATTAAAATTATAGTTCGGAATTTATCACAAATGGAGGAAAGAAAGGTGGAAAGAATAAGCATGCTAATTTATGCTTCTTTTATAATAGGCAACTACCTATAACATAGTTCCCAAAATAAGTAACCTTCTAAAGCTTTCTGTAATCCTTTTTCTTCACTTTCAAGCTTTAATAACTTCTCCTGTGCTGAACAAATACTTACCCAAAGTTCAGTACTCCAAAGTTCCTATTTCAATGCAGTTTCTTCTTTTGTTAAATACAGCAAAAGCAAATATATGGCTACGAACCCATTTTTATAAAATGATTTCTATCCATCTAGCCAACTATTTATCTAAACATAAAATGAAGCTTAAAATGATGCTCACAAACATTCACACTGTCTTTGCTATGTGGTGAGATTTGGGTTTTTTTTCCTAATTACTTTTTCTGTTTGACTTTAGTAATTTATTATTACATAAAAATTCATAATGTACAGGTATCAATTTTACAAAAATAATCAGATCGTAGTTCTTTTTAAGTTGAAGAATTAAATTCTTAAGGAGCAGTGTCATATTCATCTGGAGCTTGCAGGAAAGAAGAAAAAAGAAGCCACTGAAATAGAAGACACAGGCAGAGCCCTTCCAGCAAAAAGGAAACTCACTGTAACAGCAGCAACTCTGCGGGGTTGGGTGACCCCCACCACTCTTCCTTCGGCCGTCCAGCCAGCTTCTGCCAGGTACTGCAAATAAAATCATGTTTCAGCACACACCTGACACCACTTCACCAGAAACAGTCTACCCCAGGATGACCCTGGATTGAAATTACTGACAAAGGAAGTAACAGATGGTTCTTATTTCAGCAGATATTTTTAAAATTATTCTGCAAATGAGGGGTTTGAGGTTTGGAAATGTAAGGTCATTTGCTTTAAGTTCATAGCACATGCATAATAAATTCAACATTCTAACTCCCCCGTCTTATAAAATGTCCCCATACTTCAGCTGCCTCAAGGAATAAAAAAACTATCCACTGGTCCCTCAAAACACTGCTAAATCTGTAGAACAAAGAATTTTAAAGTACATACACAGACAGTTCAATGAACATCAACTATACAAAATATTTTAACCAGAGTAACTAAAAATAATTGCAATTTTTAAAAAGACCAATAAAACATACATCATTGCAAAAAATTAGATTCTAAATACATGCAAGTATTCCATTAGATATCTGTATACATTAGATTATCTAATTTATGTATTTATTTGGCACATAAGAAACATTTCTTAATTATTTGATTATATGCTTTTAAATCCAAAATGGGTTAACAGTGGTTAGCACAGGTACATGTTTTTGTAATGTCTTAACTGTTTTAAAATAAATACATATATTACTTCTATAACAGAAACAAAAAGATTAAAAATACTATTACATGCATCCGCTTATTTGTTCAAAAGGAAGGGCAAACTAGAAATGAAAGAGAATGGCTTTCTGAGGCGGATCGGTAGGAAAGGGGTGAAAAGGGGAGGAAAGGGGAGAAACTGGAACAGGCCAGCAGAGACACGGAGCGGCAATGTCCTGAGCAGACCTCTGTGAGCGGCCTGGACTCTCAGAACCACAGTCACGCTGCAGGCATTCTTCAAATACCCAAATAAATACACCAAGAAAGCAACCAGGATTCGAGGGAAACCAAAAAGAAATGCAAACACTAACAAATGACCCTATCTGTATTACAAATGAATAACTGACCACCCTGAAGAGGGTGGAGAAGTAAATTAACCTAGGATATTGGAAAACAGAATCTTAACTGAAAGTCAATGACAAAAAGAACAGTACCTCAATGCTACAATCCAGTTAGTAAATGTCAGGGGTATGGGCTAGCAATTCTGGAGCTATTTTATGTGTTCACTAGAGTTTGGCCACTTGATGCGAACAACTGACTCACTGGAAAAGACCCTGATGCTGGGAAAGATTGAAGGCAGGAGGAGAAGGGGACGACAGATGGTTGGATGGCATCACTGACTCGATGGACATGAGTTTGAGCAAACTCCAGGAGTTGGTGATAAACAGGAAAGCCTGGTGTGCTGTAGTCCATGGGGTTGCAAAGAGTCGGACATGACTGAGCTACTGAACTGAACTGAGAGTTCAACAAATAAATAAATACTTTGCAGACGATGAGGATGGCGTTTCTCACTATGGAAGAAGAGTTACAGATAAGGAAAGGCTGGAATGAGTCCTATGCTGTTAGACTGGAATCAGTGAAGTATCAGCATAAATTGTGATTTTTAACATATACACAGATTGGCACAGATACATAAAAAAAAATTAGGAATTTAATACTTCACTGATAGCTCAGCTGGTAAAGAATCCGCCTGCAGTGCAGGAGACCCCAGTTCGATTCCTGGGTCAGGAAGATCCGCTGGAGAAGGGACAGGCCACCCACTCCAGTATTCCTGGGCTTCCCTTGTGGCTCAGCCGATAAAGAAGCCGCCTGCAATGCAGGAGACCTTAGTTCGATTCCTGGGTTGGGAAGATCCCCTGGAGAAGGGAAAGGTTACCCACTCCAGTATTCTGGCCTGGAGAATTCCATGGACTGTATAGTCCATGGGGTCACAAAGAGTAGGACATGACTGAGTGACTTTCACCTTCACTTTAATAAGTATATTATATGTATTTAATATATATTATATATATATAACATATGTACATAATTAAGGAAGTCCTAAGTCTGCCCACTGAGTCTGCCCACTGAGACTTATAGCAAAGACACCTCTGTAATAGTAAGCACTCTAGCACCAAAATATTGATTTTTAAACAGCATTTCCCAATAAGAGGAACCAGGGCTCCTTGGAGAGGTGGTTGACACCAAGGTTAGTGCAGGAAAAATAAAAGATAAGCATGAAATACCTTCTGTTACTAGAAAGTAAGGAAGTGTTCAAAAATGAATGGAGTCTTTTAGAAAGAACACCAGAGCCAAATACAAGGAGCTCCTAATGACCAAAGCTGGACCACTTTGACCAACACAATAAATAATGACAGCATTGGGTTTTAACCCATACAACAAAAGAAATCACCATGAGTCCATGCTGATATACACAAATAACTGGATAAATAAATAAACGAAGGAGAAAGGAGAGTTCTTCCTTACAGATTTCACTTAATAAAGGCAGAAGGGAAAAGAAATAGAGAACATCATCATTAGGCAAAAACCTGAATAACTGCTGAGGGATCCACTGAGGGATGCTAAAACTAGTAGGTGACAGTTTGAAAGGAGCAGAATATTTGCAGTCTAAAAATATCTCCTCCAAGATATTGACAACTACAAAAGGAAAAACAGTAACTTTATAGGTGAAACCTGGGACCTTAACAGTGATCAAATTAACCTCATCAGAGATGAAGCTTTTTAATATTTCAGCCCTCTTGATAGAAGGCACTAATAAGGACACATCATTTTCTATGGGAGTCTTGCCAAAAATGCAAGCTCATTCTAATCATGAGAAAACATGACATAAACCCAGACTGAGGAACACTCTATAAAATAAATGCTCAGTACTCTTCAAAAATGTCATAATCATAAAAGATGAAGAAAGACTGAGGAACTCTCACAGACTGCAGGAGACCAGGGAGAAATAACAACTAAATCCAATGCAAGAATCTGGATCTTCTGAGAAAGAACACTGGTGGGAAAATTGATGAGATTTAACTAAGACTTACAGTCTAGCTACTGGTATTATTAATGTCCTACTTTTGATTACTATACCATGTATGGGAAGTGATGTAAGGGGTGTAGGGGAATTTTGTATTACTTTTGCAACTTTCCTATTAGTCTAAAATTAGCTAAAGATAATAATTTAAAAATGACTATAAGGAACAAATTGTTTTAGATAATGTAGGTTTTTTGTCATAAAAACTGTGAAGTTTCTTTCTCTTGCATTGAATACAAAATACTACCAATCACCCCAATCAACACAAATGCAGAAAGAGAACTATAAAAATAATGGCTAAGACTCACCTAGCACATCACTAAGTGTCAGCAACCGTCTGGCATGCATAACCCAGTTTAATCCTCACAACAAATCCAATTCAGAAGGTACCAGCATCATCAACAATTTAGAGATGAGGAAACAAACAGGTCATAGGACTTGTCCAAGGACACAGATAAAAATCTAAGAGTTGGGATTCAAGCTCAACAAACCAAAGCCACATAACCAGGACACAATTCTACCATCCAAAATAAAATACACTCACTTGCAGTCAATCTCTTAGTGGTAGTGTTAAGAGAAAGAAAAACTAAGTCTATGATAATAAAACTGACCATGAAGCCAATCTCTCAACAGACCTGAGATTCAGACTTCTGCTTGCCTATGGTTGCTGACAAGTGGAAATATAAAGATGCTGCAAATGTAGGTATAATGCGGACATCAAAAGGGGGTGTCACAGAGGGAGACTGTTGAATTCCATCTCAGTTCTCTCTGCTCTTTTTAAGGGTCACCAAATCTGGTCTTCTTGCTGAACTGTGGGATTAGGAAGAACTCCACTGAAAACTTTAATAAAAATTATAGCAAAGAACTTGTTTTCACAGTCCACTGTTTTGACAGAGCTCTAGAAAAAAAAAAAAAATCATCTAGCTTCCACATACAGTTTGTGAAATTTCAAAACTGGTGTAGGGTGCTAGGGCATGCTGTACTTTTCCAAGGAAAGATATTACATAAATCTAGCAAAATAGTTTGTTGACAAAAACTTGCTTCATATTCTTGCCATGACCTTCAGTTCCTCAGTCCTTCCAATTTTCCTATGCTGTAACTCATATTTAGCTCCAAAAGAAGGTGGAAACTGTGACTGTCTCAGAGAAGTGGAACTGAGTGGTAAGGAAAAAGAGGATAATCTACGGCAAAGAGAGCAGGTATTTGGGCCAATAACATAATCAATCACAACCCTCTAGTCATTTTCACCAGCAAAGCTTAGAAAATTCACTTTTTACCATCTATTCCTTTGTGGTTTTTGCATTGTGTACCATGAATGGATTCCCTATTCAGAAAATACAATGCTTATTTTAAAAATACAACTCCTAGAATTTCTCTGGCAGTACAGCAGTTGAGACTTTGCCTTCCCATGGAGAGGGTGCAGGTTCGATCCCTGGTCAGGAAGCTAAGATCCCACATGCCTCACGGCCAAAAAAACCAAAACATAAAACAGAAGCAATACTGCAACAAACTCAATAAAGACTTTAAAAATGGTTCACATTAAAAAACTCCTAAAACAATACAGTTCCTTAAAAACAATTAAATTCAAGTGCATATGCCCTTTGACCCAGCAACTTATAACTACTATATTTATTCTGTAAGTATACCTGTATGTGTATAAACTGAGATAGGTGCCAACGGACTCACAGCATCACTGTGAGAACACAAAACTGGAAACAAGCTAAATGTCTACCGACTGGGAACTAGAAAAATACATTATGTAGAGTCTATGCAGCTGAAAAGAGAATGATACATTGAGTGGAAGAAAAAAACAAGGTGCATAAAAGAGACTACCACTTGAGTTTCAAAAGGGGAAGAATATATATATATATGTATATATATTTCCCTGTAAAAAATACATGTGTAAAACCAATTTAAAAAAAAAAAATCTCTAAGAAACCTGTAGCATCAATTACACCTGCATAAAAGAAGTATCAGAAGACAGAGCAGGGAGGTGGGAGGGAGGGGACATACCTATGGCTGATCCATGTTGATATATGGCAGAAACCAACACAACATTGTAAAGCAATTATCCTCCAATCAAAAATAATTTTTAAGTGTTAAAAAAAAAAGGAAAAAAGAAGATAGGGCAGAAGGGGAAATCTTTCTCTTTTTATATCCTTTTGTGTCTTTTGAATTTTAAACCATGTCAACCTATTAAATATTCCCCCCAAATTAAAAATACTAGAATAAAACTTAAAAAAAGAAACTACCTGTGTTTGCTGCCACACTGCCCAGGCTGGATCCTCAGACCCCACTACCTTCTCCCCTTCAGAACGTTCTTCCCTGCACTCAGGCCCTCAGCACGTGCTCTCTGCTCCCTAGCATGCCTGACTGGGGGCAATGACCAGATCATTGTGCTATACTGTATCATGGATCCAGATATCTGCTACCCATCCCTGTGGGAGGACTACATGCGCTGCCACCCTACTGCTATCAGACCTGGCCACGTCATTTGCTTGGACCGATGAATGTGACAAGTGTCACTTCCGGTCCGCAGTTTTAAGCGCCAGCTCATGACCCTATCATCTACTACAAGATCCACAAGTCCCAGACAGGAGCTGCGCCATCATCCTGGGTCCCAGTGACCATGTGGGAGCAACCCATACCTTGGGTCATCAACCCCAAAAGACCACATAGTACAAGGAAGAAAGAAACCTTTGTGCTCTTAAGCCACAGAGATTTTCAGGTTCTTTGTTATAACAGAGTTTATCCTCAGCTGACTCAACAATCACACCAACTAATTCAAAACAAACTAAGGTCATCTAATGCCATGTGGCCATTAACCTCTGTTTTACATCCCCCTTCTCACCACTCTCTACAGTGTCCTCACCGGTAACATAAAGATAATAATAGTGCCTATCTTACAGGGCCACTCAGGATGAAACAGATTAGTATGTGTAAAGTGATCGCTTTATGTAGCACTTATAATTACTACTTACTGTTACTTGGTTTATTATCATTGTTATTAATATTACTCTCTGATAATCTCTCAGTAATGTAACATGGCCCTTCTCCTGTGTCTCTAAGAAACAAATAATATCCTAGGGTGTTTTTTTTTTGAGGTGCTAAATATGCTTTATTTGATGCTACACATAAACCACACTAAAATGCCTTTCATTAAGTAAAAGGCAATATTTTAGATAGAGAATTTTAATTAAATTGGCATAGTTAAGACCAAAAAGATAAAGTGGACATTGTCAGTGTATCTTCAACCCTTGCCTTAACAGACTACTTGAAACACATTTGAATCTTGCTCTGTTCTATGTGACAGTGAAGGGAGTATCTCAGTATTTTAATGTATTAATATAATCAGTTCTAGAAATCTACATATATAACCAATCCCCTAAAGGGTTTGAGAAGGCATTCACCACGTCCCTGAAAAGGTTAACATTCCTTATTCACATTCAATCATCCCTTTAGAAGAGGAAAAGAGTGATAATACTTGTTGAGCCAGAATTACTATCAAAATTCAAAAAGCTGATCATATTCATTTAGCCACACACCAATCTTAGTGAAGTCAGGACTGTCCAACAGAAATATTCCATCAGCCATGCAAGATCTGAATTTAAGTGTATGACCTCAATTTAAATATGGTACACACAAAAACTCATGAGACGTTTCTGTTTCATAATAAATAAGACAGTGGCCAACTATTACTCATTAGTAGCTTTTTTGAGATAAGTTAGCAAGTCTTCCCTTTCTTTCTTCTCTTTAATGTCAGCAAAGATTACTTTTGTTCCAGGGATGTACTTCTTGGGATTTTCCAAGCATTACATCAGCATCTCCTCTCCCCAGGTGATGCCTTGATTCCTGCAGGCACAGGTGTAAGAGAATCTAGCCGCCTGACCTGTCTTTTGCTCAAGCGGACCATGGAGGTTCTGCTCAGTTTTGTGCTTGCCTCTCTTTTCCACAGTACGGCACTGGGCATGCTTCTGAATAAAAACCTCCCAGTCCTTCTCGACGTCACCCATTTTTAAATCACTCTTTCTCTGTGCGCAGCTGAGAGGTCCTACTCACAAGGCAAACGTCCCGGTCTCTCTATGCTGCGGTCTTGGTACCATCTACACATATGTTCTCCCTCCAGATCCCCCATCTCCTCTCCTCTGCTGTTCTTTCCCTTCTTCCCACTATTCCCCAGCCGTACACTAGATCACCTGGGCAACTTTTAAGAAATACCCATGTTGGGGCCCCATCCTACACCCAGTATTGTGCTGGATAAAAGAAGCTTTACTTTTTCTTTCTAAGAGTTCAAAAATAGGCAGAACTAATCTACAGTGCTAGAAGACAGAATAAAAGTTATGCTTGTGCGTGTATGCTTGTGGGAGCAGGAAGAAACGGCAAGAGTCCAGAAGAGGACACAGGGTCCTCCAGGGTGCCAGTGATGTTCTATTTCTTGATGTGGGTGCTGGCAGTACCACTGTATTCACCTGTGAAGGTGAATGACCTATGATGTTATGATCAACAGTTATGATCTATGATGTCAGAAGTATACATCTTTTATACTTCAATAAAAATCTATATTAAAAAAGCAAATAAAAACCTGCAAGGACTCTTATCCCTGACCACTTAAATATCATTCCTCACCCTCCAAGTCGAGGCTCTTAAGACACAATTCAACTTTCACCCTGTCTTTCCACTCTTGATCCTACCTGACCACTCTGTTGAGCCCCAAACACCTCTGCACTCCAGTATCTCTACCCACAGTATTCACTGCATGAGGACATCTTCCCAGCCAGTGCCCACTGATCGTTCAAAGTCTATCTCTTTGTCTTGCTTCCCCCTTTCTTTCATTTCAAGATCTATTTCAAATGCCACTTCTCTTACAGGACCTTTCCTGATCCTTCTTTTCACTTCTATCCACACCACAGATGATTTTGCCCTCTAAGAGAGATTTCTTCCATAGCACTGTATAATTCTATAATACGCTGTCCATTTTTATTCACAAGTATAGCAGCATCCGTCTTACCCCTCCTCTTCTGCCTGCTATTGCAGGAGACATGGGTTCGATCTGCGGTCCGGGAAGATTCTGCACGCTGTGGGGCAGCTAAGCCCATGCGCCACAATTACTGAGCCCGTGTGCTGTAAAGCCTGTGCTCCATAAAAAGAGAAGCCATCGAAATGAGAAGCCGTGCACCACAGCCCCACTTGCTGCAACTAGAGAAAGCCTGTGCACAGTAATGAAGACCCAGCACAGCCAAAAAGAGAGAAAGTGTTGCAAAAATAAATAAATATATACTCACTTGTGGAATCTGTGTGCTTTTCCCACATCCTGTTTCTCCAACAATCACTACTGTCTGATAGTTTTCTATCAAGTATAATATATGATTCCTAAGCTGAAAAAAATATAACCAAACATTATAAATAGACATACATTTTCTCAAAAGACCTAAAACAAAGATATTTAAACATTATGAAATGAGCTATTTGCCAAAGGAAAGGACATTTTCAAAAAGAACTACCAAAACATATTCCTAATATCTATCAAAATGTATCTCAGGTACTGTTGGTATCAGTATAAGACAACACAATTGCAACTGAATATAATAACTTATCAAAATATATAATGTACATACTCCTTGATTCAAGAATTCTACTTTTAAGAAGTTATCCTAATACATGTGAACAAACATGTATATACAAGCATACTCATCGCAGTGTTGTTTGTAAGTGCTAAAAATCCAAACAGCCTATATGTTATCAACAAGGGAGTGATTAAACAGTTATGAAAAGACTCCAAAATGGAATAATATGTAGCCATTAAAAAGAACAAATGCCTATCTGTACTGATGTGGAATGGTCAATGAGGTCTGCCATGAGAAGAAAGTAAAATGCAGGACAGTGTGATAATACACTACTATTTCTGTTTTTTAAAAAAGGGTAAATACATATATGCTTCTTTACATATAAACTACTTTGGGGAAAAGCAAAACAAGGCACTGGTAACTGTAATGTCTCCAGGGAGGGGAAGAAAGTGGGGGCAGGGAGCAGGCATATGAGGAACCCCTTTAACTTTGTGCAATATGCATGTATCACCTTATTTTTCATTTACTAACTGGTGAAAACAAAGAGAATATGCTTTCATCTCTACCTCTAGGGTCAAGCACACAATAAAGTACCTACACGTTACATCTGTATTTCAACTGGGCCTTCCTTTACCCAGTTAGTGGGAGCAAAAATGCTAGTTTGGCCACTGGAAAGTCACAGACAACTCCAAGATCCCATGTACTCAGTTTCAGAATGTATTTTTGTACCCACATTTGATTACAGACACACCCAATGATCTGGAAAATCCATAAATTCCTCTTTTGAGGTAAAAATCTGCCAAACTCTCCTACTCTCATCACCATTCAACTCATCTGACTCCACAGAAGACTGAGACACTCGATGCTGCCTTATTGGTTAAATAAGCTATTGCGGCTGTTTGGGGGTTCCAATTTACATTACTTAGGGTCTAAATACGTAATTCTCCAGTTTTAGTGTAAAAATATTTTAGGATATTTTTATTATCTATTTAACAGATATTAAATAGATATTTAACTATTTGTTAAAAATGAAGATTCCCAGCTCTACCCACAGGGTTTCTGATTCAGCAGGGCTAGGGTAAAGTCCAGGAATTTGCCGTTTCTGCAAACACCCAAAGGAGATTCTGCTGCAGGCAGTCTCATGACTCATCTCGATGCTTTCCTGTCGATTGCCTGGACTCTGCACTCTTTTGGGTTAGTTTTAGGCAGGGAAAGGTTTGGGTTCTTTGCAGCCATTTTGTAAATAACATCTTGTCAATCCATCTGTTGAATGGAAGAATGGGTGGGTGGTCAAAGAAAACTTGAAATACAGTTTGAATATAGACAGACACATGGCATTCTAGGAAAGGGAAATAACATAAGTAAAGAAGATGGAAATAAGCAAACTATATGAACTCCATTCAAGAGGTGCTAGAAAAAGCCCATGAAAGGCTCCAGGTTTGATTTGGAAATGAATTAATTATTAGTACAAGAGATGTAGTGAGGGCCTTGAACGTACAGCCAGAGTCCGGGCTTTACCCGGGAGGCAGTATGTGCTGTGCTGCAAGCAAACTGGGCAGTGGTATACCAGTGATTCAAGCGTGAAGAAACCGAAGGCATGAATTCACTTCATGTGCTAAATACGAAGCATTGCAAATGGCTATGTGCACACAAAATGATATGTGACATTCAAGAAAGAGATGACAAGATTTCCAGTTTAGAGACCGGGAAAATGACGGTACCACAAACAGGTACAGGCAGGGAAATTGAGGAGAGCTGGTGCAGAGGACCAGACTGAGCTTCAGCGAGGTTTGAGCTTAATGGAATAAGAATACAACCTTGCATTGCAGTGTCCAGGGCCCAGAGAAAACGACAGCCCACAGGAGGCAGCCAACTGGAATGTTGCCTTGAAATGGCACTGGAGAAAAGGGGGATGAGCCTTAGATTTACTGCTGCTTTAGTTTCAACTTCTATCTTTAAAGCTACTTTCACTTTAAGTTTTAATGGGGGTGTGAGTGGTGAATGAGTAACTTTTATCCTTTTCGTCTCCTGTGCTGTGCCAGGTCACTTTGGTCGTGTCCAACTCTGTGCGACCTCATGGACTGTAGCCTACCAGGCTCCTCTGTCCATGGGACTCTCCAGGCAAGGATACTGGAGTGGGTTGCCATTTCCTCCTCCAGGAGGTTCTCCAGAACCAGGGATGGAAGCCAGGCCTCCTGCATTGCTGCAGACTGTTTCCGGGCTGAGCCACCAGGGAAGCCCTAGATTTATCTTTAACATCTTATGAGATTACAACCGTGCTTAAACTCTGCTTTGATTTTTGTCAATAACTTATACTCTCATCTTACCGTTTTTAATTTCATCAATATGTTACCATCCTTTTTTTTTTTTATCTGTTGTTTCATTTATCACATTTTACAAGTACAGTTGTGGATGAAGAAGAGTCAAGAAAAGTAAATACTCAGTAAACAATAATTATCCTTGTACTTAAATGTGTATTACATGTCAGGTATTTTACTAAATAATGCTCCATGTGGATTATGGCATCTGGTCCTCATAACTATCCTATGAGGTAGGTCTAATATTACATATAGGAAACAGAAGCTCAGGTGCTGAAGTAAGGTCACACAGCACACAAATGATGAAGCCTGCCTTTGAACTCTGAAGTCTAGCTCAAGTCTAGACACTTCATCACAGCTCCAACTGTGTCCCTCCATGCTGAACCTATAATCTTATCTTCTGAGGGTCAAACTGGTTTACATTCACATATAATGGATGAGGTTAATCATCTATAAAAGAATCCAGAGACTGTCAGTACAGGAGTAACTAAAATGTCTGGGGCCACAGAAAAGTCTGATGGAGGTGACTTGACTATATTCAGAAGGTGGCTGCTTCATATCCATTTGGAGAAAGAACATATTAATAAAAGAGGAATTTTTAGCATAGTCTAGACAAAGAGTAAGTGCAAGAACCTGACGGCTTTCACCCAACATTGTGCAGGAGAAAAGACAGACACCAGTGCTGGGGGCCCCACCTAGTTGAGTCAATTCAGGGGCCTCATACGAGGCAGCGGGACTTCATTACCCTACATCAGGGGCTACAGGAAATACATATCCTTCGACTGTATCTAAACCGCCTTTGGCTCTGAACCCACTTTCTGATTACAACTTGACTTTCCATGTAGACTTGGCAACGGGGAGAAAGTGTGTTCGTGGACCGTATTCTCCATACTGGAGAACCATGGGTGACTGTTAATGAATATACTCTGAATTCTAGTTTAACACTTTGGTTTCTTGCAAGATGAGTGTAAGTCCATTTCATGAGACTAATAAAATCCTGCATCTGGATGTGCACATGGTGTGTAATAACCACGCCCAAATGCCATCACTCTCCCAGTGGGAGTTAACCTATTCAACGGAAACAACCTAGTATTTCTAATTAATCTGTGTTAAAAAATATGCCTTTAAAAAGAAAGCTAAAATTGGCCATATGCCAGTAATCTACTGAAAATGGATGCATGAAAGTTCGCTGTGCTGTTTTCTCTACTTTTTTGTATGTTTGAACTTGTTCATAATTGAAAGCAAAGATGGGAAAAGAAGAATGTCACTTCATTTCTTCCAGTTTTTCCAATGTGTAAGATCTAATTGAAAAAACCATAAGGACTTTCCAGATTTCTAAGATTAGCACACATGTATTCTGAAGACACCCTTCAGATAGGCCTCTCTGAGCTCACTGCATTCTAAAGGATCATTAACAGTAAGAGGAACATTATTCACTTCAGTGCCAAGTATAAAGCTACTGCAGGCTGCTTCGGGCTGATGACTGAACATGCTTATTCAATGTACCTTGAACACTGGCAGCTTCTGCCTCTGCTGCTCTATAGAAAGGGCAGCATAAGGGTTGTAAACAACAGTTGTTGCCGAGTTTTCAGCTAGACTTTGTCTCTCTTCAGAGATGCTGACACCTGGCCCTTCTGTACCTGCAACAGAAATGTTTTGGTTTCTTTTTTTTCAGACTCTCTGATACAAGGAACAGGAAAATCATGAGAAAATTACAAATTCAAAGATGACGATATACAATGGAAGCCATGCGTTTTTATTTCAAACCACTAAGAGGTATTAAACTGTAATTTCAGGAAAACATCTAGAAAAGTACCTATGAGACTACAGAAAAACATCACAGTGGTGTCAAGAACAAAGGAGACAGCAGTCCCATTGGGCTCCAAGTTGTTCACACACAACTGTAGTGACGGAGGACAAGGTACTGAGTTCTGGTCAGCAGGCTGGGATTATTACCAAACTCTTAATAAAAGTGGTGGGAACCCACCAGGAATTAACTGAAACAAACAAAGAATCCTAACACCGTAGGATGGCAGCAAGGTTCAGGGTCAAGGAGCACCAGGGACCCAAACACTGCCTGGCCTTGCTCCTTCATTCTCTGCTCCTCTTAACAAGCTCCTTTCGGTCCCCGGGGCTGGGTTCTCTACGGGAGCTGGAATCAAGGCTGCAGCCAATGCCAGAGCTCAGGCTCACAGCTCCTCCACCACTCACTCACTCACTCATCCACCGAGCAAAGATGGCTATGCCAGAGATACAGCAGTGAAAACTACAGATGCAGGCCCCACCTCTGAGCAGCGGACTTGCTTCTCTTATTCTTCCTTCTGAAGGAAGAAGACTTAGAGCATGAAGTGGTGGTGGAGAGAGACCCAGGGAGGGGGACAGGGAGTCCCAGGTGTGTGCTGACTATTTGGAAGGCGGGACGGCTTTCTTTCCCCCAGTGTAAGGCCACTGCCTGGCCCGATCCAGGCAACCATGGCCCTGGAATGGGCTACAATAATTGGCAGCTTCTATTTGAGTCACAGAACTGAAGTGGTTGGGAAGGAAGTGCTGGTGCGCTGTGCTGAGCAGATTAAACACCGGATACCCACAGTGGCTTCTTCTTGTTTTATTATTATTTATTTGGCTGTGCTGGGTCTTAGTTGCAGCATGCAGGATCTTCACTTCAGCATGCAGGATCTTTAACTGCAGCATGTGGGATCTAGTTCCTTGACCAGAGATTGAACCTGGGCTCCCCTGCATTGGGAGCAGGGTCTTGGTCACGGGACCACCCAGCAAGTCCTATGACAGTGGCTTCTTGGTAAGAACAGTAACAAACTGGGGCTCAGGGAGGAAAAGAATAGGGAAACCATATCCTGCCAAGAAAAACTGTTTGAAATACTATGGATTTTTAGCCTGAAAAGGAAAAAGCCTTAGGAGTAACATGGGTTCCATCTTTATGATCAGCCTCTGTAATTTGTCACACCAAATTGTTCGTGCATCCCAAGACAGAACTCAAGAGTTGTAAGTAAATGGTACAGGGTTCAGAATTCAACTCAACATAAGGAAGTTATCTCTAAAAGTAAGACTTGTTCAGCACAAGAGAGTGTCACCTTTCGGAATTAATAAAAACCCTCCCTAGAAGCTCATGGCCCTCTGTGAGGATTGCTTCAAGGATAATTACCCAATACTATCATCACCCAGGTTTTCTGAATGCAGAATCTGTGATGCTATGTAAAAGTGCAGAGGTTTGTGATCAGAATACTTAGCCTAGTGGTTTATTTTTACATTTCTTGAAGGGTCCCAAATCCCCCTGACAATCTAATTGAGGCTATGAACTCCATCTCCTGAAAAATACAACAGAGAGTAATTTATCAGAACACAAAATGCTGGAGGTCCAGAGATTACTCCCAGAGCTAAATTCAGAATCACTGCTGTATACCTCTGATCCCTTTTCTATTTGTTTCCAGGAACACAGTCGTGTTCCAGAGGTCCAAGACCATCAAAAATCAGGTAAGTGGGGCACTACTATATTGTTTTTGCCAAAATGTTGACCTTCCTTTCAACAAGATAAAAGACAGAACAGGACTTGGAACAAAGCCTGCACTCAAAGAGGCACATTTCCTTTCCTTTCTCCCCTTATTATCGCTACATCTGATTAATTCCTTGTGATCTTCACTCAAGAAAACTAGAGCAAAGAAATAGCTTATCCTCATCAGCTCTGTTTTTGTCCTGAATCCTCTTCTTTTCAACATATTTTAAACCTTTATAGAGTGCCTAGAATCTTTTAACATTGCTCCTACCATGTTTCCGGAGAAGGCAATGGCAACCCACTCCAGTACTCGTGCCTGGAAAATCCTATGGATGGAGGAGCCTGGTAGGCAGGCACGACTGAGCAACTTCACTTTCACTTTTCACTTTCATGCATTGGAGAAGGAAATGGTAACCCACTCCAGTGTTCTTGCCTGGAGAATCCCAGGGACGGAGGAGCCCAGTGGGCTGCCGTCTATAGGGTCGCAGAGTTGGACACAACTGAAGCGATTTAGCAGCAGCAGCTACAACGTCTCACCTCCTCCCACTCCAAGATTTAATCCACCCAGGTGTCTTCCTGACTACCCCACCCCTCCTGTCTCTAACCTACAACCAAGTTCACCTCGGTACACGCGGTTATGAGGTCTTTTACAAGAACAGCTGCTGTCAATCAATGAGGAGCACGTCTCCTCTATACAAAAGACTCCATTCAGCCAAACTAGGACTGCTTCCTGGCTGGCTACACATCCCATGGCCCATTCTGGCTTCCTAGGGTTTGTTTTTCCCTTGGGAATATTCTCAGTGCTTAAATGAGTAACAAGTTTGTAATTCTTGTAAATTTAAAGGCCTTCACCTCTCCATCTATGAAACAAGATTGGTAACAGCACACCCCCTCCCCCTCTTCAGCATTCCTTCTAACCCAATTTTTCAGTTTAAGTGGTGATCCATCAATGGGTTATAAAACTCATGTACTTCCTTAATATGCTATGTGACTCAATTATTTTGGTGTTTTGTTGGACACTGCTGAGGCGCCATCCCACTCTGCCTTTGTTCCTGCTAAACTAGAAATAAAATAGTATCAGAGTGCATCCCAAGAAACACTGCTGTTTTTGTGCAACCCTCTTCAATTGTGTGTGTATGTGTACACACATGTGTGTGCATGCTGGATCACAGCACACTTCTAGCTGTGTATCCGATCAAAAAATCTTCAAAGCTGTTGCTGTAGAGTGTTTGCCAGACACGTGGTCGAACACTGATTTATCATTAAATATTTGTTGAATGAAGGAAGGAAAATGGCCAGGCCCTTCTGATTCACTTGGACTAACAAATCAAGTTAAATTTTTTTCCTACAGAAACCTCAGGCAGCTCATACAAAGATCTTAAGGTAGAGATCACAAAATGGTAGAGATCACAAACTATGAGGTCCCCAAACATGCCATCATTAACATGTTTGAAATCGTTCATTTAAAGCATGTAAAAATTTACCATTCTAATCTGGGCGTGAGGCCATGTGACAACTGTTGGGTGGAACCACACACAGCTTCCTGCTTCAGATAGGATGTTGTATGCTTCAGGCTAATCGACACCGCACACACTAGAGTCTGCCACAGTTCCCACCTCTCCTTACTGCTTCCACCCGGCTGCTTCGCTTATTTAGACTGTCCGAAAGGCCCCTGCAGCAACCTGAGCTTGTGACTCCCAGCCTGTAGGACACATGTTCATCTACCCTTATACCCAGTCTCAGCCACTTCCCTGACCTCCACTATGTGTTTCTCATATCCTATTTTCACACCTTCAACTTCAGTTTCCTCATCTGTAAAACGAGAGTAATACCTCCATCACAAGATACTGTGACCACTTAATAAGATGACATAAGTAAAAGTGACTAGCACAAAGTGTCCAGTAAGTGTCACCAAATGCATTACCAACTCAGTTAATAACAAAACAGTTTACCTGGCCCAGTGGTTCCCAAACTTTAATGCACACTGGAATCACCTGGGGATCTTTAAAAATTACTGATGCCTGGTTCTGAGCCCCTCTAGACTTCTGATTTATCACCATGGAGTAAAACCAGATAGCAGAAGTTTTTAAAAGCTTCCCAAGTGATTCAGCTACACAGCAAAATTTGAGAACCACTTACCTAGATAGTCACCGAACCCAGAAATCTGAGTCATTACTGACTTCACCTTCCTCTGTGCCTCTAAAATGTCTCTCAATCAATTAAGTCCCTCCCTACAGCTCACATGCCAGAACTGCGGTTTTTCAATACCCCTCCTCGGTTTCAGCAGCACCTTCTCTTAAGGATGTCCCTGACCCTAATTTCCTCCCCTAAGCATTGTGCACACCAATGCCAGTTATCTTCCAAAAACAAACTAGATCATGTTATCTTCTGCTTAAAAACAGTGAAATCCAAATTCTTTAACTTGCTTGGAGACTTCTCACAGTGAGGCCCCTACTTACCATTCTGGCTTCATGTCCTGCCATGCCCCACACTACGTTGTTTAGTTGCTAGGTTGTATCCAATTCTTTTGTGACCCCATGGACTGCAGTCGGCCAGGCTCATCTGCCCATGGCATTTTCCAGGCAAGAATACTGGAGTGGGTAGTCACCTCCTTCTCCAGGGGATCCTTCCAACCCAGGAACTGAATGAACCTCTGTTTCCTATGTTGGCAGGGGGATTCTTTACCACTGAGCCACCTGGGAAGCCCCGCCACAAAACATACCCTACCATTAAACATCACCATGCTACTCAATAATTCTGGCGTTTTGGACACTGCTGAGGCACCATCCCACTCTGCCTTTGTTCATGCTACACACTTTAGAGTTCCATTCTCCTACCTCTCCATGGCACAAAGCCTTATTTGTGCTCCAACGTTCACCTCAAAAAATAGCACTATCTTGATGAATGATATCTTTTTTTTTTTTAATTCTTTTTTTTTAATTAATTATTTTTTTTTTTATCACAACCATGATGAATGATATCTTATCCACACATATCTTATGTACACATTCAACCTCTCCCTCTCGTCTATCTGTTTGTGTACTTACTCGTTCAGTCAACTCTTTGTGACCCCATGGATTGTACCCCACCAGGCTCCTCTGACAATGGAATTCCCCAGGCAAGAATACCGGAGTGAGTAGCCATTCCCTTTTTCAAGGGATCTTCCCAACCCAGGGGCTGCACCCGAGTCTTCTGCATTGCAGGCAGATTCTTTTACCGTCTGAGCCACCAGGGAAGCCCTCCTCTCTCCAATATTTCCATGAATTATAATAGCTAAATATGTATCTAGGGCTAAGAGCTTGACATGTATTCTCATTTAATCCTCAAAACAATCCTCTGGGTAGGTGCTTGCCCAGTTTACAGATAGAGTAACTGTGATTTTCCCAAATTGCCAAGTTAGACAAGGGCAGTCAGGACAGTCTCAACAGTCTGATCCTAGTCGAGTTCCTCTTCCTTACCACTCCCTTTTTCTGTCTCACTTTAAAATCTCTTAAAGAGGATATCCAACTTCATAATACAATTGAGTGAGAGAGAGCATAAATCTTGAGAGTAGAGCTTTGGTCATCCATATTGGTCTCCTGACTAGAAGGCTAGATGTCCAGTAAGTATAACTTCAGTGAATAAACTAAACAATGGAATAGAACTCTGAGAGTAATCCCATGTTCCTTAACCAAGAGAGTATCCTGGTCTGATTTTCAACAATTTATTCAGGCCTTTATTGCACTTAACACTCTGACCTGTTATTAAAGGCTCAAAGAAATAAAACAAAGTATTTCATTACCTAACTGGACCTTAGTTTTGGCTGCAAATAAAACTCAAGGATGGATAATTGGCTGAGGACTTGAAATGCTGAATCATAAAATCATAAAACTCATTAAGTGACAATCTACAGATTTTTAAAAAGAACACTCTTGCTTGGGTTTTCTTGCGTATCACTGATAAGCACGGTCAGAATTTCAGGGAATCACTCTAAAATACCCTTGAAAACCTTCCCCTATATTACCCTTCTCTGTCTTATTTCATTTTTTCTGCAATATACTTTAAACATCTAGACCTACAGAGGCTCAAGTGGTGGAAAAAAGTAAGTTGGCAATGATTAAGAAACTTTTGTTTTTCACAAGAAACTGATGGAAGGGGAGGAAGGGTCTGGTACGTAAGCATTCAACAAATCTTGATTAATGAGTAAATTCAAACAAAACAAGCAAATCATTTGGCGGCTGAGACTGTGTTAGCCTGAAAGACGGGCAGTGGGTGAGGGCCAATACGGAGAGAATGTTCACTTCTGGCAGACACGCGGGGTGGACAAAAATTACCCTAAAACAGAGTAAGACACTTTCCCTTTTAATGAGCACTTACTCTACATGAAACAACGCGCTCACGTTCTCCTTATTCTAGCCCACATGATAGGTGTTATTATTCCTCCCGTTTCACAGATGAGAAGGCTAAGGCTAAGAAGGAAATTGCTCAAAGGAACTCTACTACTCTACGGCAGAGCCTAGAATTCTAATCCAGGCAGTCTGATTTCCTAACCTGAACTCCCAAACCCTGAGCAGCACCACCTGTCCAGTCCCAGAGTAGCCCCAGGGCGGTAAAAGGACACGCGTGGGCGCTTCAGCTTTTCCCCATCTCACGGGTTGGGCAACACAGGCCACAGGACCGAGGAAAACGAGGCCCGGGGAGGCTGAAGAGACTGTAATGAGGTGACAGAGAATTTCTGCCCAGGCTGGGGGCGGATTCCTCAATCCCTCGGGACCACTGTGCACGCCTAAGCTGCCGAGCCCACCAGCGCGGCAGTGGCCAACCCGCCTAGGTCAAGGCTGCGAGCACGCCCGCAGCTGGCTGGCCGTGGGGTCAAGACCGAAGTCAGGCCGCCTTATCTGCCCAGCGTTAAGCCAAGGGCCTTACCGGGTCTCCAGAACTTCACCGGTCCCACGGGCGCAGCCATGCTGGGGTGAAAGGTCACGAGGAAGGCTCCACCCCTCCGCCGCGCACCGGCCCCCAAAGGGGCTGGGGGGCGTGGTCCGTGAGGAGCCTGGCTCTAGGAGGTTCCGCGGTGTTACGGCCACGCCCCCGTAACCACCCCCCTCCGAGCCACGTGATTTGCGTTTCAGCCCCGTCCCGGACCCATGTGATCGACTCCGCCATATTGGAGAAAAGGGCGCGCTTCTCTTTCTCTTTAGCATAGCAGACCTGCATAGCACACCTGGGTTCTGAGTGGCCTTAGGAGTTTGGCGTGGCCCAGAGGGCGGCAGCACGCTTCTGAAAGGTTGAGCTTGGCAAGAGACCGCTGGTCCGAGAGTTTGTCGCCGCCTGCCGGTACGCGGTGGGCAAGGAAGCAGTGCATCCCAAATTAACATTAAGTTGTAAGCTATCACGGGTGTATTATTTCTTTTAGTCTCCTCCACATTTTCAGATTGGAGGATAATAGTAACTACCTAGTGGATTTTGTGGTTCAGTAAATATTGGGCGCCTACCGTGCGCCCAGGCATTGCAGTTTGTCTCTTTGATGAACTTATGTCCCAGAGAGGAGGGGCGAGGGTGTCCTGGGAGTAAATGAGTAAATGCAGGATAAGCAGCGGTGTTTGGGGTCTTCCCTGGTAGTTCAGTGGTTAGGACTTGGCACTTAATGCAGGGCGCCTGGGTTGGATCCCTGGGCAGGAACCTAGGTCTTGCATGCCGCAACTTAGACTGGGAGCAGCCAAACTAAAAACAAAACCAAAACCCGTTTATAATTAACAGTAAACAAAACGATGGAAACCAGTATGGAAGTCTCCAGAGCCCCTGAGAGTAATGCCGAGAAGGAAGAATAGATTGAAATAAGAAAATTAGAAATGGGTAGATCTGTTAGGCTAGGACATTGGCCCAGTATTTCCTCCAGTTTCATTCATGACCCATGTTTCAAATGCTTGTTAAAAGTACAGATTCTAGACCCCCAATCCAATCCCGAATCAGAATATCCAGGGACATGGCCTAAAAAACTGCATTGAAAACGTGCTACAGAAGATTCTTTCCAGTAACCAGCTTGAGAAAGATTCCACTAATGAGAGCTAATAGGCTGGAGTAGAGGAAATGCTTATATGGGTAGGCAACTAATTGGAAGGAAGTGAGAAGGTGCAGAATCTCCGTATTTTAGAGCTGTGAAGAAAAGTCTTATTCCTTGAGAGAAATGGTAGTCGTGGAAAGATCAAAGGCTTTGGAGACAAGTAGAATTCGGAATCCTCACTATGCCTTTCCTAGCTCCTAGCTGTCCTCTAATCTTAGTTGTAAGATGAGGTTTTAAAAGTTTTTATTAAATGTGAGAACATGTAAGGTCGCCTACAACATAGGACATCCAATCAGTGTTTGCTGTGAATAGCTCATAGAGCAAATTGACCAAGGGAAAAATCAGAACTTACACATATACACACTAATTTTCCAACTATTCCATTTCCGTAATGAAAACAGGGTTCCATACATGATCATCTCTGCCCAAAATTCTCTACTGATCCTTTAAAATATCCGTATGTCAGCTCTAAGGCTTCTCTAAATTCACAATCCAACTTCAGTATTCTCCTCCTACAGACTCAGAACCTGTCTACTTGTTCTGTGATTTAACACTCATTTAGTTAAACTATAATCTGTCTCCACTGTTACATTGGAAGCATCTTGAGAACATGCATCATATTATTACAACTCAAAGCAAAGTGCCCACTGAGTGATGTATATGTGAACACCATGCTTTATAGTTTTAATTCTTAATGCTATTGACCCTTCCTTGTTTTATTTTTGTCTGATTTTCAATAAGGGCCCAAGTATACAAAACAGGGTTTATATTAATACATAAATACAAGAGTAAATTAAATAAATGCCACTTTTTATTATTTCTATATTTATTTATATTTATTTTGGTCACACTGGGCAGCATCTGGGATCTTAATTTTAACCATGGAACAAACCCATGCCCCTGCATTGGAGGCTTGGAGCCTTAACCATTACCAGTGAAGTCCCTGATTTCTGTATTTTATAAACTACGATTTATGTGATGAAGACTTCCTGTTTACAAAGAGTGTAATGGCCATGTGCAAATTACCAGATCATAATCTTAAAGCTGGAGGAGACTTTAATCGTCTAAATTCTTTGTTTTATAGAAAAAACAAAAACAGCCCATGAAAGTTGAAAGAACTTGGTAAGAATGAATGGGCTAATTCAGTATCAGAATTGAAACTAGACTTTAGGCTTTCTAATTCCCAGGTCAGTGGTTTTGCAACCACATGGACCATTTAAAACTGTTAGAGTTTAGCTCTCCTTGATGAGAATTAATTCATCTACCCCAGAAAGTTCTCTTAGCCCAACTGTCTCTAATGGGTCCTTTTGCTTTCAAAGACTTCTACTACAGAAAGCATCTAAGTAATACACTAGATATTGAGTGGTTTTATTGCCACAAACTAGGAATGGTCTCCGTGGACTATCTTATCTTTCCTAATAAACTATTTCAGAAAGAATGACATAAAATAACTACTAATTAAACCCATTGTTTCATGACATGGCATCCAGTATTTAGCTCATTGCCAACAATTCCAAGAAAGTTTGATCGTTTTGTTACATTTTGCAACTTGCAAATGACCAATTTTCCAGATAGTCCTCAAGATGTTCCATAGGTATATTATAGAAGTTTTTCTCTGCCTCTGATGGTTATCTGATACTTTCTGCTTTGAAATATAGTCAGTCTTGGCCATGTTTAGGACATATAGGATTTGGAGTGTTCATCATTGTACCAGTAAAGTCTTTTATGTTACAAGTAATAGGAAACCCAACTCATTTTTTATTAGGCAAAAATGGCTCATATAATCTAAAAAATTCAAGTAATTCTGATTTGAGACACAGCTGCATTGAGGCACTTAGGACATAATTAAGATTTGCTTCTGATCATAACATTCTGCCTCCTGCTGACCCAGGTGTCACATGGTAACTAGATGGTCATGTCAACTCATGTCACATCCTCTTAGCATCAAGTCTTTTTCCAAAAATTCCTGGCAAAAGCATCTAGCTGGGCACATATCCATCCCTGAATCAATCACTAGGGCATCCTGACTGGCTTAAATCTGGTTATACACTCCCCAAGTCAAGTGTGTTCAGCTTCACCAGGACCACATGGACTGAGAACTGGAAACAGAATGGTCCCTCAGAGAGTCTTCTGACAATGAGATTATCAGAGGTGGAATGAAGGCAGCAAAAATAATGAGTAGCCTCCCATGTATGCATGTACTATGCTAGAACTCCTGGCTTCCTAAGAAAAATCCTAGCTGCCCTTGGGTCTCCTTCAGGAAGCCAGATCAGAGTTATCCCCCAGCTTGAAAAGACACAGTTCTTTGCAGAATTGCCTTTCCTGAATTGTGCTACAACAGGGATTTTCCACTGACTTTAAGGTGTAGCCCTCTGGGACTTGTAGCATATATAAACCTGTCTGGTTTGTTCACTTGCATACAAATGATCAGGTTCATACAGGTGTTAGCATAAACAAAAGTGTTTACTCAGCTCCAGGAATCTGGGTACAGAGGTGTGGAGAACCCACCAGGAGAGACTCAGCTAAATACTAGGAGAGTCTCTATCATGTAGGCCTGAGGAATTGTGTGCATCTATTGAACAGAGTGAGTTGGGGATGGCAAGGTCTGCCAGATGCTTTCTAGGTAAGATGACTGTATGCTTTATCGGAGAGTGAAAGGGCAGGCTCAGGGCATACACTGGACCTCTGCCAGGCAAATTGGGATATATTTCCAGGTGAGTAGCACCAGGAACCTAGAATAACAATGCCTCTGTGAACATACTCAACATAAGGTATGTATTCCACACTCACGGAATATGTATGGATGCATTCAACTGCTTTATAGCTTTAGACAAACACCTTGTGGAGTCTCGTGTCTCGGCACACCCCAGAACATCTGTCGTTGTATTTTCAGAATACTTCACAGTATCATTTTTATAAAAGGATTCTTCTAAGAAATTCTCATCTGATCTTAGTACCAAGAATTGGGTTTTTCCTGTACCTGGAGTTAATCGTACGGACATTGAGGATGCTGGATCTGACCATGTTTCTCTTTCTGCCTTGGTTACTGAGAAGCTTAAAGTGTGTGCTCTGCCCAAAGTGTCAGTCATGGTGGCGTGTATTGACAGTGTCCTTCCTAACACCCCACCCTCTGGTTTCTCATGTAACTTCTCACTTTTGTGATTCTTGTACGTTAGGTTTTCTTGTCAGCTGCTTGGAATCCTGTAGGTAACAGAGAGATACTCCACAACCCAACTGCCCACAGAAGTGGCGTGGCCATCTCTTCAGTTGACTCTTCCAGTTTTTCAAGAGAATGCCAACCCTGCCATCTGATTGGGTTGACCTTGAAACTGTACAGCTAATTCAAACAGCTCATCAGGGAGAAAATGAGACAGCAGAGTCTGAACACTATTTGATACTGAGAAATTTTTACAAAATGTTTAGGTGTGATCAAGGAATTGTGGTTATGCTTTATCTTTCAGATATACACTAAAATATTTACTGCCAAGTTGTAATGGCTAAGTCTGACATGAAACAGGTGAGAAATATAACTCTCTCCCAGGGAGAGACATTTTTTTTTCCTAATGTAGGAGAAATATACTACTACTCAACCTCTACTGGAAGGTTGGCAGCCCTGAGAACTCTTTTTAATGTAGCATGTTATGGACGTATTCCTGCTTCCAAAGGAATGAGAAGCAGACATTTCCACATGCGAAGCAATACATATTTTTGAACCAAAGTCTGCCATACTCACCCTCCCATCCCCTGGAATTGGGGTCAACAGATCAACATTTTGAACAAGGACCCCAGATGACTGCTGTAGGTGGTCCTTAGATCTCCCCCTCAGAAAGCTCAAGCACCATGAGAGCTTTGCTTCCTCTGACAGTCCTGGCCATTTTCTTAGGATTCCATATACCTCTTGTTCTTCTTTCTTTTAAAAAAATATTTATTTGGCGGTGTCTGGCCTTAGTTGCAGCACATAGGATCTTTGATCTTTGTTGCAACATGCAGGATCTTTAGTTCCGGCATGAAAACTTAGTTGTGGCATGTGGGATCTAGTTCCCTGACTAGGGATCTAACCCAGGTTCCTTGCATTGGGAGCGGAGTTGTAGCCACTGGACCACAAGGGAAGTCCCTCTTGTTCTTATTTCTAATTGCTGGCATTGCTTTCAGAAAATAATGGTTTTTGCATCCTATTTCACACCAAAAAAGGGGCTCTGAAGTTGTTAGTATGTGATGGGCCATATACCTTCCCTCCTCTGAGAAAGCCATGGTGCTGAATACCTCATTCCAAAGTCTCAGTGGTGCTGCAGCAAAGAATTCTGTTTATTGGATCCATTTGCCAGAGTGAAACACAGATCCTTTTTTATGGATGCCTATTAATAGCTCTGTGGAACACACTGAGTTGAAATTTCAAACATACCTGCATTTGTGAATGAGCTTAACTTTGAATGTTTTCAATTCACCATGGCATTAACTGCCATTTCTCAAGGTACAACTGGAAATTCCCTGGCAGTCCAGTGGTTAGGAATGCCGTGCTTTTACTGCTGAGGGCATGGGTTTTCGATCCCTGGTCAGGGAACTGAGATCCTACAAGCTGTGTGGTGTGGCCAAAAAAAAATTTTTTTTAATTAACAACAACGAAAAAAGGTACTCCGATGCCTCTCTACTCCCTGTAGAGAAATAGTCACATTTCAAAGCACTGACCTCAGAATCTGAAAACCTGTGTTTAAATGCTTGTCACCATTTATCAATCATGTGACTCTGAATATGCTACTTAATCTGAGCTTCAGTTCCTTCACCTGAAAATTGGGAATAGGAGCTGTTCAACCACTCCTCTGATGAGAGGGTCACAGATAGCACACAGATTATCTAAATCTGGAAATAATTTCAAGTAACAGTATGTTTATATGAGGCTTGGGCCAGAGTTGTTTACAGACAGGAACCAGTTGTCTGGTCTGCTTCTCAGTCCAGATTATAGCACTAACCCAGGAAACAACCTGGTGAGCAGAAAGGAGTCCTAGTGCACACGTGAAAACCCGCAGGCCTGCTCAGATCCGGGTGCATCAGCCTGTGGCTTTAGTGGCAGACAGCACCCTCCGCTACTACGGATCTCTTTTGCTCCAATCAAATCAGCAGGAGGAGGAAGCCATCAACTCTCTTTCTTTTGCTCATGCACAAAAGAGACTGGACAAAAACAGGATTCCACAGGCATACCAATGCTGACTAGCAGGGTGTAGAAACTAGTTGCATTGCCTGCCACTGGACTAGGAATCTGGGATAATTGTCACTGCCCTCTTTCGCCCCTACTGCAGGATATCCGATTGCTAAATCATTGTCAATACACCCATCTGATGAAATTAGGCCCATGAGGCCACTACGGTTAATATCAGGGTGAATCCAGGATGCACACAGAGGCCTTTTCTGGCAGAGAAGCACAGAACTAAAGTCCTTGTCTAAACAGCTGAAGCTTTTTCCTTGAAAAAGACAAGCTAGAGCACATGAAGAGACCTGAGATGTCTGGCAAGTTTTCTCATTCAAACTGTAGAACTAGTGACATCAATATTCATATCGCTAGGGAAGATGTGACCCTGACACTTTATGTCATCTAACTTAAATATTTTTTCTTTTATAATTTGGGTCATCTACTCTTCCACCCAAGACTATAAAAAAAAAAAAACAAATGCATAAATAGCTATGAGGTGCATTTACTTGTAACGCATTCCTAGAGTTAAACAGAAAAGTGCCAGAGAAGAAAAAAAAAAAGACACGAGCAACCACCAAACAAGATTTGTTTACATCTATTTAATGCTAAGAACACAGATATCCTCAAGAAGGGACACACCTAAGAAACAGAGTTTTGAGTTTTTTTCCTGAACAGGATTTTGATCATGAAAACTAGTAATTCAAACCTCTAAACAATAGAGCACATAAATCTAAAAATGCAACACATATTTTATCCCTTACCTGAATTACCTGAGAACCCTGAAACATTCTCTTGAAGAGCTATCCATATTAAAATTGTGCAAAGAAACTGTACCCATAGTGTTTAAACCATAAAACCAAGACTGGGTTTATACATGATAAAATAAACATAAAGCACATAAAATACCATGCAGCTCATAGAGTTCAAAGAAAATCAGAGTGAAGGAAAGGCAATGAGGACAGGAGACATTCTGGAAAGCAGGATGCTCCAATGACATCTACTGCAAGGCTGTTTGAGGCCAGGAGCTCTGAATGTGTGGAGCTGTCACTGATAAGATGGATAAAGGGTGATTTCTCGAACTGCCAGCAAGTTAGTGGATGATCTGGCAAAACTTCCGGAATTAAAACCAAGGTAGTTTTCAGTAAGGAATGTTTTTCTTGAAAGCATGGCCAGCATGTGGTTGAGCCGGGACCTGATCCCAGCAAAGTGAAACTGTCTCTCTTTATTCAAGTTTCTGAATGAGTCTCTGAAGCACAGATCGAAGTGGGGGGTGCTCCAGTACTTAGGGTGTCCAGGCGTGGCAAAGTCAGTGGATCTGAAGGAAGTCTGGGAACCGATGGAGCTGGCCACGGAGCCTTGGGAGGACAGAGAGGAGGAGGATCTCAAACTGGAGGAGCGCGACACAGACATCTTTGATACTGGTGATGCTTCCTTAGACTGGCTTCCCGGAGAGGCGAGAACACCCTCGTCCACGTCAGTTTGGGTAGTGGTCGATGTGGTCGGGACCACGGTTTGGGAGCTCACCACCCTGGTGGCCACTGCGGTCTGGGTGCCGGCACATGCCATGGCCGCGCTGGCTTGTGTCCCCACATCACTCGTGCTCACAGCGGGCGTCTCCTCTCCTGGCTCTGTCTGAGTGGCGGCATCAGTCGCCTTCCTGCCTTCCAGCCTGTCCCTGCGGCTGCTGAAGTAGTCCTCTTCGCTGATGGTGGAGGCCTTGGAGGCCCCGCACCCAGCCTCTGCCCGGCCCTCCTCGCCACCCAGCTCGGCCTTCCGGGGAGTGCTCGAGAGCCTGGCCAGCCGCAGCCGCAGCAGGTTGCCCAGTGTGAGCTCCTTAGACAGCGGTTTCTGCTCGACAAGATGGTCAAACCTGCCACTGATCCGGAAGCTGGACAGGAGCTTGGAGCTGATGGGCTTTGACTGTGCGTAGAGGATTCGGAACTCCAGGTCAAAGTGTTCAACCACTTGGCCGGACAGAATCACCAAGTTGCTGCTGTTTAGTTTGCCATCTGTCCATGTAAAACTGCAGGATTAAAAACAGAAGCTGATAAGGATGACTGATCTTCATTTCCTTACTGTCAACCTGATTATAAAGCCCAGACATCCTGTGACAAGAGTCACAATTCAGGTGACAGCACACCTACCATGCAGTGTGAATTCCAACTCGCCTTAACACAGGATATAACCCAGGAATATGTTAACATTGAAATCAAAAAGGGACTTCCCTGGCAGTCCAGCAGGTGAGACTCCGACTCCCACCGCAGGGGGCATGGGATGGATTCTTGGACAGGGAACTGAGATCCCACGTGCTAGAGGGTTCAGCCAAAAGGTTAAAAAATAAAAAGACCAGTAATTCAACCAACAGGCTAAAATGTATAATCCTCAGCCTCAGAGTTGCTAAAAACTAGAAAGGGCTCTTAAGGTGCTGAGGGCAGCGCCCTCCTTTGAGGAGTAAAGAACGTGCCTTGCGATGTCCCGGGGGAAGCTCGTGGTGGAGCCTAGACTCGGCCCCAGAACTTCAGAACCACAGGGGCAGTGCTCCTCACTACCTCCCCCACGCTGCTGTTTCCACAGAGGGAGACAGGCCTGTCATTCTCATGATGACACTGTTGCTCAACACACATGTAGAGCTGATTAGTGGCCGCGCGCCCCTGGCAGTCCAGTGAGCCGCCTCCTTCCTACGGTGACAGGACCCCGCCCACCCCAGCCCAGCCAGCCGCATGGAGGCACCCTCTCCAGGTACAGCAGGGCTGGGCAGGTGACCCAGGCTGGCCAGAGTATCCTACCCCTTAGATGAGGGGATCTGCACAGGGTGGGTGGTAAGCCAGTGACAGCCAAGGAATTTTGCAAGGCCTGATACCATCAGAGAGTGAGAGGAAGTCTCTCACTTTGATAAATAGCTACTGAAGTTCACATGAGGGAGCCTGGACCTCTGTCTGCAAATAGAGAGCCTGACTGAGAATAAAGATCCATGAGAGGACTTCCCTGATGGTCCAGTGATTAAGCATCTGCCTGCCAATGCAGGGGACATGGGTTCAATCCCTGGTCCGGGAAGATCCCATGTGCCACGGGGCAGGTGAATCTGTTCTCCCCAACAGGAGAAGCCACTGCAGTGAAAAGCCCACGCACTGCAATGAAGAGGTGCCCCCACTCACCACAACTAGGGAAAACCCATGCATAGCAACGAAGTCCCAGTGCAGCCGGGGGGAAAAAAAATCAGCTAGAGGAAAGCAAAAATAGGAGACAGTGCTCTGATAAATACATGGCCCCTAGGTCAAGATGAGCTGAAAACCAGTGGCACCGTTCTATACTTTCAAGTTAGGTGAGACAGTCAATGCCATTTTGCATAAAGTAGTTTGAGCCAGCTTTCTGCACCACCAGCAATCACCCTACTGACTCAGAAAAATTTCTATCAGGAGTAGGGTGTTTACATAAAAAAATCATAAAACGTAGTAGCAACTCTGTCTCTTGCAACCAAGAACCCAGGCAAAAACAAATTCACCGTGCGACAACTGCCTTCAGAGCTAGAGAAGAAAGATCCTTTTGAAAACCATCAGTAAGATCATGTAAACAAGACCCTTATCCAACACCAGGATTAAAAAAATGTCCTCAGCAAATGAAAACTATCCTTACTCTCATCCTCAGTGGTAGCATATTTCATTTTTAGGAGGTAGCTGTAGGAGCCACTGTGTCCTTGTCTTTTGAAGTAAAATGTCAGCTCAAGAGTTAATGATTGGGAAAGGTAAAGATGTAGAAACAAAGAGCTGTTGGGCTGGGGAGCTGGTAACAATTTAGACTATAAATCTGCCACACAGCAGAATCACTGAACTCCTAGTTCCCTGAAAGATAGAGATAAGGGCCTAACGCACATCCCAAATTGTTTCTACCGGAAGCAGAAACCGACCATGTGAAAACTGCTGACTACAAGAACATAGATCCCAGACTGGTTGAAACCAGAAGGCTGATGAAGCTTGAAACTTCACCTTGATGCCAACCAATCTGAAAACTGTCCACAAGATGATTACACCCTGCTCCTTGAACACAATTAAATTCCTCACCAGCCCCTCCAGGGTGGATCACAGAATCTTGAGATCAAGAGCCCGCTGGGGCCCTCTCTGCCCGGCAAAGCAATGAAAGCTACTCTTTTCTACTTCACCTAAGAATCTGTGTTTCTATTTGGAACTGGTGAACAGAGGCCGAGTTTCAGCAACAATTTTTGTATTTCAGATTCAGAATAGTCAAAAATCATTTGGAAGTTTGGTTAACATAGATAAGTCCTACTGTGGGTAAAAATCTTAGTTTCCTCCTATTACTGCCAAGCTTCTTATGAAAGGAAGTCTTAAGGAGGAGTTCAAGTTGTTACGAGCAATGATGGCACTGTTTGAAAAGAAAGACACCAAGAGTTTCTTGATCTGCCTGACTCCTCTCCCACAAGCCTCTGCACACCCAGCTTCATCCAGGGCTGACACCCATTAACACTCAGGGCTGCCTGCTGCTTCAAATATAGTTTTTCTTCTTTAAACTGTAGAGACATACCTCAGCTCACATATACCATCAGACAGTCTAACACAGAGATGGCAAAACACACCACCATCAGAGCCATGTCCATAAAAATGGTATATCTTAACCTCTGGAGATCATCATTTAGCACTTCTTATCTATACCCTCCATTCAAATTCCCTGCTCTCTACCCTAAGGTGCCACGCCAACAGGAAACTTCAAAGGTGGAGCCAAAAGCTTGGATCTACTTTCTAGACTAAAGCACCAACTCATAAGGCTTGAATCAAGGTGAAGGATTAAAGTAGGCAGCTCCGGCTGTGCCCTCCATCCTGAGCCCAATGCCTACAACTGCCCTTAATTCAAGTGGGCAGGGACAAGGTGGGTCGAAGGCCTGGAGAACCAGGACTTGAGACTGATGCAGTCACTGTTGTTGCTGCTGCTGTTGTCGTTTAGTCACTTAGTCATGTCTGACTCTTTGCGACTCCTTGGACTGTAGCACACCAGGCTCCTCTCTCCGTGGGATTTCCCAGGCAAGAATGCTGGAGTGGGTTGCCATTTCCTTCTCCGGAGAACTTCCTGACCCAGGGATGGAACCCAAGACTCCGTACTGCAGGCGGATTCTTTATGCTGAACCACCAGCGAAGCCCCCCTGTTCCAGTCACTGTTAATCCCAAATTCGTCCACCGCAAGCCTCGCTAAGCCTTGAATCGAGGACTCCTGACTCACTGTCAGGTCTCCAGATAAGTTTTAACCTCTGCACTTTAGGTTTGTGAACCACAAAGGCAGTGGAGGGGACCCTGGCCCAACCCACTCCAAGAAGAGGCTTTGATTAACCTATTCACACCTGTTCACACCCACAGATGCACACACAGAGGTATGTTTGCCCATAAAGGTTCACATTGAGAGGGAAAAGCAGCTTTCACCTTCATAGAGCGCACTTCCTCTTAAAAGTTTAGATTAATAACCATGGATGGGTCAGAAACTCACCTGTAGGAGCCTGTAGCCACACGAATGCCATCAATCAGTGTGAACTTTTCATGAACCTTCCCAACAATTTTAGTTCCTGACCTGGCGTAGTAAATATTTCCTGTAATCGTCCGGACAGTCATCAGCTATTGGTAGGGGAGTGGGAGAAAAAGAAATGAATGATCGAGTGAGCATATGATAGAAGCAGCCTTAGTTTACGATTTCTGAACAGATAAACGTACTGGCAGATGAGAGGTTACACTGCTGGGTAACAATGCCCACAGTACAGGAGCCAGGTGAGTCTCAGGACTTAAGTAATGCTATTCACGTAAGTTCATCTTCTTACATGCTTTTTTATGCATGCATATTTATTTCTGAGACCTTCAGTTCATGTGGACTTGTGCTCTAAAAGAAGATTCACTTGTTGGAGACACCGAACAACAGAATTCAAACAATGACTTTGAAACAAATGTGGGGGATAAAATCATCAAAGAAAACATGATAATAGTAATAAATAACATTTTAACAAAGACTTAAAGAAGCTAAGGTGACAATTCTCCTCTTGTATAATAGCGCTGCTAATAAATAACAGCCCATCCACACTAATCCCTACACCATAATGGGTATGGGGAACAGGAAAAGAGGACAAGCCTTCTCTAAATACAGGGTTTCTGAGGCGGAAACACTCATATTATGTGTATTAATCAGCAATGTTACTTCTCCCACAAGTCTGCATTTACCAAAAAGGTACTCTGGTGATGCACTGGGGCCATATGTTGTATAATTATCCTTGCAGAATGACACACATAAATGTATACACAATGGTATGCAAAATACTAAGCCAACCTGCATTCTTTGGAGCAGAGCAGTAGCTCTGTATCTTTACAAATCTTACACACCAGAAGTAAATGTCTAAGATTTTTGTTTGATTCTTTCATTCACTCCACAAACAACAGAAAGCCCCTACTATGTACCAAGCCTTGCGACAATAGATATAAGGCATGATCCTTACCTTCAAGGACCAGGAGACAGAAAATTAATGATTAAATTAAATGATTTTAAATTAATGATTAAATTACTATAGCAAGACATGACACCATCCAAAGAAGTGAAAACCTACATCTCCACAAAAACCTGTACACAAATATTCATAGCAACTTTATTCATAATTGTAAAAAACTGGAAACTACCCTAATATCCATCAGTGAGTGAACAGTTAAACAAACTGTGGTTTACCCATACTATATGATATTGTTCAGCATGAAAAAAGCCAATCTCAGAAGGTCACACACAAGAAGGAGGGGACACACATATGCCGAAGGCTGATTCATGTCGAGGTATGGCAGAAACCAGCACAACACTGGAAAGCAATTATCCTCAAATTAAAAATAAATACTTTTTATAAGGGTCACATACTGTAGACTTCATCTACATAACATTCTCTAAATATTCTCTAAATGACAAAATGACAGAGATGGGGGACAAATTAGTGGTTGCCAGGGATGAAAGACGCTGGGAAGGGAACTGGAGGGGAGTCTATGTGACCATAAAGATGCAGCATGAGGGAGACCTTTGTGGTGATTGAATAGCTCTGTATTCTGATAGCAGTGGTTACACATATGTACACATGTGATAAAATGGCACAGAACAATAGACCCACATGGTACCCATGTCAATTTCCAGGTTCTGATGTTGTAAGTTATATAAAGTATAACTTGGGGGAAACTGGGTGAGGATACATGGAAACCTGTATGTACTAATACTATCTTCCTATCTTCACAACTTCTATCATTATTTCATAATGAAGACGAAAGACAAAACAAACTATGGCATAACACAACATTGTTTCTGCGCTATTCTTACCAAAATGTGAAATACGAATTTAACCATGAGGAAACATCAGACAAATTCCATAGGAAACTGGCTAATATTCTTCAAAAGCATTAAGACTCTAATGCTACTCTAACGAACAGTTCCAGATGAGAGGAAGCTAGGAGAAACGGCAACTAAATGCCAGATATGGTCCCAGATTGAATCCTAGGTAAGAAAACAGGCATTCATGGAATGATTCATGAAACTCACAATGTCTATAAAATAGGTAATAGGACTCTTATCAAGTTTATTTCATGATTTTGAAATTTGTTCTGAGGTTTGTCAAGATGTTAACATTTAGAGAATCTGGGCACGGAGCATTCAGGGATGCCTTATACTATTTCTCTAACACCTTTGTAAATCAAATTATTTAAAAAAAAAAAAAAACAACTAGAACCTTCCATAGAGGTGCACATGGAGCTGGCAGGGGAGGGATTCCTGGATAATTCCTGAGCAGAGCTTCAAAGGATCTGCATATAATACAAGCATGAAGAACATCACTGTGGGCAGATTTCAGTGTGATTTCGTGCATCTTTCCCTTTGGCATTTATCTGAATATTATATAGGCCTCTGTGATTGTGTTCAAAGCACTTTTAAAAAAATTATTCATTTATGGTTGTGTTGGGTCTTCATTGCTGCAAAGGCTTTCTCTGGTTGCAGTGAGTGGAAGTTATTCTTTACTTGCGGTGCAGTGGCTTCTCATTGCAGTGGCTTCTCGTTGCAGAGCGTGGGCTTGAAAGTCAGAATCAGTAGTTGTGGTGAACGGGCTTAGCTGCCCCAAGGCATATGGAATCTTCCCAGACCAGGGATCAAACCTGTGTCCCCTGAATTGGCAGGCAGATTCTTAACCACTGGACCACCAGGGAAGCCCAAAGCACTTTTTATTTATTTTTTATTTTTAAAAACTTTTTATTTTATACTGGAGTATAGTTGCTTTACAATCAAAGCACTCTTGAGTGCCTGCACACTTAGGTGTGCCCAAGTTCCTGCAGACCGGGCAGAAGAAGTCGCCCCCAAGAGGTGAGGGACAGGCTCACCAGCACAGGCAGGCCCTGGTGAGCGAAGGCACCCGGGAAGGTGGTGCTTCCCAGGGAATAAGTTAGGACAGGAACACTGGTGAGGCCAAAGGGACAGGCCTCCCGTGACCCTTCCTGAGGATGCAGGCCCTCCCAAAGGCAGCAAGCAGTAGCAGGCAACTGAATTGGCAAATACACCTAGGTTTTTGCTGAGTGGATGAATCAGAGCCAATCACTCAATCAACGTCATGGCCAGGCTATTCTGTGACCTGCCTGCTGCTCACACACAGCCTCAATTACAGCAACAGCACTTTGAAATTAAACACTGACACCTTCAATTTCTTCGCCGGGCTCTACGGCAGAGCAGACTGAATGTCTGGTTAGATCACGATGTGCTTTCCAGGACTGACTTGCATTTCCCTTGGGTTTACCTGACGCATTTTTAAACTGTTGAAAACAAGCTAGTGAAGTCATAATCTTACACTTAAATACTTGGCTCAAATTCTTTCATGCTCAGGGCAAAGGATATAAAAAGTCTACTTTCAAAATAACAAGAAATGAGAGGCAGCATGTGACAGGGATTAAGAACCCTGGGGCTGAGACTTCCTTGGTGGTCCAGTGGTTAGGAATCTGCCTGCCAATCCAGGGGACACAAGTTCGATCCTTGGTCCAAGAAGATCTCATATGCCACAGGACAGCTAAGCCTGCATGACAGAATGACTGAAACTGTGCAAGGGCAACTAGAGAAAGCCCACACGCAAAAACAAAGACCCACTGCTGTCAAAACTCAAAAAAAAAAACAAAACCAAAACACCAGGGCTGGAGGCAAGCAGACAGATGGAGAAACTCCATCCCACTACTTTTTAGCTACAGACCCTGGGCTCTTGGTGACACCACTTCCCAATCTGAAAATAGGTATAACACCACTCACCTGATGGGGCTGCTGTGAGTAGCAAGTGGTATAACACTGTCAACAGCCTCGAACAGCGCCAAGGACAGACCAGGACTCCATAAACTGTGATCGTCACGATTAAAATTGGAGCCTACCAGTGCTGCGGTCAAAAGCAGCAGCTTCTCCTCCCCATTAGAGAAATGCTACCTACTCTGATGGACAGAACAGCACTTTGTGTGTAAGAAACCAGTCTAGTTCTTTCCAGAATTTCCATCTCATTTTATGTTTCTGGGAACTTCCTTATTTTGGAAAATAAGGATATTACTTTTGGGGTTTTCCTTTGAAAATACTAGCCATTTTTCTTTATAGATTAAAAAACATTCTCTCTGATCACTGTATAATACATTTTTACACTAAAAAAAAAAAGGCAGCAGCTTCCAAGGCAGCCTCTTGCCAGGAAAGGCCAAGGTCTGACCCCGACTCTGTCCATCCCTCCAGCGAGACTTCAGGCAGAGACTTTGCTCACGGCCTCCAGTCCCTCCCCGCTTCCACTGGGGAGACCACCCCCAACTGCCCCGTAGCTCACCGACAGTCATTACTTGCTGATTGCGGTGAAACTAGAGACTTTGTAACACAAACCTTTTCTTCTTCAGGATGAACTTTCAGATCCATGCACATATCCAAAAACTGAGAGAGCAGAGCCTGGTCCAGCAGGATGTAGACAGCAACTCCCTGTTTCCGAGAGATTTCCTGCAGGTCTCGGAAGATGTCGATGTCCGTGAAAACATCCATCACCACTGCAATCACCTAGGGTGTGGGGCAGGGAGAAGAGTCAGCGGTCAACCCACAAGAACAGCACCTTACAGCTGGCCGTCAGGACTCTGGACCCGCTCTCGGAACTGCCAAAGGATCCCACCTTACCCTATCCCTCCTTCCTTCTCCTTCTGCAGTATCAGCTTTCCCCTCACCATGGACTCTTACCCATTTCCAAAGACGCTCAGGCCACTGTATCCTACAAATCTGGAACTGACCCAGCTAACCCTCCCAACTGCCTCCCAGCCCCTTTCCTCCACACTGCAAATTTCTCAAAACTATAAATTCAACCACTACCTTGACCTCCTATGAACCTGTTCCATTCAACTCTCTTCATTTACTAAAACCCTCGTCTTACAGTTCAGACCAGCAAGCTATCCAGGTTCTGCAGCTAACACACTGTTACCTTAGACATATGCCTTTTTGTCTATGTCTGTAACACATGTATGTAAAACCTTAAGAGTCTCTCGGAGGCCCCTTCTGGGTGTACCAGTCTCCAAGCCTGACTTTATTGTCTGATTTTGGATCATAATATGATTTTCTATTATAATCTAGAAAGGACCACCCCATCTACCACTGACTCAAGGCTTGAAACTGATCACACCGGGCAGGCTGATGCTCCCACCTTCTGCCTCAGCATATCACAGCACATCTTCATGATGTCTACTCCCTCCACCAGTCGGAATCTAACCAAATGGCTTCTGGAGCACCAGCCTCTCCTTTGTAAAAGGTGGTCCCTGCAGTTCTCTTGTATCTATCCACAATGCAAGCCCGCAACAAGAACACGGAAATATGTCCTAAAGATGCTGCCCTGGAGCTTGGACCAGTCCTTTCCCTCTTCCCAAGGACGGGGCTCCATTTTGTCTCCTGATCAATTTCCCTTTGTGCTGATCAATGGCACTCAGCACAGACTAGGCGCTGCCTTCTGGCCTTGGGCAGATTATAGCTGCTCTGAAAGTTTTAATCCTTAGCTACAAAAATCGGTTCCTAGTGAGCATTAAATGACTACGTTACATGGGGTGCTCTGTACAAGAGACCCTCTGGTATCTGCTCGCTGACTGTGACCAGCCCTGGGGCTGAGCCATCCAGACAGTTCAGGGCAGAGAAACGTCTGCTGGCCCCCAGCTTTCTTGCTCAAGAGAGGCCGCTCCAGTGGCAAATCCTCTCATCGCTTCCTCTGCAGCTTCAAAGCATGGTTGTCAGCTAACTGCTGGCAGGGCTGTGGGGGCATCAAAACATGCAGGTCTTGTACAAGCCCCTGCATTGAGTCAGAGCTAGGGTTGGGGGCCAGGGTGGGGAGGGGGTGTCAGCTTAAGAAACCACTCCCAAAGCCCAAGTTTCAGAGCTCTTTTGCGGGCTGGAAAACCGCACCAGTAAAAACACGAGATTCTTCCCATCACATTAACTCCTGATTTATTTACAGGTCTCATCTCTTCTGTGGGGGTAGAGGCCCTTGAACAGGACTGATTCATCCCTCTCGTCCCAGAGAGCTCAGGACAATACTCAAGGGTCATTATCCAATAACGCCTTACAGGGAGCTTGAACGAATCTTTTGGCCAACTCAATATTTGAGTGTCAAAGAAATGCAGAGACAAAGGGACAATTTCACTGTCCTTCTCTAACATTGCACAGTCTTGTCTACCAGGAGGAGGGACCTTGAAATGCCAGCTCCCGGGAAGTCACTGCTGTGAGGGAATTTGGGAAGGAGTATTTCTCTCCCTGGCTCCCTTTCTCCAATTTTGCCAAAATCCCAGCTGTGAGCTATTCTTGACAAAGGGTACAGCTAAAACCCGCTGGAGACAGTGACTTAGAAAACAAGCATTCTTTCTAAATTGGTGGCATCTGCAGAAGTTTATATTCTCGAATGCGTTTTTATGCATCCTATTTGGAGATGTATCTATCCCATGTAATTCAGCAGTTGAAAGGCAGAGAGGCCTAGGAGCAGACCCCAGCTCTGTGACCCAGGGCAAGTTGCTTAATCTCTCTAAGCCTCAGTCTCCTCCTCCAGTAGATATGGAGAACAGCATCTGGCATCTGCGTCAAAGGACTGCTGCGAGGATTAAAGGAGACAGAGCCTGGGAAGGGCTTAGCTCAAGCATGAAATCAGCATTCGATTATGCAGCCAGCACTTCTTTCAGGGTCTATTGTGAGCTGAAGCCTGTGCTAGGTAGGAAAATGGTGATAAAGAATTCGGCACACACCTGACTTACCCACAAAGCGAGGACCTGGGATGCAGGCAAGGAAAGTGGTACACACATGGTAAGAGGCAATGAAATCAGGGGAACACTTCACAGGGACAGGGAGACAGTAAAGCATCTCCCTTGCAGGAGCAGACCCAACAGGCCCCCAGAGGAGAGCCGGGGAGGATTCCTGGAGGAGACGGCATTTGAGCTGAACCACAAATAAGGACAATTTAGCCAGGGGAGAAGTGAAGGGGTGGAGGGTGGGGGGGCATCCATCAAGAAGCCATGTAATGACAGAGGAAGAGGCAGGAAATGACGGGGTATGTCCCCGTCTGGCTGGAATGCAGAGAATGCACAAGAGGGAGCAACAGCACGTGACTGAGAGACAGGGGAGTGTGCAGGAGCATGGAAGGTCTTGGACGCCAAGCAAGGCATCAGGATCATACAGGTCACAGAGAGGAGGAGGTTTAAAAAGAGTGACGAGGGCAATGATGGAGCCAACAGGACAGAAGATACTGATGGCAGTGTAGGTTGAAGATGTGACCCTCTCTTCCGACCCAAGGCCACGTACCTAAGTGCCTACTGTATTGCTTTTTAGGTTCACAAATGTTTAGGAGGACTAAAGACCAAAATGGGCTTCCCAGATGGTTCAGTAGTAAAGAATCCACCTCCTATTGCAGGAGACATGGGTTCAATCCCTGGGTCAGGAAGATCCCCGAGAGAATGAAATGGCAACTCACTCCAGTATTCTTGCCTGGGAAATCCCAGGGACAGAGGAGCCTGGCAGGCTATAGTCCATGTGGTCACAAAGAGACATGACTGAGCGACTCAGCGCACAGCACAGTGACCGAGAGAGGGACTTCCCTGGCGGTCCATTGGTTAAGACTCCATGTTTCATGGAGTTCGATCCCTGGTTGGGGAACTAAGATCTTGCATGCCGCATTTGAAAGTCACTCAATCGTATCCAGCTCTTTGCAACCCCATGGACTATGCAGACCATGGACTTTTCCAGGCCAGAATACTGGAGTGGGTAGCATACCACAGCCTTTAAAAAAAAAAAAAGAAGAAGACTAAAAGAACAAAAATCAGCAACAGAGGTTTCAATGGGGGGCCAGGTGGGAAACCATGAGGGTCACAGAGGAGTCAGATGTGAACTCAGGTCCACACAACAGAAAACAGAAAAAGAAACAATCCCGAGAGGGAAGTTTCAAAATTAATTGTGAGGTGCCATAAAATCTCATAAAGGGGTTCTGAATGCACACGTGTGAGAAGAGAGTCGAGCTCATAAAAAGTGAGAGAAAAACAAATCCAGAGTCAGTCCCCATCCTCAAGAGAGACAGGAGATGAGATGGGGTATCTCAGCGCGATGGAGCCACTGGGTGTACACCCTGGCATCACTGGGACAGAGCCAAGGAGGCCAGCCCAGCTGGCCAGGCTAGAGAGGGTTGGAGGGTTGCTGGGCAGGGCCCCAGAAGCAGGGCCCATAGTGTAAGGCGCCTGCCAAACTGAATTTTGATTCATCACCCTAACAAAACAACTGTACAAACACCACCATTGTTACATAGTGAGTAAGGATCTAATTTGCTATTAGTTTCATTGTTTGGTTTTGAGGCCTCAACCTTTCCTGTGTGTTGAAAATAATTGGATTTGAACTGGTCTCTCACACCCACGGAGTAGTTAGAGGGTGGATGGAGGTGTTTCTCCTGATTCCCCCTGTATCCAACATCCCCTCCTCTTTCTAGAGCAGGGCCCTTAAAAGACTTCTGGGGGAAAAAAAAAAAAAAAAGACTTCTGGGAGCAGTCGCAGTAAAGCCTGTCTTCCTTCAAGACAGACCCCCACCCTACCCCCCCCCAATCTCTGCCCTTAGCCCCTCCCCACCCCCATGCAACCAAGCCCTGCGTAGTTGAACTAGACCTGGGGCTTCTCAAGTCTCTAAAAGGACAGCCTCTTCACTGAACTGAGCTATGACCTGGGCTCATTCACTAGCCAGCTGAGTACCTGCTCTCCAGGGCTGGCCCCATCTCAGAGGTGTTGGTGTTCATGCCCTAGAAGATACACTTGGACTTGAAAGTGATCATCACTCCCACTTCCTGAGTCATACCACAGGATGGACAAGGAGAGACCCATGGGCAGGTGGGCATTGCCCTGTAACAGCTCATGCTGCAAAGATTCTGTCTGTTCTCTTAGGGCTGGAAAGCTCTGCAAGTAGCGGTTCGTGAAAGTCTTTCAGGGTCAAAGCCCATCTGAGCATGTCAGTCCTAAAATGACACCTAAAGAGGAAACACTCAGCTGTCGGAGCCTGGATGGCTGGTCTGCTGCCTGGTCCTCATGCTGTTCCTGCTTTTCTGCAGCCACATCTAGAGCAGCCACTCCTGAGTCAAGTCCATGTCATCATCACAGATGACACAACCTCAAGTTACCTCCTTCAGTCACTCAGTCCAACTATCCCCCGATGATTTATACCATGGGACCCGGTGATCCACATGATTACAGGTAGCAGTACCCAGAGTATTCTGCATTGATTCCCTCATTTATGTTACTTTCCACCTACAACTGGAATCTTTTCCATTTGCCAAAAGCTCTAAAGGAGTATCTTGAGATCTGAAAACCCCATTAATTGTTATCTCCAATTTACTAAAAAGAAAAATAAAGCATGCAGAGGTTCTGTGACTTGTTCAAGGTGACACTTAGTCAAATGCAGGAGCTAGAATTTCAGTGCCATTGGGGCACCCCCAGAGCTACCTATTAAAAAGTGTTAAACATTATCCCAAACAAATCTAATTTCAGTCTTCAAATGATTGAGAACTTGG